GTAGAAAGTGTCAAAACAACCTTAGGTAAATAGCCCGTGATGTCTACTTTATATAAATATATACTTTTGTGTGGCAATTTTGTTTTCTTTTATGGCTATTAAGCTTACAAGACAAACATACCAAATTCTAAAATCGCTCCACATTAAAATTTTATTTTACTCCTTGTGCTTTGTGACCTGTAACTACCAAAAAAAACTTAAAATCCCAGACACATTATATATTCTGTAAATCAGAACAAATAAATAAATTTATTTTTAATTACTTTCCTTAACCTGCACTAATTATGCACACATTATTATTGCAAAAACTGTAAAAAAAAACAATATTTTTCATTTTTTTTGCATTTTTCTGTATTTTTTTTATAATAAGTAAGCATTTATATATATATATGTTATATCAAATTAAAGCCCTTTCTGTCCTTTAAAAAACAGTATATAATATGTGTCGGTGCAATAAATGAGAGAGATGCAAATTGCAGTTGAACGCAAACAGCAAGAAAATGCAAAAATTGCTTGTGTCATTAAGCGTAAGTCAAGCTTCTGAAGCTGTGTCCTTAAGGGGTTAAAACAACTTTGTGTGTACAAACTTTCCATACAAAACAGGCTATGATTTAACCATTTATTTAGGTCATCAGAGCACTACAGGTTTAGCAGGTTCTAAGTCTCACATTGCTTCTAGAGGAGATGTGTTTTCGAATAGTTTGATACTGAATTACTCACTAAACACAAAGTTCAAAAAAATAAAATAGTTGTTTTTTTTTGTTTGTAAACAACTGACTTTGGCAAAAATAATGGAGATTTAGTTACAGCCTAAGGCACACCTGTGCAATAATCATGCTGTCTAATCAGCATCTTGATATGCCACACCTGTGAGGTGGGTGGATTATCTCTGCAAAGGAGAAGTGCTCACTAACACAGATTTAGACAGATTTGTGAACAATATTTGAGAGAAATAGGCCTTTTGTGTACACAGAAAAATTCTTAGATCTTTGAGTTCAGCTCATGAAAAATAGGGCAAAAACAAAAGTGTTGCGTTTATAATTTTGTTAAGTGTAGCTTTGGGGCAGCAAGGAGGATAAATCTGGCACTTTGTATTAACCAGACACTGCCACCCCTCATTGGTATGGCTATGGTAAATTGCGGAAACATTTTCACATTTAGCCGGAGCCATAGTTGGCAGAGCAACCTCATTCAGTGTCTTTAAATTATTGACACTGAACAGGGAGACAGAGCCAGTGGCCTACAGACACCATAAACACTTCAAATAGATGAAGTGGCTATGGTGCCTAAAACGTTCCTTTTAACAACAGAGATATGCAAGAGATTTTTTATGATAATTGGGGACTATTTAATGTTTATCCTAAAGCTTGCAACTGTTTGTGGACTAACCCACGAGACCTTTCCTCCTCCCCTTCCGCAGGTAAATGGGTGTTTACAACAGCTAACTCGCTTGTCCAGTGGAGAAGGCGGTTTATATTAACCCCTCAGTATGTTTATCCATGTCCGTATTCTAAACTATAAAATGTCAACCAAAGAAGCAATTAGTTTGCAAACTTTATCGGTGGCTACACATTTTATTGCTAGTCTGAAGTTTCTGTAATCCTTTGTCACACATATCAGATGACCCACATAATATGACAATCTTATCCATCTAATACCGTACGTTTGTCAGTTCCCCATATGTTTCTCAGACATCGAATTGAATTCCTGAATTGTCACAAGCACACACCTATTGAGTCTTTCAAACTTCAAAGGATGAATTTGCATTGCTCTCCCCATGTCTGTGTGCTTCCAAATACCTCCCTCCCACTATTTGCCTGTATAACAAATAGTGAATAGAGTGAACAAAGGACATATGGAACAAACATTAATGCCTTTGGGGAAGGGTGGCACATTATAGCTCCCACAATCCTTTGGTGGCATCAGTAGCTATAGCATTCACGTGCCCGAGCATGTGCAAAAGTTCATTTATTCACAGCACATTCCAAAACTTAACCCGGATACTTTGTCTGTACTACATGGTTTCTGTTTTGGATCTCCTCGATAGTTTCATATTGTGCCTCTTTATTATTGGTTTAAATAGTGCTATGGGGGGTGGATGCAGCGGCATACGGAAAATGAGGGAAGAGGGGGCATTTATATCTGGCAAAACCGGTACATGTGCTTTTTGTCCAGTAAAACATGGCGGGTGTCAGACACATAGCTCAGATTATGTTTAAATTCATTAAAATTCATTATTAAGTGGATAAATCCGTTAATGAGTTCCCTCTTTCATCAGATCAATACTGGCTCACAGGAGCACCATTCAAGAAGGAACCATGTACGCACCCATACCCATACTGGAATACCAGATTGTAGTTTTATTGGTTTCCAGCACTCTTTAAATGAATTCTGTACCTGGTTAATATTTGTTGAAAGGTGTGATTTCAGATGGACATCCAGAATGCTGTCTCTTGAAGTGGAAGTCATTAATACAGACTGTAAGATTTCTAAAGACAACAGCTGTCTCTGCAGGTTTTACTCCCTGTGAGAGTTTGTCTCGCATTAGCATGTTAATTATTTCCCCCTTCTTCTAACAGGGTGAGAATTGATTAGCAGATAAGATAAGGGAAAGAGCCTCATGGGATTGTGTCCCTAGGTAGCTCTCCAAGTTATCTGTCCTAAAATAGCAAGACTGCAATGAAAGGACAAACTGTTGATTACAATAAACTAGAATAATAATATACATTTAATAAACAAATAAAATAAATATGAATGTATTAACCTAAAAAAATGTGCCTCTTTGGAGATGAAGAAAGTCCACTCCAAACACCATAACTACTACAGCCTGTTGTAGTTCTCACAGTTACAGAAGTTCCCTCATCCTAAGCTGAAAAGCGCTATTATGTTTAGCAGTAAGTTTTTAAACCACTTTAGCATGGTATAACAGCCTGCTTGAGTCAAGCCAAGTGTTGTATTTGCCACGAGGCAAACAAGGCATTTGCCTTGGGCTGCACTTTCTAGGTGGCGGCAAAAAAACGCCACCCTCAGACGAATACCCAGTTAGCAGGCAGCTAGCTGAGCTAGAATATGACGTCAAATTCCGGCTCAGCAGGGAGAGCTCACAAATCAGCACTCCCTCGCTGCCCGCCTGGAACTCAGCTAGTTGCCTGCCTGCACGCCTGCCTCCTTCCCTGCCCAAACAGCCAGTCAGCAGCCCCACTGGACCCCAGGTAAAAAAAAAATGCACCTAGCTCTCCCAAAGGTATGGAGGCTGGGTGGATTTAAATTTAAATAATCTGCTAGTTGAGGGTAAATATTTATGTGTGTGTGTCTGGCTGGCTGTCAGTGTGTTTGTGTGTGTGTGTAAGTGAATGTGTTGTCTGTCTGTCAGCATGTGCCTGTGAATGTATGTCTGTCAATGTGTGTCTGAGTGATTGTGTGTGTCTGTGCGTGAGTGTTTGTGTCTGTGAGTGTGTGTCAGTGAGTGTGTGCATGTCTGTCAGTGATTGTGTGTGTCTGTCAGATTGTGTTAAATCAGTGTGTGTGTGTATGTCAGTGTATTTGAGAGTGTGTGTCTGTCAGTCAAAGTGTGTGTTAGTCTTTAACAGGAAGAGGTGTGGCATTGACAGAAAGGGGTGGGGCAAATGTAAGCAAATGTAAGTTTAAAAAAGTGATGTCAGATGCTGGCATGCTGGCATGCTGGGGAGGAAGCTGGCGTGTTGGCATCACACAGGAAGCTTGCCCTACCTGGTGAAGTGTTCCCAAGCATGGCAAATCAATCAAGAGAGCAGGATGAGACAAGGAAATATGGTGGGGCTAAATCTGAGATATGATGAGTGATATCTTGATTAAATCTCTGTGATACATGATTTATTTAGTGTAGTTAGGGGTTTGGATTTAACCTAACTTTAAAACCCATGACAGATGCACTTTAAAAGAATCAAGGAGAAAGCCCACAGAAACGGTCTTAAAGGGTCAGTTTAGGCACCATAACCACTACCACACACTGCTGTAGTTATGGTTCCCGAAGTTCCCTGGTAAGAGTCAAACAGTTTTTGAACTGTTTCACACATACTAGCATCACCTGAACGCAGTCCAACCCAGTCTGATATTCCTCGTCCGCATTAGTGATATGAATATGAAATTGGAAATATCTTTTGTGGATGGGAAGTTCCACATTAATGATATCAGAAGTGATGGCCAAATCATGTGTCCAGGAGAATAACTGCAAGTATCAAACTTGGTTGGAAACCAAGGAACTCCTGGCACCATAAATACTACAGCAGTTAGCAGTGGTTATGGTGCCTTGAATGACCCTTAAATGAATGGATTCCCTCTTCCAACAAATTATCGCTACATAGAACTGGATAGCACTCATCATGCACTCACATCAGCATGAAGAACAAAATGTATTATTATTATATTTGCCATTTATAAAGCGCCAACAGATTCCTTAGCGCTTTACAAGGATTCCTTGAGTGTCACTTTTACTTTTATACATTTGTCATTAAAGCTTTTTATCTTTTAGCATAGATATAATGAGCATTATATATATATATATATATATAAAGTTGCAGATAGATTTAATGGGTAAAACTACTCATGAAAGGTGTATTGAACCATGGGAAACAGTTTGATTAGTCACTACATTTGGTGGGACTGGTGCTGACAATTATGATGGGGCCTAATTACAGAATCTTATCGACCAAAAACACTAAAACAGTCATACCTCTCAAGCGTCATGTATCTGATGGAGTTGGTGTTGGAGGGAAACTCAAAGGATGCAGCTATAAGAAAACACATACTCTATGCTAATCTCTTTATCTAATTTATGCTTTCATCTTTCAAGTGAATCCATACCCCCTAACAGCAGTGTCCAGTGAAGCAGGAAGTCAATGGGCGGGGTAAAAGGGTAGGCAACTGACGCAAATCACGTAACCAGAGCAAAAAGGGGGCATGTCTGTCCAAAAGAATTGGAAGGGCAGCCTGGCATCAGTGTCCCTATGTATCGCAGTGTCAATGTCCCCTAGTCTCCCAATGTCCCCATGTCTAAATGTGTTCTATGTCACTAGAACACTGAGAGACATGGGGACACTGAGAGACCCGGGGACACTGGGAGACATGGGGACACTGGGAGACATGGGGGCACTGGTAGACATGGGGACACTGGGAGACATGGAAACACTGGGAGACATGGAGACACAGACATTTTGGGATACTGGGAGAAATGGAGTCACAGACACTAAAGACACAGAGACATGGGGACACAGACATTTGGGGAAACTAAGACACTAGGGACACTGAGAGACATGGGAACACAGACACTGGGAGACTAGGGGACACTGGGAGACATGGGGACACAGACACTATGGACACTGGCTGGGAGGCATGGGGACACAGACACTTGGGGACACTGGGAGACATAGGGACACTGACACACATGGGGACACAGAGACATGGGGACATAGACACTAGGGACAGTGGCTGGGAGACATAGGGACACTGGGAGACATAGGGACACAGACACATGCGGACACTGGGAGACATGGGGACCATGGGAGACTAGGAGACACAGACACTAGAGACACTGGCTGGGAGACATGGGGACATTGGGAGACACTGTGTCCCTAGTGTCTCCGTGTCCCAATGTGTCTCACTATGTCTCACAGCACCCCCATGTGTCTCAGCATCCCCATGTTTCCCAGTGTTCCCAAGTGTCTGTGTCCCCACGTCTCCCAGTGTCCCCTAGTGTCTCAGTGTCCCCATGTCTCCCTGCTGCCTTTCCCCCCATTCTTCACTTACCTGAGCTGTAGGCTGTCTCTGCAGGCTGGGAGCTGCTGTCTGGACTCTCTGTGCTGTGTAGCTGCTCCCCCGCGGATCAGTGAGTAGAGAGAGACAGGGAGATGCTCTAACTTCCTATCCCTGCCTCTCTCCATACACAGTGACCCCTACTGGCCGGTGCTGGTATTGCAGAGTAATCTCCATTTATACTGAGAAAAATATTTGCATTTATATTGCCGGTATTACTGCAATACCGTCACGGCCAGGCAGCCTCAAATACCGGCTGTGCCTTAAAATACCAGTCAGGTGGCAAACCTAAGAGTAGTGTATACAAAAAAAAAGTTAATTTTTTTTTTTTTTAAATGGGCCTGGGCCTGGAGCTGCAGCTCCATTAGCACCTATGTTAATCCGGCCCTGAGTTTAAAGATCTGGTTTAGGATATGACCCGCTACCTCCTTCCAAGACTGGTTATACAAAATCAGTAATGTGAACTGAACAGATTTATTTACACAAAAAGTTGTCTTTGCAGATTTCAAAGCCCTGTGAGAGCTTTATAAAACAATATGTCGATTATTTACCCTTTTTTCCCCAAAAGGATAAGAACTAATTAGTTCCCAACCTCCAGCTGCAATTTCCTCCTAAGACAGTACAAGACAATGCTTCTTTGCTGTATCAACCCCATCATGACAAAAGACATACCAGACCTGTCATGATATAAAGGTTTGGTTAACCCATTTGTGACTGTGGATGTACCGTGTATGCCGCTTTTCGACAGTGGACATATGGGGTACAGTATCATATAGAAATAAGCCTAATACATGCCGATCGAGGGTTAGCTAGGGTTAGACAGTCAAAATTTGATGTTGGTCAATGTTGTGACACACATAAAGTGCTTGCCAGAGACACTATTTGGTGAAAGACATGCCAGAATTTAGATTTGTCTCTAATGTGACCTGGTAAGTCCTTCAAAAAGCCCGGCAAGGGTATGTATGGTGAATATTAGTGTACTTAGGGGCTTTATATCGGTGGTCTGTATAGTAGTGGGACATAAATGATCTGTGAAATTCTCCTTAAAAATGAAGTGTGTGCAAAACACAAAATATGTATAGCCAGCAGTTTTTCCAGTGGTTGGCTATAAAATAGTTATGTTATAATAGTAAAAGAAAAGTGGCAAAATTTTCTTAGTTCAATTTCTGGGAAGTGTAATTCTCACCAAAATATACATTTATGCAGTAATTATAGTTTTTAGTTTTTTTAGCATTATAAAATGTATAATGTTTCTTCAGTTGCACTAGTAATGTAGGAAGTTATTATTATTACATTATTATTCCCCGTAATTTAATATTTAATTCAAACCTAACATTGTGTTATTTATTTAAGTAGGGAATCAGAAGAAAGGCCTAGCTGTCTTTTCAAAAAACAATATAGAATAATGAGTCCTGTGTTTTATGAATGGGGAGCTACAGATATCCGTATCTATCCGAATCCTTATCTAGGATTTCAGATGGCGGAAGGACAGAGGGGCAGAAAGATTCGGAGCTGGAGCACAGATTTTGGGGTTGAACCATTCATGAGCAATTGAACCCCTAGAGTTAAGCCAGCATCAGGGACCTCCTGGCACCATAACAACTTAATTTCAATTAAGTTGCTATGGTGCCCAGTATGGTACTTCAAGTCACAACAGGTCCTTTGGGATTACATCCATGATCAGTCGATTTATTTATCTGGCTACATAAATCTGACATAGTGCCAGGAAGCATCAAGGCCTGATCAGCATAATTCAGAATTCATGTATCTGGCAAATATATATACGCACACACACAACACTGTCAGATTTATTTTAATTTTATTTTTTCCCAATTTTTGATAAAACTTCACAGTATGCGTGATCCCCTCCTCTTCACCCCTAATTTCATTACTTGATGCTGATCATTCCTGTCTGCAGTAAAAGCTATCTAGTGAGACAGCAGGGTTAGTAAATGTTATATCAGAATCAGATCTCCCTCTGGCTGCACTTACTATGCCATGTAAGTTGCAAAGCACCTTAAAAAGATGTTTGCAGAGATGGATCCTACAAGCACTCAAACCGTACAGGACTTTAGTTAGGTTTATTTTATTCAGTGATTTATTTTTTATCAATGTCCTTGCAACTGATATACTAAAAGGATTATATGAAATACAGTAACAATTAATACTGTTTTATTTCACTAACAGGCAGAAGCATAACTAGAAACCACCGGGCCCCGGTGCCCTTGGATCCTCCCCAAATGTGTTCATCCCCCCTCCTTGCCCTGCCACATGCCTCATTCTCCCACCCAGTCTCTCCACGTGTCTCACCCCACACCAGACCCTCTACGTGTCATCATGTGTCTCATTCTTTCCCCTTAGCCCCTCTATGAGTCTCTCCCACACCCCAGCCCCTCCATCATGATCTCCCTCCTCCCCAGCCACTCCATCATGATCTCCCCCTTCCCCAGCCCCTCCATCATAATCTCCCCCCTCCCCGGCCCCTCCTTCATGCTCTCCCCCTCCCCTGCCTCTTCATCATGCTCTCCCCCTTCCATCATGCTCTAACCCTACCCCCCATGATTCTCCCATCCTTCATGCTCTAAACACCCCCTCCATCATGCTCTATCTCCTCTCCCTTCCCCCGCCTTGATTCTTTTTTCCCCTCCTCTCCTTACCTGCTCGGCGCGTGCGGTTCCCGGTCTGCCACGAAGGGCTCTCTCAGTAAGACTGTGCACCCGCTCATCCACGCTACACACAGTGACCGGTTGGAGGGGAGCACTGTGTTGTGTGCTCCCCTCCTGCCAGTCTCCAGGCAACTGTGGGCCCCGGCCGGTTGCACTTTGCATCGGCCCTTAAGTGATGTGGGTGGCCCACAGTTGCAGGGGTCAACCGTGTGGCAGGGCCCCCTGCAGTGATGGGCCTGGTCGCAATTGCAACCCCTGTGACCATGGTAGTTCCACCACTGCTAACAGGCCTCTACACCTCAAATGTAAATTAGTAGAAAATCCTCTATATTATAGAAACTTGGATATTAATAAGAGTGTTAAATGTAGGGAAGAAAGGATCAAAAACTTTCAAATTGGTTGTGAATGCAGCGCAAATGTACAGTTTGTTAGGATACTTTCACACAAGACTAGGTGATTATCTAAGTATTGATCCCTGATATTGTGAGGCAGTCAGTAATACCCACACTGTTGGAGATTCTGTGGACTAGAATACCCATTAAGCCCAGCCAGCTGTGGGGTCAAAGGTTATTTGTGCATTACTGAAGAATCTTAGTAAGTGACTGAAGACCTATAATGCATAAAGAAAAAAAGTGAGGAAAATGAGATGGAACAGGGAGACAGTGATGGCAACATGTGGTCCTTGTATCCAACAAAACAATAAGGATTTCTTATTTGTAGAGCAGTCATTTTGACAAAAAATGACAATGGACGGAGCATAAGCAAGGTTTTTTTCATTTGCCAATCAAATTTATCTACAATCCATCAGTGAAATCGATCCCACAGGAGGCAAACATCAGTGGCAGCATCGTAGGCAGAGGAGAACAAAATGGCTGCTCCCAGGTATTGAGATCCGGCACAAGGAAGAAATCAGATGTCGCGAGAGAGTTCACTCACCACTGGACCACCAGGAATGGCAGCAGAACGGTCCCCCCTCCCTATAAAAAGGTAAGAAGGGAGTGGGGATATTTCCTAAATGGTCCCCCCACCCACACCCACACACAATACACACAAACAGCACACACACACTAAAAGCACCCACACACATACATCACCCTTACACGCACAGCACACACACACACTAACAGCACCCTCACACACACAGCACCCTCACACACACACAACACACACTAACAGCACCATCACACACACACACACAGCACCCTTACACATATACAGCACCCTCACACACAGCACCCTTACACATACACACAGCACACACTAACAGTACCCTCACACACAGCACCCTTACACATACACACACACACACTAACAGTGCCCTTACACACACACATACACACACACTAACAGCACCCTCACACACACAGCACACACACAGCACCCTCAAACACAGCACCCTTACACACACACACACACACTAACAGCACCCTCACACACACACACACACACACACACACAGCAGTGTGTGTGTATATGTGTATATATATATATATATACACACGTGGCGGTCCCCCCTCCCTATAAAAAGGTAAGAAGGGAGTGGGGATATTTCCTAAATGGTCCCCCCACCCACACCCACACACAATACACACAAACAGCACACACACACTAAAAGCACCCACACACATACATCACCCTTACACGCACAGCACACACACACACTAACAGCACCCTCACACACACAGCACCCTCACACACACACAACACACACTAACAGCACCATCATACACACACACACAGCACCCTTACACATATACAGCACCCTCACACACAGCACCCTTACACATACACACAGCACACACTAACAGTACCCTCACACACAGCACCCTTACACATACACACACACACACTAACAGTGCCCTTACACACACACATACACACACACTAACAGCACCCTCACACACACAGCACACACACAGCACCCTCAAACACAGCACCCTTACACACACACACACACACTAACAGCACCCTCACACACACACACACACACACACACACAGCAGTGTGTGTGTATATGTGTATATATATATATATATACACACGTGGCGTGTGTTTGTGCTTTAGGGTGCACACCCTTATGCAATAGGCTGTGCACACCTATGGTCTAATCGTCAAAATACAGCATGCCTAAAGAAAGTTAAAAGTAACTAAAACAGGAAAATGCTGCTTTAAGCAAGACACAGTTAAGAACGTGTGGTTAGACCATATGTTTGTGTATATAGAAATAATAACAAATCAGTGATATGACCAAAGTTTGTGTATAATCTGAGCTGAGTAGAGTGTGTAAAGACGAGATCATGGTAGATGCATTTGTTATGAATTGGAAAAGGAATTCAGAGCCATTTTACATTCACACATCTCCTTCATAATGTATATAGTTTATTTTTTGTATATATTAAAATAAGACATTTTCACATCTGAACGGCTGAGGTGACATAGGCGGTGAGTGGTCTCATAGTCCTAGATACCGCTACCATGTTTACGGACAGAATGACTAGTTACAAGGGCTAGACTTACATGGTTGACTCCAATACTCTCTAAAAAGAAAAAATGACATGCCTTTTGAGTAGGCTATAAGTGACGTCAATGCATTGCATGACACAGCGTTGGGTGGTTAATATTTAGCAATGCCCTTCTAACACAGGGGGTTTTGTGTACCTTACGGGATCCAGCCACTATGTCTGCGCTAAGGCTGTAGTGATTGACATCTACTTAATTTTGTCTTTAAGGCCTGTTTAAATTGATTGCCAGACCTTAAAACTTTACCCTAAAAGCAGACACTTCGATTGGTCATTATTTTTTCTTCACGTACCATAAGCATTTCTTCAATGCTTTTCTTAATTATGGCCACTGCCCTGGGTTTCCTAGAAAGAAGACCCTCCACCATCAGCTGGAAAATGTGAGAAGAAAATTGTCCTACTGTAGGCAGAACAATTGCTTCCACATTTTGCAGCTGTTGGACTTTGCCATGCTTTTGCCATCCACATTCTAGTCGTCTTTATCCTTGGCTCCATGTTTTAAGATGCGGGTGAATTCTACATAATTAAAGTTGCCTTTCTTGTCAATGGGAGCTTCTCTGTACATTTCATCTACCTCCTCATCTGTGAAGCGATCTCCCATAGTAGTAAGGAGTTCCCTCAAGTGGTCTTCATTGATGGCACCTTAAAGTGGGAGACACAGTAAGGGGAAACGTTTGACATAAGAGTACTAAATATGAAAAGCAAGATAAAACAAATTGACTAATGGGGAAATAGGGGGGGTGCTAGAACAGATTAACAAAAATAAACTGAAGAAATCCAAAGATGGGGAGGTTGGCAGAAACATAGAACATAATCTATGAATAAAGATTGTAAAGTAGAAGAGGAAAGTTAAATGAAGACTGGTGAGGTTCTAGGATCCACAACATCTAGTGAGGTAGATAGGCAAAAAATCTTGTTAGATACTCTTGGATTTCAAATATTAAAACTGCTTATTCCAAATAATATCTTAGCAGCAGTTACATTGTTCCAGTCCAAATTATGGCCCTTTATCAAGATATTTCAATAAATGGCTCCGCTTCTCTAACAACACTTGTTTTAAGTGTTAAACTCTGTCGTATTCATCAATATTGCTTCTGACCTGAGAGAGGAAAACTCTCTAAAGCTGGTCTTTTAAGTATTATGTTAGTCCAATAAAAAAAGTTTTATGTATATTTACATAATTATTTGTTTCTTTTTTGCAACATAGATGACATAGGCAGAAATTAAACATTTCTATTATTGCCTTTTGTAATACTGGCTACATTTAATGCCACAGAGTTCCAAAAGCCAGTTGGTTACTAGACTACAAGGATTCATGAGATTGGTTCCAGATCAAGAGTAGACTGCATATCGCCACCTGGCTCTAAAATTGGTATTGCATTTGCTTTGAGAATCTGTATCTACTGTTCCACAAACAAACTTCTGGTAGCCAGAAAGATGTGGGGAACTAAGAAATCTAACATAGTGATGGAAAAGTCAAATCTACATATGGTCCAAAAAGATTATGTGATGTCTTGCTCTGGACCATAGATCTCAATTTCCATTTTTTTCTATTATGTCCCTTCCTGTCATCTCATAGGAAATTATTTCTAACTCGTATTTGTCCAATTGAATGTTCTTCCCCTGTAGTGTACATACCTGTGCCCTCTTCATCGAAGCAGGCAAATGCATTCCTGATGACATCTTCTGGATCTGTACCATTCAGTTTCTCTCCAAACATGGTCAGAAACATGGTGAAATTAATAGGGCCAGGTGCTTCGCTCATCATCGCTTCTAAGTATTCATCCGAGGGATTTTTACCTGGAACACCCACAAATATTTAGGTGAAATACTGTATAATTTATTGTTTATCATCCACTGTATGTATCTCACTATGTGTGATTTGGCTTATGTATGTAAGGAAACTACCGAGGCATAAAATATGTTTTGTTTTGTATGTTTACATTTTTTTGTCTGTGATAGTGTAATACAGTTTTTGATGGTTGTATTTGAATTCTGGTGTTAGGTATTCTCTACGTGATTGCCACACATTGCTCTGTCTTCAGCATTTGTTTCATATATGGTCATCAAAGTGCAGGTTGTGATGATGTCTGTAGTTGTCCTGTTTGTTGTTATGTTTTGTATAGGATGTGAATGTCTACATTTCATTTTGGTTTTCCCTCCTCCTAGACAATATTTGTTAAATTGAGGGGTACATGAACATAATAGCCTGGGAAGTAATGGTTCATTTAAATAAAAGTTGATACCTTAATAGTAATTAAATCAATGGCAACAATATTTAGAGCAATACATGAAATACTTGGCCAACAGTTACAGCTTTCCTATGTTTAGTCAACGTCTGGCATCAGAGATGTACTTACTTACTATATGTGCATTGTTATAATCACACTGTGAATTTAGTCCCCAGTGTGTCATATGCAGACCCTTCTTGTGTTTTGTGGAACTCTTCTGTTACACTGGGTAGTTAATAACCACAAAGGGAAGTGCATAGTACAAATTCATATTTTCTCACCAAAAGTGGAGTTGTGTTGATGTCACATTGAAGCCAACAGATTATCATCTTACAAGGTGTTTACTGGGGTATACTCCGAAAATTATCAAAAATGAGGAGGACAAAATAATCTGTTGGCAATTGCCAAAGAAGGGGACACATAAGTGTACGTAGTTATTGTGTTAGGTAGTAGTATAACTTTGTTCATTTACCCATGGAAGCCAACATATCATGCAGATCTTCTTTGTCGATGAAGCCATCCCGATTTTGGTCAATCATATTAAACGCCTCCTTAAACTCCTGAATCTGGGACTGATCAAACATGGCGAACACATTGGAGGTCGCTCTCTGAGGGCGCTTCTTGGTGGTCTTTGCTTTGGTCTTTTTGCTCGACATGGTGGCGTGTGTTTTGGGACCTGTGGAAAAACAATAGGATAATGAGATAGGTGAGAAAATGTGGCATGGATGTATATAAACATAGAAACATAGAAACATAGAAACATAGAATGTGATGGCAGATAAGAACCATTTGGCCCATCTAGTCTGCCCAATTTTCTAAATACTTTTATTAGTCCCTGGCCTTATCATATAGTTAGGATAGCCTTATGCCTATCCCACGCATGCTTAAACTCCTTTACTGTTGTAACCTCTACCACTTCAGCTGGAAGGCTATTCCAAGCATCCACTACCCTCTCAGTAAAGTAATACTTCCTGATATTATTTTTAAACCTTTGACCCTCTAATTTAAGACTATGTCCTCTTGTTGTGGTAGTTTTTCTTCTTTTAAATATAGTCTCCTCCTTTACTGTGTTGATTCCTTTATATATTTAAATGTTTCTATCATATCCCCCCTGTCTCGTCTTTCCTCCAAGCTATACATGTTAAGATCCTTTAACCTTTCCTGGTAAGTTTTATCCCGCAATCGATGAACCAGTTTAGTAGCCCTTCTCTGAACCCTCTCTAAGGTATCAATATCCTTCTGAAGATACAGTCTCCAGTACTGTGTACAATACTCCAAGTGAGGTCTCACCAGTGTTCTATGCAATGGCATGAGCACTTCCCTCTTTCTACTGCTAATACCTCTCCCTATACAACCAAGCATTCTAACAAATATATAAATCTGCTTGAACCATTGCTCTACTGTGCCTTTTGTATCATTATGATTTCGCTAAAAAGATTGAATTCTAGTCCGTACGCATTTTATACTTTGCTAGTTGGCTTAAACCCCTAATTTCCTCATTTTTGTAAATACTAGGTTTAACCCCTTAAGGACCAAACTTCTGGAATAAAAGGGAATCATGACATGTCACACATGTCATGTGTCCTTAAGGGGTTAATAATGCAAACAGGCTAATGCACCTGGACAGAGGTGTGTATAGGTTTCATAGTACCCGGTGTGGAAATGTATTCACACACACATCACACACACTAGTGTATAATTTGTCTCACTGTGCTCCCACCTTACAAACACTATTTGTTAGTTGTTAATTTATGTGTACACATTCACCTTCATATTTACACAAATACATCCATATACACACGTACACTCAGACACACATTGATATGCATTCATAAGACTCATAGACAAAGTTACTGAAACATATTTACACACACAGACTCATATACAAATTCATAAATGAACATAGACTCAGATTCATGTACTCATACTTAAATATGTACACAGACTCACACACACACACACACACAGAGACTTGCATACATATACATTCTTATACATCCACTCTAATGCCCCATTCAACAGCAGCAGAGCAGCCACGTGCGGCGGTACCCCCTCCAGCAACGCACACTGTTCAGCAGTTGCCTGCTCTCTGCATCCCCCCCTGTTGCCTGTCACCCGAAGTGGGCGCCCCCCTAAATCTTAGTACCCTTCTGCACCTGCTTCACTTGTATTAGTATTCACAAAAGTGTGAACTGAAGGAAATTCAAAGACAATTTCACATTTTAGACCAAATAGCTGAACTGGAAACATTTTGTAGGAAACTCTATTTTTGCCAATATTTAGAAATCTTGACAAATCACACGTTTCCATCATATAACATAAACTGTGGTTATTTCTATAGTTAATATTAATTAATGTATGAGAGGATTAGTAGACAAGCTGTCATTTATATTTTTAATTTATATGTTTTGTTCACTCTTTACTTTTTACTTTTACCCTTTTTCACGTTATTTTAGATATTTTACTACTTTGTGGCTTAGTGTGTAAATTACTAATGCAGTTTGACATAAACGTATTTCCCCCCTCAGTTAACTGCACACAGTTTTACTCTTAATCCATTTGGAATGCTGCTATCACTGAGCTTAAACTCCCTAACAGTTCACATTGTCATTAGCTAATCTCCTCGTCCCTTTTGTTTGTCAGTAAATATAGACCTTAATTAAACACTAAATGCTGACTGTATAGGAAGCCTAATAATGAGAACAAAAGTGAAAGCCAATAAACGTAGTAATAGGTCAAAGAATAGTGCTACCATCTATTGGACATAAGTGGAACTACACCAGATTTTTATAAATAAATAAAATTGGTCTTAATCTATTTACACTTCCTCTATTAACACTTTACATACACTTTAATCAGCCTTTCACACAAACCACTCTATTACAAGTGCCCTCTTAGAGGAACAATTCAACCACCATAACCACTACAGCTTGTTGTAGTAGTTAAAGGACCACTCTAGGCACCCAGACCACTTCAGCTTAATGGGGTGGTCTGGGTGCCTGGTCCAGCTAGGGTTAACCCATTTTTTCATAAACATAGCAGTTTCAGAGAAGAGGAGGATCGGAGGAGGAGAGCTTCCCGCCCAGCGCTGGAAAAAGGTAAGTTTTAACCTCTTTCCCCCTTCCAAAGCCGTGTGGGAGGGGGACCCTGAGGGTGGGGGCACCCTCAGGGCACTATAGTGCCAGGAAAACGAGTATGTTTTCCTGGCACTATAGTGGTCCTTTAAGGAGCATGGAAGGGTAAACACTCAAATAGTTTGATAACTTACCTGGGGCCACCAGGTACTAGATACCTCCCATGGTAAGGCCACAGGAGTCTGAACCTGGCACCTGGTGGTCCCCATGTAAGTTGTCAAATTGTTCACAATAGTGTTTGGAGTGTTCCTTTAAATTTTGCAACAACATTCAGTGTGCCATGGAACAAGGAAATTCTACAGAAGTTATTTCCCCATAGATTAAAAAGATATTGTATCTAATATCAATCACCAGAACATCTTATTAAACTAAAAATAGAAATTACATTAGGTTTGCCAATGCCTGAAAAATATAATTTGAGGCTGATTTAAAGCAGGATATCTCGGAGGCTGAAATGATTGTTCCAAAAATCTCAAAAAAACTGAAACAAAGCACAAATTGTCCAAACCAAACAAATTCAACATATAAACATTATTGAGTGATATTTTGACCCCAGTAAACTCCTGTACTGGAATGTGACCAGATCCTGACCTCTTAATTAAAGGGACACTATAGTCACCTGAACAACTTTAGCTTAATGAAGCAGTTTTGGTGTATAGAACATGCCCCTGCAGCCTCATTGCTCATTCCTCTACCTTTTGGGAGTTAAATCCCTTTGTTTGTGAACCCTAGTAACACATCCCTGCATGTGACTTGCACAGCCTTCCATAAACACTTCCTGTAAAGAGAGACCTATTTAGGCTTTCTTTATTGCAAGTTCTGTTTAATTAAGATTTAAATTTTTACTTAGTATTAGTAAATTTGGCTGAAAGACCAATTTAGGTCTTTCAGCCTTTTGGTAGATAACTCCCTAATACTGTGGGAATTAGGGAGTTATCTACCAAGCGGCTGCAAGAGACGTTCCGAAATTCCGAAGTGCCGAAGTTCTGAAGTGTCGAAGTGCCGAATTTCGGAATGCCAAACCAAACCGAAAATTTTTCCCGTGCACATGCCTACTTAGAACATTTCTCCACCATTGGCTATACCTTAATACTAGACATATTTGTGTTAATGAAACACTTTATTTTAACTAATCTGTCTGTTTTAGCCATAGGGAAATTTTAATTATTTTCCTAAAGATTTCTGAGCATCATGGAAAATGTATTTCCTTCTTGACCCCAAAATAGCAGTAATATGTCTCATTGGATCAAGTAGCTATTACCCCACTAATTAGAAATTATATCCCTCTATGTTATGTTTTTGCAAGTATTTATCCAATTGCAGTTTAAACATCTGTATGGACTCTGATAAAACCACCTCTTCAGGCAGAGAATTCCATATCCTTATTGTTCTTACTGTAAAAAAACCTTTTCTTTGCCTTAGATGAAATCTCCTTTCTTCCAGCCTAAATGTGTGACCTCGTGTCCTATGTATGGCCCTGTTTATGAATAGATTTCCAGACAATGGTTTGTACTGGCCCCAAATATATTTGTATAATGTTATTATATTCCCTTTCCGGCGCCGTTTTTCCAAATTAAAGAGATTGAATTTTTTTAACCTTTCTTCGTAACTAAAATGCTCCATTCCTTTTATCAATTTTGTAGCTCGTCTCTGCACTTTTTCTAGTGCCATGATATCTTTCTTTAGAACAGACGCCCAAAATATCACAACATATTCAAGGTGTGGTCTTACCAGCGATTTATAAAGCGGACAAATTATATTTTCATCCTGAGAATTTATGCCCCTATTTATACATGACAAAACCTTACTGGCCTTAGCAACTGCAGATTGACATTGCATATTGCTGCCTAATTTGTTGTCTATAACATTTCCCAAATCCTTCTCGTGTGTGGTTATCCCTAGTTCACTACCATATAGGGTGTAAATTGCTTGTGCATTCTTAACCCCAAAGTGCATAACTTTGCATTTCTCTACGTTAAATTTCATCTGACATTTTAGTGCCCAGTCCCCCAATCTATCCAAATCCCCCTCCTGCAAAGCAATATCCTGCTCACATTTTATTACTTTACAAAGTTTTGTCATCTGCAAACACTAAAACATGAATTTCAATGCCTATTTCAATATTATTTTCTCCAGTTTTCCACTTCTGGTTCAGGCTTAGCCTACATTTTGTTAGTTAGAGTGCTAGATAGTAAGTTCTGTAAGTGTTTATGTTAAAATATGGTGTAAACCTATCTGGAGTCCTTTCCCTGCTTAAAGGACTACTATAGTCACCCAGACCACTTCAGCTCAATGAAGTGGTCTGGGTGCCAGGTCCCCCAGCTTTTAACCCTGCAGCTGTAAACATAGCAGTTTCAGAGAATCCAGCCTCTAGTGGCACTTCCACGACGCTCAATGCGAAAATCGCATTGAGCACGCAGAATGTCCATAGGAAAGCATTGAGTAATGCTTTCCTATGGGCGGTTTGAATGGACGTACGGCTCTGGCCTCGCATGTGCATTCGCTCCACTCGGGAGTTGACCGGAGCCCGCCGCTGGATTAAGGCAAGTGGCTGAAGGGGTTTTAATTCCTTCAACTAAGCGGTAGGGGGGCCCTGAGGGTTGGGGGGGGGGGACCTAAGGACTATATAGTGCCAGGAAAACAACGTTTCGACCTACCCGGTCTTTGTCAAGTTGAGATTTTCTGGTCCTATCCAGTCGCCCCAACTTAGTTCCTCTGTGTCCCATTTTTGGACACACCAGGGAACTGCCCCCAATAAGCATAGCGCAAGCAAGCACATCATTAGACAGCCTTGTGCTATGTTCAGAGCACTGGGACATTGCAGAGAGGACTGAAACAGTGTTTCCAACAGGGTCTACCCTCAGTGGACAGGCTTAGATGATTAGCAGGCAGACTGGCATGCATTCTTACCAGGCTGACCTGCCAGTAATTCGGGCTTACCACCCCCTTTCTGAACAGGTGCTTTCCTTTGTGGCTGAACCACTGACCCAATCATTGGTTTTGTCACAAAGGGGAGCACCTGCCCAGGAAGGAGTTGGATGGTATGCGCTACTCTGTCAGAGAGGAGCCATACATTTTTACAATAAGCAGTGGGTGTATGTCTGTAAATGAGATGAACACTGAGTGTTTAAAACTGAGGTGGAAGTTTATTCTCCTATGTATGGCCATGCAAGAAAAGAAGAATCATGGTGAATGGGGAAGAAAATATATATATGAATGAAAGTGAATTTCTGTGCATGAGATAAGCTGTGTGTGAGAGTTCAGTCTCTGCATGAAAGAGAAAGTGTCTGTAAAAGCACATGTAAGGGAGTATGCTTGTGTGTGAACAAAAGCATAGGTGCAAAGAGTCGAAAATTTGCCAGGACAGTCCTGCATTTTGGGGTACTGGCTCTCTAAAACTGGGTACCTGGGACCAATCTTTAGATTTGCTGGGCAGATTTCTGCAGCAAATGACTGGGCAATAGAACCATGCGCGGGGCACTGCTGAAGCTTTGAATGGAGGTGTGACCAGGGGCAGAGCTGTTCTGACATATTAATTATATGCGCACACACACACACCACTAGGTCTCCCAATTTAATACATAGTCCTTTTGCTTGCCACGGCCTGGAGCAGGGGGAGACATTAGGATGTGTCCCCAGGGTTGTTTTTTTTTAAATTTAATATCTGCCAACCACTGGGTGCAATGTGGTGGACAGTGATTTGTTCAACTCTTATTATTTAATTTGTGGTTCACCGCTCTTTGCCCACGAGTTGGTTCATGGTAGGCACTATATCCCCTTGTTATTTTATAGGCTCTATCACCATGATGGGACCTTTCTAGCGACTGGGTAGCAATGGCTGTAGATATGCCCCCACCCACGGCATAGTACGTGTTGGCATTAGGGAAGTTTATAGCCGCTCTTATAGTAATATATGGTTCATTTAATCCCCATAGGCTATTTTTAAAGCAGCAATGTCATTTCATATTTACCTTTTACCAATTACTTCCTCTTCCCTTCTTCTTCCTACTCTCTTTCTTTTCTCCATTTTTCATCAATTTGTGACTACTAGGGACTACTTAAGTATTTTTCCTACACCCGACTTTCTTAGTCAATCCCGACAGCCGTTATAGGTTACGGCTGCAGGGAATTGAATGTGTTTGTGGAGGATCCCGCTTAGACCACAATTCTGTCCTCTCACACAGCAGCGACGTCGGCTAATGTGGATCCGCCGGAGGAAGATGGAGCTGCCAGTGAGGGGCAGGTTCAGGTAAGAAGAACTCACCTTTCCTTGCCACCATACTCCCAGCGGTGATGTCACCGTCGGGGGTCTTTGTAAATTTCACTGCTTTAATAATTTTTTTTCTGACTGTAATATGGCAGCTGGCTAGCAAGCGCTGGCAAGCCGCCACACGATTAACTATTTAGCCTGCTGAATTACCCTAGTGTGTGCAAAAGAAGATACTTTGTGTTTATTTCCCAAACAGCTATTTTGTCCTGAATGGGGCAGTTAATTCAATACTATTTATTATTTAGTGAATAATCCTCTTTGTTTGCAGTGTGGATCTGTTTGTAGGAGAGAGAATGTGTGTGGGATTACAAAGGGCCCCATTCTATGTGAGACACAGCAGATGTGGAGGTGTTTAGACACAAGTGGACTGTTGGAATAAACTGACAGATGTGTTCCTTTCCTCTTATGGAACAATGCCTGTAGATATAAATTAATTTCCATATAAGTCGTGAAGAATAGGGAATCGGTGACAGTATTTAGGGACAATAATAACCATGTTCCCTAGATGAGCAGCAGCGATCTTTTAAACAAAACTAGTTTATTATATTTATTATTCTGCCAGTGACTGTGAGATTTCCAATAAGGATTGCTCAAACACGTTACTGTATTGCGAATAAGAATGTCACGTCCCAGTGAAATATTAAATCTTTGGGCGCTGTCTTTCCAGTTTATGTCAAATTATTTTCATATGATCTGGTGAAATACAGGGCTCCTGAACAATGTATCTTATTCACACAGACTGATTTCTAAACACATTTATTGTAGTTTAAAGACACATTACTGGGAGTATTATTGCCATGGGGCTCTGTTATACACTCAGACACACCAACAATATGGAGCTCCCAGAAAAGAGGAACATTAGTATAGAAAAGAGAAACAGATGAAAATAGAGACTGTCCCAACTATATAGGGACACTTGGGAGGTATTTAATTTATTCAGAGGAACTGCTATTGCAAAACACACATAGGGCTATGACCTTAAAACATAGAATGATCTGCAATCATGCTATCCAGTGCTGTCCTTAAGTATGCTACTTTTTAAGAGTCCATGAAGGAATTAATAATGTGATTAGCCTACCTCCAACTAGGCTAATAGATTGTGATCTCGTATTTCCTTCATTCTACGTTCACAAGCTTGCGGCTATTAGACAAATCTTGTGTTTTACGTACCAAGTTATATATTGAATTCTCCGGAGAAATCTATTCCGTATAGTTTGTAAATGTTGATTTAAGAATTTCTGTCTTTTGTAGAAACTGGTAGCCTGCCGTATAGTGACGATTCTGATGGCACCAAACTCTTAAACAAATTCTCAAGATTTATATGATGACCAAACTGATATGTCGCTTTGTTTATACTTTTGGGGACATTTTCTTATTTTGAAGGCCAGGACACATCGTTCTATAACCTATATAGGTAGCATACAGCCGTCCATCATTTGGGCCTACAACTGCCAAAATCAGACAGCCATTTACTCATCGTACCCACTGCCAGTTATTATTGCACTAGAGCTGCCACAAGTTTATTCCAGGTTTTTGGTGCTAATACTACGCATCATGGGAATAGTAGTCCCACAGCAATATGGGCTGACCTTTCTTTTGTACGAATATCACATATGTAAAAAAAAAAAACAGATCTAATCATTTTTAAGAACACACATGGCAATGATAGCAAACCTTGGGCCCGCTAGCAGCTCTAGGTTATATTTCCCATAATGCAAAGCAAGTAATTTAATGGTCTAATCAGGATGAGAAACAGTTCACAGCACCTTGAATGTCAAAAATTAATCTGAATGTAAATCAATTTTAGGATATGACCCTTGTCCGTACCCATATTACTATCATCTAATCAGAACTAGACTGGGCAAAACTTTAAACAAGGTGACCCATTATTAACAGTTTAACAGCTATGACCCTTATGTAGCATTTCATCGGTTATAACAGTAACAGTATAAAAGTAACCAATTGATTTATCATCAAATCAGGGCAAAAAATAAAATCCAGTTAGAAACCTTGTAGCACAAAGAATGTAGCCAAGTATCCCAAGATTCCGATTCAACCCCCCCAAAAACACATGGATATGTACTGACACAGTCAGACTCTCGTTAATAAATATTTATAATAAAATTGTAAACATCCTTTCTACAATGCAAATGGTACCTGCCTTTAGCCTACAGAATATAAACAAAAAATATACAGGTTATCAGTGTATTATAAAGTCGGAACCAGAAAACCTACACTAAATACAGAGGCAAATGTATCTTGTTCAGACGGTATAAAATATTTAGCAGATATGGTGTAATGGTCCCCTTTCTGTTCCGTTGACAGATAAGCACGTCTGCGTAGCTCAATGACGTACATAGGAAACATTGTGTTTTGATATCAAGGTATAGTAGCATCAGGTTAAATTAATTAATAGGGGACTGACACTTTGTAATATTTTGTTTTTAATCATCCCTTTACCTATATCCCTTTACTTATATTTAATAATTATGACTTTTTGAGGAGTAAAATATAAAATTTTATGTTAAAATTCGCACTCTTTTTCCCGTATGTGGGTGCCTCCATCTTAGTTCCCTATCAGTTATTGAAGTAAATATATCTTATGCACCTGGTAGTCATCATAAAGCAAGCATACAGAGAAGAGGCTAAATGAATCAATGTATCTATTTCTCCTCCTCATCTGCAATGATTGCCCTGGCTGTGCCTTGTCTGAACTGGATTATGATGTAATTTTCTAGATCTTTAATAAAAATTTAAAAGAAAATGCATCATAAAATAAAATAAAAATGTAATTAATGAATACAAGTTAGAGGTCATTTTCAAACTTTTTATTCAATGGTGCAGTGCGCTTTTTAAAGAAAGGAATATTTTACAGGACTGCTAAATAAAGGGATAGTTCCCCCTTCCTGGGCCCTGTTGACAGTAGTGATAAACACAAATAAATAGCATTTAAAGTGAATTCAGAAACTCTAAATTTACCATATGTGTAATTAATTCTATATTTTACAGCATATACTACTTTGTATACCTCTTAGCCCAGTTCCTAGAGGCCTCCAAATATTGACGATTTAAGGCCAACCCTGTTTTGTTCCATTAGAGATATTTAAGAAATGATTTTTATTATCGGTATTTATAAAGTGCCAACGTATTCTGCAGCGCTGTACAAAAATACAGAGCTAACACACAGTACAATATAGATACACAATCCAACAGAGAAGGAATAGAGGATCCTGCCCTTAAGCTGAGATCTAACATTTAAAGCCCATTTATACAAAGTACACAGCTAAATAGATTGTAAGCTTACAATCTAAAGGGATCAAATTATTAAACTGCGAAAAGTTCTAAATTACCTGAAATGCGACCGATAATAACTCACTTGCTTTGCAATACTTATGGGCACGCCTCTGTCATTCAAAGAGTTAAAGAGTGTTAGGTGAGCTATGAAAAGTCCAAAGATCATATAGGGTGTGTGTTGTAGAACAGATAGGAAGACAGTCTGGGTGGGGCAGATATGCATTAGGAGCAGGATGTAGTGTACAGTCAGTGCAGTTGTAAAGTCTATATGGGTGCAGGATGCAACCCTCTTACCTGTTCAGGAGTAAAACTGTGAACCTCAGAGCTCTCCTATGTCTTTCAGGACACGGGAAAGGTCTGATTTAGCTTTCACAGGATACTAAAAGCAAAGAAGGAGGACAGCCAATAGGGAATGGCTTTCCTCCCCTCCTAGGCTTCCCTCCCGCTTGGGATTTGGCCATACAAGGCAAAGGAATTTGAGGAGGATGTCAGATCTCTGGGATACACATATCCAGACCCAAATGCAGGATATTCTGCCTTATATAGCTCTTAGGCCCACTGCCTGTCGATTTAAAGGGCACCCTCTATACAAGGCTGTATACACTGGGGAGCACTGACAGCCAGCCATATAAGGGGTTACTGCTTGTATACGCTGGAGAAGGGTAAGTTGTACACAGCAGGAGAAAGAAAGAGCCAGCGGTTGAAACAGCTGGTGGATTCTAGAGAACCAGCAGCTGATTTAAAAAGACGTTACTATACAAGTAGTGTTTAAAGTGAAATGTATGTGTTAATCTCTGCTATTTATGGAGACCCACAGCAAATTACAGAAACAGACAGTGATGTAAGGCTATATACAGTTGTATGGACTATACCAGGCATAGGCAACCTTCGGCACTCCAGATGTTTTGGACTACACCTCCCGTGATGCTTTGCCAGCATTATAGGTGTAAGAGCATTATGGGGGATGTAGTCCACATCATCTGGAGTGCCAAACGTTGCCTATCCCTGGACTGATAATTCCTCTGTACACTGCTCCACTGGCAATCAAAACCCAATGTCAATAAGACCACACTTGTTCAGTGAAGCAGGTTTGTAACATAAAGTTCAACTGCCTTCCACCTGCTAAAGAAGTGTCTGCCACAATATTACCAGTTTAACCCCGTCATGTTAGTCTCGATGGGTGCACTTTAATAAGATAACTACGAGGGATGCCCCAACAAAATATGAATAACACTCAAATGTACAGCAAAATAAAAAAAATGAAACGTGACAGAACACCGTTGAAGGCGAATTTTTTCAAAAAAATCTTAGAAAGAATCGTAAACGAATCGTGTTCAGTTTAGTGATTTAAAAAAGTTAATGTGTTATGTTGCATTTACACTTTTTTAATCACTAAAATGTATATATTTAGACTGGATTGTCCCTCTGTCTATCTATCGAACATACACAGAGGAAGTGTAGACAGGATTATGTTACATACATCCCCATTACACACCCTTGTGCTGACATGTTTGCGTAGGGTAGTGAGCACAAAGGGCGCTATGTATAAAGAGGGATTCTGGGGCAAAATTCTAAAAGTAGCGCCTTCAGGGGGGACATTCCATTGGTCTCCATGGTGATAGCTCCACTTTAGAACTTTGCCCCAGATTTACTCTTTACAATTAACCCCCATGATTCCCATAGTGGAACCTTACAGCGTGAGAATGGGATTGTGCAGAATTTTGCAGAACTGAACTGAAACATTTAAACCGCCAATCTTATAAAATAAGATTTTGTGGGCTTTAGAGCGTATAGTTATAATGCTCAGTCTGTATCAGTGTGTTTCCCCCCCTATTCCTTAATTCACTGCTGAGCTGAGCTGTTTATAAATTACACAAGTTCCTACGTGACATGCTGGTACATCTGGAAATACCTGATTGATTGATTGATTGATTGACTGATTACCTAAGCCCCCTATCTCTTACCTGTGTCTCTGTGTATTCCTTCCGGTAAGGACAGTGCAGTGGGAGGGTTCTCGGTGAGATCACCTGTGACAGGCAAAGGGAGGAACACAGGAAGGTGCAGGACAAAGTGTAAGGATCGTTTACAGGTAAGTCTATATACCCATAGGGACTCAAGGTGGGGCAGTGGGCATTTATGGTGCTTTAACCATTTCTGTGCTGTACAAGTCCACAATTAGTTTCACTTCTACTGTGTGACTACAGGTATACCTAGCATATAAAAATGACCTAACAGTTCCTATATTTATTGATGATTGCACACAGACAGTCCTGGCTTACTATCTAATGTACAGCCACCTCACAGCTGCAGATTATCAGGACGGGCTCAGGCAGTGCTGGGGTTAAAGCTAATGTATAGCGACCCCTTGACTGCAGATTATCAGGACAGACTCAGACAGTGCTGGGTATATATCTCATGTACAGCGACCCCCTGACTGCCAATTATCAGGACAGGCTCAGACAGTGCTGGGTTTATATCTAATGTACAGCGACCCCTGACTGCCAATTATCAGGACAGGCTCAGACAGTGCTGGGTTTATATCTAATGTACAGCGACCCCCTGACTGCCAATTATCAGGACAGGCTCAGACAGTGCTGGGTTTATATCTAATGTACAGCGACCCCTGACTGCCAATTATCAGGACAGGCTCAGACAGTGCTGGGTTTATATCTAATGTACAGCGACCCCCTGACTGCCAATTATCAGGACAGGCTCAGACAGTGCTGGGTTTATATCTAATGTACAGCGACCCCTGACTGCCAATTATCAGGACAGGCAGACTGTGCTTGGTTTGTTTCTAATGTACAGTGACCTCCTGACTGTAGATTTTCAGGACAAGCTCTGACAGTGCTGGGTTTTTATCTAAGCAGCGACCCTCTGACTGCAGAATTATCAGGACAGGCTCAGACAGTGATGGGTTCGTATCTAATGTACACTGTTTCCCTGACTGCAGATTATTAGAACAGGCTCAGACAGCGCTGGGTTTATATCTAATGTATAGCGACCCCCTGACTGCAGATTATCAGGATAGGCTCAGACAGTATTGGGTTTATATCTAAACAGTGGCCCTCTGCAGCACAGTTATCAGGACAGGCAGACTGTGCTTGGTTTGTTTCTATTGTACAGTGACCCCCTGACTGCAGATTGTCAGGACAGGCTCAGACAGTACTGGGTTTATGTCTTATCAGCACCCTCCTGACCGCGGATTGTCAGAACAGGTTCCGACTGAGCTGGGTTTATATCTAATGTACCGAGACCCCTGCCCTGACTACTTAATTTCAGGACAGGTTCAGATAGTGCTGTTTTTGTTTTTTTGTGAATATCTGTTTATTTCGACAAGAGAATCTGCTGTCATTTTCCTTTTTTCTTTTTTGTGTCGAATACAACATATAACAGAGTAGTGCAAGACACGCAGGTCTGTATCAGTTAAATGTGAAACTGTGGAACTCGCAGGTTCCGTGAACATCTAACCAACATGTGAGACATGCAGGCCTCAATTTTCCTTGAGACAGTGCTAGTTTTATATCTAATGTACAGAGACTCCCTGACTGTAGATTATCAGGACAGGCTCAGACAGTGCTGGGTTTATATCTAATGTACAGAGTATCCCTGACTATAGATTATCAGGACAGGCTCAGACAGTGCTCGTTTTATATCTAATGTACAGAATATCCCTGACTATAGATTATCAGGACAGGCTCAGACAGTGCTCGTTTTATATCTAATGTACAGAGTATCCCTGACTATAGATTATCAGGACAGGCTCAGACAGTGCTCGTTTTATATCTAATGTACAGAATATCCCTGACTATAGATTATCAGGACAGGCTCAGACAGTGCTCGTTTTATATCTAATGTACAGAGTATCCCTGACTATAGATTATCAGGACAGGCTCAGACAGTGCTCGTTTTATATCTAATGTACAGAATATCCCTGACTATAGATTATCAGGACAGGCTCAGACAGTGCTGGGTTTATATCTAATGTACAGAGTATCCCTGACTATAGATTATCAGGACAGGCTCAGACAGTGCTCGTTTTATATCTAATGTACAGAATATCCCTGACTATAGATTATCAGGACAGGCTCAGACGGTGATAATTTGTATCTAATGTACAGAACCTTCATGACTATAGATGGACTGGCTGAGTCAATGTGGGTGTTGTACATAAAATCTAGTGAGTGTCAGACAGCAGGTTATTAGGACAGGACAAATTAGTGAGACGAAGTTTGGAATTTAGGGACAGAAGTCAAGTAGCGAAAAAAGCTGTGATAGATCATTGTGTGATAGAAACGGAATGTTATAAATAAAATGATTGAGCATGGGGCAGAGTATTGTAAGTTTGTCATTTCTTCCATTATCTACCTTTTACAATAAGAGAGCACTGCACTCATATAGAGCTAGGCCAACCTATAATTCTTCTGTAAACCAGAAGTCTTCAGGGTCCAGTGTGAGTCCCCTGATTAAACCACCCTTAGTGGTGAGTGAAGGAGGGGGTAGTGCAGTAATGAGGTGTCCATTCATCACATGAAGGCTAAACAAGTCACTGCAGATGTTTGTGACCTACCTTAAACTATCTTCTGGCAAAGCATGAGAAGAAGTGCACTTTGCAAACATCTGCAGTACCAAGAAGTTCCATCTCTGCCATTTAAATAAACAGGAACAAAATGTACTCTTGGAAATCAGTCTAAATCTTAAACCCTTGTTGTGATTCTAAGTGAATTTCAAATTTAAAGGAACGTTCCAGGCACCATAACAACTTTATTGCATGGACAGGCTATAGACACCAGAACCACTATAGTAAGCTGTAGTAGGTTTGGTGACTATAGTGTCCTTTTAACCCACTAATGGTTAAACCCCACAATCTTGAATCCAGGGACCTCCTGGCGCCATAACTATTTCATTTTAACTAAGATGTTATGGTGCCAAGAGTATTGCTTTAAAGCCAAAAAAATCTGAACTGGAAAAATTCTCCCTAGTCTGTTATGCTTAAAGTTTGGCTTTTTTTGGTCTAAAATGAAAAATTAACTGTGAATTCTCACGTTGGTGAATAACACTGTTCGTAGGTACAGTTTGCACAGTTGTAAATAAAATGATCAATATAATAATAAACGATTATAAAGTTATCGTAGTCATTACAGATATTTAATGAAAAGCCATGTATACAGAAGAATATCCATATTTTTCATATTTCCACAAAGCTTAAATAACCAACCCACAATTTGTTGACTTTTTATTAAATATTAGTGCAGCACAGGCTTTGCTGGAATAAACAATCACGCACTAACCTTAAAGGATCACTATAGTGTCAGGAAAACAAATCGGTTTTCCTGACACTATAGTACCCTGAGGGTGAGGGCACCGTCAGGGTCCCCCATTGTAATTTATGTCCCCCACCCACCACGCAAGGGTGGGGGCCGGGGGGAGGACAGTAGGTCCCCCCTCATTATCTTTATGGCCCCCGTCCGCCGCCCAGGGGTGGGGGCCGGGGGGGAGGACAGTAGGTCCCCCCCCATTATCTTTATGGCCCCCACCCACCACTCAAGGGTGGGGGCCGGGGGGGAGGACAGTAGGTCCCCCATTGTAATTTATGGCCCCCAACTACCACGCAGGGGTGGGGGCCGGGGGGAGGACAGTAGGTCCCCCCCCTCATTATCTTTATGGCCCCGGTCTGCCGCCCAGGAGTGGAGGCCAGGGGGGGAGGACAGTAGGTCCCCCCCCCCATTATCTTTATGGCCCCCACCCACCGCTCCAGGGTGGGGCCCAAGGGGGAGGACAGTAGGTCCCCCCCATTGTAATTTATGGCCCCCACCCGTCGCACAGGGGTGGTAGCAATAGGTTTTTTTAGTTTTTTTTTTTACAGTGAGCAGCCACAGGCTGCTCACTGCTTAGTAGACATGCCCCTACTCGTGGTATAGCGAGTAGGGGCTGAATTTACTAATACTAAGTAATCTTTACTTAGTATTAGTAAATGTGGCTGAAAGACCAATTTAGGTCTTTCAGCCTTTTAGTAGATATTTCTCCCCCCCTCCCTGTCAATTTATTTCTCCCCGCCTCCCTGTCAATTTATTTTCCCCCCCCATCAATTTATTTCTCCCCCCATCAATTCTCTGTCAATTTCTTTTTCCCCCTCCTGTCGCTGTTGTAGCGGTTGAGCTCTGGTCCACGGCAGGAGTTTTGTTTCCTGTACCGGACTAAAAGGAAGTGCACACTCAGAGTGCACTTCCTGTTAGTCCGGCCGGGTACAGGAGACAGATGCTCCCTGTACCCGCGGACCATACGCGGGTCGGCCACGCTACAGTGAGTGAGTGACAGGAGGGAGTGCTGAGCACTTCCCTCCTGTCAGCCCCTCTTCTCATGCTGCGCCCGGGCGGTGCGCCCTCATGGACGCACCAGCCCGGGCAAAGCTGCAGCCGCCTGAGGCTCTCTACAGAACGCTTGGGCGGCTGCAGCATGAGGGGGGCCGGCACTCCTGGCAGCGCCCCTTCCCAACAGGTAGCGCCGGCCCTGGGGTTAAGGCAGTGCTGGAATATAATGGTGGCCACACAGAATATTGACACTTTTGGCCCAATTTGGACATTTCCACTTAGAGGTGTGCTCACTTTTGTTGCCAATGGTTTAGACATTAATGGCTGTGTATTGAGTTATTTTGAGGGGACAGCAAATTTACACTGTTATACAGGCTGTACACTTACTACTTTACATTGTAGCAGAGTGCCATTTCTTCAGTGTTGTCACATGAAAAGATATAATAAAATATTTACAAAAATATGAGGTGTATGTGAGATACTGTGTGTGTGTGTGTGTGTGTGTGTGTGTGTATATATATATATATACACACATACACATATATATGTATACTGTGTGTGTGTGTGTGTGTGTGTGTGTATACACACATACACACAGTATATAGCAAACCAAATCACATTTCAGTTCAGTTCAATCCTGGCACAGCCAGGCACAAAATGCAAATGAGGAGCAGAACAGAATTCTCAGTTTAGCGAATAGCCCTGATTGTTTCTCCTCTTCACCCAACTATTTTCATGTCAGAAAATTAGCAACATTTAGAGCAATAATTGACTGGGAGTAAAGATAAAAGTATCCAGTTTCAGGATAGTCATGTGAATTTCTTTGAATTTTTTCTTTCAGCCTTCACAAAACATAAGATCAACAACACAAAAATCCTTTCCTTTAAATGTTCATCCTGTCTACAAGCACAGCTCTTTACCCACAGCAGATTAGGTAAGAGGGTTTATTACATTATTAAACAGATTATATTAATTATCTTTTTTCTTAATCATCTGAAAGCAGATTACAGAGAGACAAAAACATCTACAACACAAAAATCATGACATACTGCTTTGCCATTGGTAGAAACGTCAATGCATTGCGAGATGAGAGAAGCTGCTTTACTGTTACTCTTAAAGGATTTTACTTACATTATTATCCCTCGAAGATCTGGCCTCCAGGCTGCTGCTCTACCTGCTTGGCTGACATTATCACCCTTGATGATCTCAGCCAATCTAATGCTTACTCATAGGGTAGCATTGGGAGGCTAGTGTGGAAAATCACTGCGTTGATCCAATCAGCATATCCCAAATCAATGCATCTCTAGGAGGGCCGTTCAGAGACTGAAAGTGGGGCCTGCAAAGATTGTAGGACCTTGTCCAGGAAGTAACCTCTAGTGACCGTCTGAGTGACAGCCACTAAACGTGGACTTAGGCAGCAATGTAAACACTGCCTTTTCTCTGAAAAGACAGGATTTATAATGATCAGCCTGCAGTGACAGTCTATAGACACCAGAACCACTACATTAAGCTGCAGTGGTTCTGGTGACTATAATGTCCCTTTAAGAAAGCTTTAAACCAGCAGACTTTGTAAGAGGGTGACTGGGAGGATATCGGGGAGGATGCAGCTAAAAACCTCCATTTGTGTAACACTTTAGGAGCACAACCCCCGGCAAACAATGTCAAATGGGAAAGTCCCCCACAGAAAAATGTTGTAGAGGCTGTGGCCACAAAGATACTTATGTTCACATGTGGTGGATATGTCCAAAGCTATTGGAATTTGATGCGGGGGTTATTAAAAAACGTGTTGAAAAGACACATACATATAGATCCTTGGTCATTGTTATAGGCCAAACCTACTGAGGGCTTGAACTCACAGAAACAAAAGCTGCTGAATAAAATCACTCTGGCAGCAAGACATACCTTAGCCCAAATATGGCTTCAGTTGGAAACACCCGAGATTGACAGTGTCATTTAAAAAAAAATCAAAGACAATTATTTGATTGGCAAATTAACGGCTCAAATACGGAATACAGAGTCTACATTTACTAATTCACTAATGTCTGGCAACCCTGGAAAGACTATATATAGATCAATAACCCTTAGATAGGACAATTAGGATCCTAAACGTAGCGAAACAGATGATCCCCCAGTACTGGAAAAGCAAAGAAACACCCACACTAGACAAATGGTTCACCCAGATAGAGGACTTAAAGGAACACTAAAGGGCCAGGAACACAAACATGTATTCCTGACCCTTTAGTGTTAAAACCACCATCTACCCCCCTGGTCCCCTCATGTCTCCCTAAATATAGCAAAATCTTACTTGTATTCAAGCCTGAAGCTGTAACTCTGCATGCTGTTTGCCTCAGAAAAGCAAGCTGACGGCTGACATCATCAGAAGTGGTGGCCTGATCCAATCACAGTGCTTCTCCATAGGATTGGCTGAAACTGACAAGGAGGCAGATCAGGGGCAGAACCAGCACAATTCAAACACAGCCCTGGCCAATCAGCATCTCCTCATAGAGATGAATTAAATTAATGAATCTCTATGAGGAAAGTTCAGTGTCTCCATGCAGAGGGAGGAGACACTGAATGTTTGGATGCATTTTAGGCAGCCTTGACCCAGGAAGGTTCTCTAACAGCTATCTAAGAAGTGGCCAGTGAAGGCTGTAATGTAAACATTGCATTTTCTCTGAAAAGACAGTGTTTACAGCAAAAAGCCTGAAGGGAATGATTCTACTCACCAGAACAAATTCAGTAAGCTGTAGTTGTTCTGGTGACTATAGTGTCCCTTTAAGGGCTATAGAGGACCTACACATGAAGTCAACCGATAAGTCTCAATAATATCTAGACATATGGGCACACTGGCTACTAAGCACAGCAGGGGGAAGATTTGCTAACAAAATCCAGTGAGTCGTCACTCCTAGCATTCCATCCGAATGGAGTAAACCCCCAAACATAGTGCAAGCCATGACAGAGGCCTGCTTCCCCCCTTCCTCCTTACCCCCCCATATTCTTCTCCCCTGCCCACCCTCCCCCACCTCTCTTTTCACATAGTCTCATGCTCGACATCCACCAGACAGACACACAATATACGAGATAGATAAATGATTGCACACCATTCATGTATATAGGAATTACTGAAATGTTTAAATGTGCGTTTCCCTTCGAGGGACCTGCGAGTCCTTTTCAGGTTACGATAGATCGCAAAATAGAGACCTGCGCGTCTCATCTAATGATATGCATGAGTCTGATCCGAGACCTGCGTGTCTCATATGACAGTATTTACCATACTTAATTTACACGTTATAAAGACCGGAAACTGGGAGTCTCACCACTGTTTGACACCATACAATATAACATGCAAAATAAACACAATAAAAATATATTTACAAAAAAAACTGCTTAGATAGGACCCTGGGATGGAGCGCATGGACCCTACCTTTCTCCCTACCCCACACCCACCCCTTTTTTGGGGGGAGGTGGGGTTGGGATTTAATTCGGGATGTATACATTTTATGTTTTATGTTTGAAATATTGTTAAAATTAAAAGCTCAGAGTAAGGAGACAACAAAACGAATGACGAGTGATCCATGTAGCATAGCAGCGTTTTATCAGTAACAATTGTAGAAGGCAATTAAGATTGAATGTCTAGCAACTATAGCGCATTATAAAGCTCCTGAGATTTTTTTTATACCTTATTTCAAAACACGATGTATGAAGATGTTCCTAAACTTTATCACATGCTCTTGATTGCATACCTGTCCACTTGTACTCTTAAATAAATAATTTAAAAAAAAAAAAAAAGTTTTAAAACAAATAGCTTTCAATGTAAATCTTTTCCTAGCAATTTGGACAGCACAACATGCAAATGTGAAGCAAATTATTTTCCTTAAGTAACAAGGCCTATTATCATTTGTTGACAAATGACAACAGAATGTAGTACAGTCATGCTGAGACAGATACATTTGGAAAGGCTTATGTGATAAATAATTAGTTGTGTGATTCTTCCCCCCGAACCCAACTGTTTTGGCCTATACAGGGAGTGCAGAATTATTAGGCAAGTTGTATTTTTGAGGATTAATTTTATTATTGAACAACAACCATGTTCTCAATGAACCCAAAAAACTCATTAATATCAAAGCTGAATATTTTTGGAAGTAGTTTTTAGTTTGTTTTTAGTTATAGCTATGTTAGGGGGATATCTGTGTGTGCAGGTGACTATTACTGTGCATAATTATTAGGCAACTTAACAAAAAACAAATATATACCCATTTCAATTATTTATTATTACCAGTGAAACCAATATAACATCTCAACATTCACAAATATACATTTCTGACATTCAAAAACAAAACAAAAACAAATCAGTGACCAATATAGCCACCTTTCTTTGCAAGGACACTCAAAAGCCTGCCATCCATGGATTCTGTCAGTGTTTTGATCTGTTCACCATCAACATTGCGTGCAGCAGCAACCACAGCCTCCCAGACACTGTTCAGAGAGGTGTACTGTTTTCCCTCCTTGTAAATCTCACATTTGATGATGGACCACAGGTTCTCAATGGGGTTCAGATCAGGTGAACAAGGAGGCCATGTCATTAGATTTTCTTCTTTATACCCTTTCTTGCCAGCCACGCTGTGGAGTACTTGGACGCGTGTGATGGAGCATTGTCCTGCATGAAAATCATGTTTTTCTTGAAGGATGCAGACTTCTTCCTGTACCACTGCTTGAAGAAGGTGTCTTCCAGGAACTGGCAGTAGGACTGGGAGTTGAGCTTGACTCCATCCTCAACCCGAAAAGGCCCCACAAGCTCATCTTTGATGATACCAGCCCAAACCAGTACTCCACCTCCACCTTGCTGGCGTCTGAGTCGGACTGGAGCTCTCTGCCCTTTACCAATCCAGCCACGGGCCCATCCATCTGGCCCATCAAGACTCACTCTCATTTCATCAGTCCATAAAACCTTAGAAAAATCAGTCTTGAGATATTTCTTGGCCCAGTCTTGACGTTTCAGCTTGTGTGTCTTGTTCAGTGGTGGTCGTCTTTCAGCCTTTCTTACCTTGGCCATGTCTCTGAGTATTGCACACCTTGTGCTTTTGGGCACTCCAGTGATGTTGCAGCTCTGAAATATGGCCAAACTGGTGGCAAGTGGCATTGTGGCAGCTGCACGCTTGACTTTTCTCAGTTCATGGGCAGTTATTTTGCGCCTTGGTTTTTCCACACGCTTCTTGCGACCCTGTTGACTATTTTGAATGAAACGCTTGATTGTTCGATGATCACGCTTCAGAAGCTTTGCAATTTTAAGAGTGCTGCATCCCTCTGCAAGATATCTCACTATTTTTGACTTTTCTGAGCCTTTCAAGTCCTTCTTTTGACCCATTTTGCCAAAGGAAAGGAAGTTGCCTAATAATTATGCACACCTGATATAGGGTGTTGATGTCATTAGACCACACCCCTTCTCATTACAGAGATGCACATCACCTAATATGCTTAATTGGTAGTAGGCTTTCGAGCCTATACAGCTTGGAGTAAGACAACATGCATAAAGAGGATGATGTGGTCAAAATACTCATTTGCCTAATAATTCTGCACTCCCTGTAGTCAGTTCCAACTTCCAAATAGCCAAAATATACTTTCTAACGTGTTTATTGAATAAACCCTACGTACTTCTATAGAAATATCCCAGAAAGCCTTAAAATGGAAGGCCTCGACTCTAAGCAGCTTTACTTTTCCCATTGACAAGGGTTTTGTTTTTTTTAAATTTAATCTCTGTAGTTTTTATTGATCGTTTTATCACAGTTGCATTAGAGTATGATGATTTTTGGGCCTAAGAAAAAATAAAAAATAAAAGCTCTGCAAGGAAGGCATCTATCTTCTACAACATGGGTAGACAACCTACGGCACTCCAAATTACTACATCTACCCTGATGCTTTGCCAGCATTTGCCAGCACCAATCTAGTCTGCCCAATTTTTTTGAAATACTTGTATTAGTCCCTGGTCTTATCTTATAGTTAGGATAGCCTTATGCATATCCCACACATGCTTAAACTCCTTCACTATGTTAACCTCTACCACTTCAGCTGGAAGGCTAGTCCATGCATCCACTACCCTCTCAGTAAAGTAATACTTCCTGATATTATTTTTAAACCTTTGTCCCTCTAATTTAAGACTATGTCTTCTTGTTGTGGTAGTTTTTCTTCTTTTAAATATAGTCTCCTCCTTTACTCTGTTGATTCCCTTTATGTATTTAAATGTTTCTATCATATCCCCCCTGTCTTGTCTTTCCTCCAAGCTATACATGTTAAGATCCTTTAACCTTTCCTGGTAAGTTTTATCCTGCAATCCATGAACCAGTTTAGTAGCCCTTCTCTGAACCCTCTCTAAGGTATCAATATCCTTCTGAAGATACGGTCTCCAGTACTGTGTACAATACTCCAAGTGAGGTCTCACCAGTGTTCTGTACAATGGCATGAGCACTTCCCTCTTTCTACTGCTAATACCTCTCCCTATACAACCAAGCATTCTGCTAGCATTTCCTGCTGCTCTATTACATTGTCTGCCTACCTTTTAAGTCATCAGAAATAATCACCCCTAAATCCCTTTCCTCATATGTTGAGGTTAGGACTCTATCAAATATTCTGTACTCTGCCCTTGGGTTTTTACGTCCAAGATGCATTATCTTGCACTTATCTACATTAAATGTCAGTTGCCACAACTCTGACCATTGTTCTAGTTTACCTAAATCATTTGCCATTTGGCTTATCCCTCCTGGAACATCAACCCTGTTACATATATCTGGAGTGCTGAAGGTTGCCTACCTCTGTTCTCTATTAACTATTCAAGACCAGGGTGTTGGGCATTATTTATTGTTGTCCTGTACACCCTATCTCCATCATATTACCCTAATACCCTCCACCACATCAGCAAGAGGGTGGAGGAAAGGGCAGTGACCATTCACCATGTCAGGCTACCTAGATTAAAACCGAAAGAAATAGCATATATTATTGTATTATAACATGTTTACACCTTAATCTATTTCCACATTTTTTTTTTTGTATTTTTTTTTACCACTTCGCAATATCCTTTATAGGAATAGATTTTTTTTGTAATTTTTATTTTGTACCTGTAAATTTGTTTGACCTAGATCCTCTTGCACAATTTGTCGTTGTCTCACTGAAAACCTCCAGTGGGTTTCATGCTGATGAATTATACGCTAATATATCTTTGTGTGAAAGAAAGTTTAATCCTCATGTTAGGGCTTTTTCTAAAATTTCCTTTTATTTAAAACTTCCACTAGTGTCAATGTCATGTGCGTTAAAACAAAGGAGTATAGCTCTAGATATTGTGTGAGGCTTTAGGCTATCCTTCGGAGAATGTCATTCAACAAATTGTCAGTCATGTAAACGTAAAGAGCAAACACTGAGTACTTCCGAAGTGCTTACGCATGCTTGTGTCTGGTTGGCTTACAGTTAGCAATGATCTCGCAGTTTACACGTGTGCCAACACAAGCCACTGCAACGCTGGTGCAGCTGGAGTTTGGCTGCAAAATCATGAATTTAGGGCTTTAATTAATTCAATTAAGCTTTTTAAATGAATTAATATTTTTGGATGAGAGTGTGAAATATATTTTTTTCAAAATATTAAAATTTTCTAAATATATCATATCAGTATAGAAAAACATATTAAAACATTTTTTTAAAATATTAAATAATTTAGAAAGTTTGTCCAAAAATATTCAATATTCAATCATTGGAAAAGCTTATGCACAAATATTAAATCAAGGCCATAATGAGGGCAGATTAGGCAGAATGCATAGTTTTGTTTAGCAGTGTTTCTTAAAAGTTGTTTTTTCTTTCGTTGGTTCTTATTAAGTGTCCCTAATGCACGGAGATCTAGTAACCCTGTGTCGTGTTCTCCCTGAGCCTTTTATAATCTCAGCAGAACAAGGATGATCACTGGCCAGTAGATGGCGAAAGAAACCAAGAATTGTATAACTATTCCTTTGCTATTTCGTACTTGGGCGCGTGCAATGCATCGGCATTTGGTGTGGTATTCAAAGGTTACATTAGTAGAATAGGTGTGTACTGCAAGTTTCACATTTTTATTTATTTTTATTTTTTTAACAAAAGGCCAACAGCTGTCGAAAATTTAGTCACAATGGACACTTATTTGTTTTAATGGAAAATACAGAAATCTAACAATGTATTTATTTTTGTAAATTCCAAATGAAGCTTTACTTAAAAGATTGTACACTTCTCTCTAGAGATAACATTGTGTATACATAGACATACTACTCAACACTTTGCGGTATGAATTTGGGACTGGTGGTGGTGCATGCTGGACATCATTGGTGATGCCATAGTTTTTGGGCATGCCCGCAATAAGGGGCAGTCTTGCCCAAGAATGGATAATGTCAGCCTGGAGTACACGCATGCCAACTCTTTCGCTAGTACCACTCTCTTATCTTATGATGCACTCCTGCTGTAATTTCTGGGGACCAGGAATGGGACATCAGAGACCAAAAGCAGGACAGCAAGACAGGACTCTAAAATTGTGACTATTCAGACTGTTCGATAGCTGTTGGCCTTTAAAAAATAAATAAATAAATAAAGTAAATACTTCAGTACACACCAATTGCACTAATGTTACCTTTGAATAACACAGCAAATGCCAATGCATTGCACCGCTGGTTAGTAGGGAGGAACACATTAGCAGTTCTGCATGTTTTTGTCTTTAAAGGAATACTTTGGGTCAGGAACACAAACATGTATTTCTAACCATATAGTGTTAAAATCACTAGCCTCCCCCACAGCTCTCCCTTGCCACCCCTAAATATAGTAAAATCTTACCTTTATTCCAGTCTGCTGGTGCTGGCTCTGCCCCTGATCTGCGTGCTTGGCTGTCATCCTGAGAAATTATGTTCTCAGCCAATCACAATGCTTTCCCATAGCAAAGCATTGGATTGGCTGAGACTGTCAATTCTGATGATCTCAGCTAAGGAGGCGGGCTGGGGGTAGAGCCAAACTCCACCCTGGCCAATCAGCACCTCCTCATAGAGATGCATTGAATAGTAAACCTTTATCCAAAAAAGTGATAGGAGGTCAACACTAGTTAACGTATACCTCCCAATTGTCCCATAGTTTGCATGAAATTCCTTGCATCCCTGGTTGATTTTCTTTTTCTTACTTGCTTTATCACCAAAGGCACTCTCCAAACAGCTCAGTGAGAGTAATTAAATGTATTAAATAAAGGCCCTTCTGTCTAAACAAGAATGCTTTAGCAGCGTGGTACGCATGCACAGTGCATGAGGGTGGAGGGGTAAAAGTTGACAGTCAACTCAACATGCAGAATGCCGGGCTGATATGTGCATCTTGTATTTGTCATTGGCTTGCATAGTCAATTCTCTCCCTGCCAATCAAAATGTGCTAAGAAAACGAAACCTCAGAACTCATCCAAAGCTTGGATGGCTATATTAGGGAAATATAATATATCTGAGCAGCAACAGAGGATTAAGGGCATGGGTTGCCATTTCTAAACAGAGCCCTATTTTTGTTGAAAAAGGTTTAACAAAAAACAAGGGTAAGGAACCCAAATAATATCTGCCCCATAACCACCGGAATAGTAACAGAACCAAGTTAATATATTTCGAATAAATTGCATTTTCTAAGTTGATTTTTTTTTTTTTTTTTTTTAAATAAGATAGAAAATTTAGTCTGGCCTTTAACTTATTGCCTTGGTTCTGGATTCTTTTACAATTAGTCAAGCTCAGAGATAGGAGCCGCTATATAAAACCCGATACTCATTTCAAACCTCCATGCAGCGGAAGAGGTCAAGAGCCAATCCCTCTAATAAATAATCCGGCTACAAGTAGCACTAGTGTTGACACTAGAGCCTTTTTAAAAATGTCTATATTCCTGTCTGCATTTTATTCTGTTCTCAGCATGGGAAAATTATCAATTACTATATGTGCTGAGATAAAATTTCTGGTTTTTACTTAACGTTGTCTTTTTTGCTCAAAGATGAAAGTGCTAAAAACCAGGCTTCCCCAAGCTCTGGCCCTCCAGATGTTGCTGAACTACAACTCCCATGATTCTATGAGTGAAATAGATAGGCTGAGAATCATGGGAGTTGTATTTCAGCAACATCTGGAGGGCTGGAGTTTGGGGAAGCCTGTGCTAAACAGTGAAACGTGTAATCTATAAACATTGTGTACATGCTGGGCAGAGCTACGAGGTTTGGCAACAGAGGAAGTAAACATGTAGAAGCTGTTTCAATGATTAGACTTCTGAGAAGTGGCCTTTTCTTTAAAGTGAAACACTGTTACGTGACATTTCTGGGTTTGCTGTGGACGTCCTTAACCATTTATTTTGTTGTCGGACTGAAATGGAAGTTCTTAATTTGTGCACAGCTGCCTAGAGAGCACAATACAAACATCTTTGTTTACGGCATATTCAATGCCTTCCTTTTTTTCTCCTTAGAGGATGAATTATGTGGGACAGCTAGCGGGGTCCGTGCTAGGCCGCGTTCGAGACCTGTATAAAGGCGTGAATCCGGCCACACTTTCTGGATCCATCGATGTGGTGGTGATCAGACAGCCAGATGGCTCTTTCCGGCCTCCTTTTCATGTTCGCTTTGGAAAACTGGGCATATTACGATCTGCAGAAATGGGGGTAAATTTAAAGCACTTTAACTCAATGTTAATTCTTACCAGTAGAGATTTGCTTGTCTGTTTCCATTTCTGAATCAAAATAATATATTGATTACCATGCTATAATTTACTTTCACTTTAATACAAATTTATAACAGGTTCTCTTCTACATGTGTAACATTTGAAATGTCTACTTCCAAAATTATTGTGTAGTTATATTTTCAGTCACTTATCCTCTTGTGATGTCCGTGCTATACTGGAAACGGGAATAAGTCTGATTTTCTTGAGATTCACAACTCACTCTTTCTAATTATTTTTGCAATGTTTTAAAATCATTTAAAACTAATTTTTAAAAAATTATATGCTTATTTACAATCTTGTCACTACTTGTAAGCAACCATCATTACTGTGCCTATCGTTATTTTTAGAGAGAGTAGTGGCTGTTTACTAACTGCATATTTTTGCAAAGTAGCAACAGCAGGGCGGATGCTGCCATAGGGGCTGATGGGCTGCAGCTCAGGCCGACTAGTTCCATGGAATGACCCAGTAATTTAAAAAAAAAAATTTTTTTTTCACACTACTCTTAGGGATTCCATCTGGCTTTTATTTTATTGGCACAGCCAGTATTTGGGGCTGCCTGGCGGTGCCAATATTGCAGTTATACTGGCAATACAAATGCTGGTATTTTTCTCAGTATAAACAAGAGATTACTATGCAATACCAGCACTGGCCAGTAGGGGTCACTGTGTGTGGAGACAGGCAGGGATGGGAAGTTCCAGCATATCCCTCCCTGCCTCTCTCTACTCACTTGTGTGTGGGTGAGTGGTTACACAATGTGGTCTGCTTGAACCAATGCAATCATAATTACATTTTCCCGATTTCCCCCCAATTAAAACCAAGAGACATAAGTGTGGTATAAAACAGGCCACAGCTTTATTTATAATAACAAGCATAAATAAATCAACCAATAATTTACTCGAGAACTTGTCCTTGCCAACCGACCCATAATAACTCTAGAGTACCCCCTTCCAGGGTACCTGCCCTCCCCCCTCGTCAAAGATAACAGGCCTTTTACCTTGGCCTTCCAATACCCCATGCCAACCCCTGGCCGCCTTTTACTGGCACGGGGGGCACGCCCAATTACCACAACTCTCCGAGGTTAGGGGAGGGACCAGACCCAGCATTCCTTCTTCCAGTGTACTCGTTTTCCAACTGGTTTGGCAAGGACCATACCCGCCACTAGCACCTGCTGCATTTAAGCCTAAATCAGCTGGCGCGACTCCCCACCAACGCCATGGCCTGCTCTAACGCGTCCTGCAGCGCCAGATTAAATAAATCTAAACCCACATCCGTGAGATGAACCCCATCTGGGCGAAAATAGATCGCCGCTTCCTTTTCAAATATCCGGTGTCGCACTGTGACACCCCCAACCCCGAGTACAAATTTGGACACCCTCTTGTTGATTTTAACCCTGCAGCACTCAATCGCCCCCTGATCCCTCGCGCGGCGCCAATAGTTCCTAGATACTATACCTGACCAGACTAAGCAGAGCTGTGGGAAAAGGACTAGCAAGCGCGCCAAATCCCTTCTAATGAGCTCACTAAGCCCCCAAGCAGGCAGCGCCCAAAGATCGTTTCCCCCCAGGTGTATCACCAATACATCAGGGGCCCCCAACAATGTGGCTAACTGTAACACCTCCGGCAAGAGCTGGCCCCAGCGCATGCCCCGAAAACCGAACCATCGGACCTCAGCCAGCTCCCGGGGAATTCCAAGTCGCGTCCCACCCGGGCGTACCCCTGCCCGCAGGTGGGCCGAGTAGATATACGAATGCCCAATCAGCCAGATCCGTCGGCCGGGCCCTGCGGAGAAAACACAAGGGGGGCACCCATCAGACGCGTGGGCCGGATATAGGAACGAAACCTCCCAGATTCCCATCTCCCAATCCTCTGAATCACTTGATCAGAGAAACCCAACCGAGAAGCTTCAGTAGCTGCCCCAATCCGGAAGGAATGACCCCCAAATTCACCACTCGGGATTCCCAGCATGTCGAGCGCAAAGCGAAATACCCGGAGGAATTGAAAACGAGACAGGTAAGTACCATCCTCCTGCATTAACAACGGACCCGCAAGACTCGGGCGTATGGAGCAGTAGGACTGAAACGCAGAGGCTGGGCAAACAGACGAATTAGGGATGGTGCGAAGGGTAACCCAGCGACCCTTTCCAACAACGTCCGTTTTAGACCGTCGTATCAAGAAACGCACCGCACCATCCAAGAGGAACACATCGTGAAATAACAAACCCCCCGGAGTCCCCCTGCTAGGGCTGATTAGTTCCCCAATCCGGAGGGCCCCAAAAAAGGCAAAAATAAAGGCTAACCGAAATAAACTGGCTTCATAAGCAGAATAACATATCTGCGGAAGCACTGAGGTAATTCCTAGCAGCAATGCCCCTGAAACCGGCCTACGAGAATCCTGCCCACGAGGGCCCCTACGCCAACCACGCATCGCAAGTTTAACCAAGAAATCCTTAGTGACATCCGGCATCCGAGTTAAGTTAAACCAGAAACTAAGACCGGAAAGCTTCCCAGAAACAGTAGCCGGAGAACACCCGCAAGCCTCCCAGAACCAAAGCAAATGTAACAAACCTTGAACTCGTTCCGCCGGGGAAGTGTAGCCTCCATGATCCTGCTCAAGAGCAACCCATTCCCCCCAAGCCTTACCATACCGGACCCAAGTCGCCTCAGACACCGAGGACCGTATCCATTCCCTTATCCGCTCAGGCCAAGGGACCATAGTTCTCCGGGACAGGGGAGGCCTTCCAAGTCTGCTCCCGGAGCGGCTTTCCGAAACACCTGCCATTGAAAGTGAGAAAGAGAGTCAGCCGTGGTATTCATGACCCCAGGAATATGCACAGCACGGCACGTTATGTTCAGAGACAAGCATCGCAAAACCAATTGACGCAATAGCCTAACCACCGGAGGGGAAGAGGCCGTCAGGTTATTGATGGCCTGAACCACACCCAGGTCATCACAGTGGAAGACGACGCGCCTGTCTTTGAGCTCCATCCCCCATAAGTGAACAGCCACCAAGATGGGGAAGAGCTCCAAGAACGCCAAGTTCTTGGTAAGGCCTGAATCGACCCACGATACAGGCCACGGCTCTGCGCACCAATGAGGCCCCAGGATTGCCCCAAAGCCAGAGGAACCCGCAGCGTCTGTAAACAAGTGAAGCGCGGCATTCGAAACCTCAGGCTGCTGCCAATAAGACCTTCCATTGTAAGTTTCAAGGAAAACAGCCCAGACTACCAGATCATCCCTGAGCGCCTTGGTTAAGCGGATGAAATGTAAGGGCTTCGAAATTCCAGCCGTGGCAGCCGCCAGGCGCCTGTTGAATACTCTGCCCATAGGCATGATCCGACAGGCAAAGTTCAGCTTGCCTAAGAGGGATTGAAGGCGTCGAAGAGTGATCTTTCGCAAGGAGCCCGCTTCCCGCACAGACCCCCGTAAGTCCACCAGTTTGTCCACTGGGAGCCGACATTCCCCGATAACTGAATCAATCTCAATTCCCAGGAAACACAGGCACGTGGAAGGGCCAACTGTCTTGTCGGGCGCCAGAGGCACACCAAACCCAGAGGCCACATCCGCCAATGACTGCAAAATATGTGCGCAGATTGAGGAGTGCGCGGGACCAACACACAAAAAATCGTCTAGGTAATGAAGGAGGGAGTTGTGACCAGACTCCATTCTCACCACCCATTCAAGAAAGGAACTAAAACATTCAAAGTAAAAGCAGGATATCGCACAGCCCATCGGGAGGCACATGTCCACATAGTAATGCCCCTCAAAATAGCAACCTAAGAGGTGATGACACCCCGGGTGAACCGGCAAAAGACGAAAAGCAGACTCGATGTCTGCTTTTGCCATGAGTGCCCCCGATCCGGCATCCCTGACCATACAAACCGCAGCATCAAATGAGGCGTAAGAAACACGGCATAATTCTGATGCAATGTCATCATTTACAGAACCCCCTTGGGGGTGCGATAAGTGATGAATGAGCCGAAATTTTCCCTGTTCTCTCTTGGGTACGACGCCTAATGGCGACACCCGGAGATCAGGGAGAGGAGATTCCCGAAAAGGGGCCTGCCATACGCCCCAAAGCCACTTCTTTAGCCAACTTGTCCCTGACCACCCCAGGGTGGTCATAGACCGAACGCAAATTCCGGCATACCTTTGACGCCGGACGATGTTGATGGGGAATCCAAAAACCAAACGAAAAACCTTCCAGGAGTAAGGCAGCCGCCTTTTTATTTCTATAACGTTTTAACCACGGTTGCATCGCGCCGACGTCCACTGGCGTCCTCGCCCTTAGAGCCCATGGCGTCACCCTTGTCGCCAGTCCTGCCCCGCTTAAAGCATTTGGAGGCGGGGTGCGATCCGCCGCACCCAGAGCACTCGTGCTTGAAACGACAACCCGTGCCGAATTTACATTGCCCGTCGTTATACTGCCAGCAGCAGCCCGTTCGACGCTGATTGGCCGACGCAGTGGTCGCAGACCCTGCGCCGGCCCCCCCGAGAAAGGACGAGAGGCCCCCTTGATGCGATGCCGGGCGGGTCATGATGGCCAACCACAAGCCGATGTCCATCTGGTCCCAACTCAACGATGGGCGGACCGCTATGCGCTGGCGAAACTGCTCATCATAGCGCCACCAGCCTAATCCGCCATAGGTCCGGCACGCGTTCCATATCGTATCCTGATAGCAAAAGAGGGATGAGCATTTATTGGGGGACTTCTCGCCTATCACACTCGCCAGGATAGAAAAAGCCCTGATCCAATTACCAAAAGTTTTTGGTATCTTCCGATACCTAAACTTCTCCTTCTCCTTTTCGGAGTCTTTTGCCGCAGGATCAACACGAGGCAGATCCTCCATAGGGAGTAAGGAAAATATTTCAACGAATTCCCCTTTCTCTATCTTGGTGCGCAATTCCGGAGTCAAATGGAGACCTAGAGGGCCTGACCAGCACATGTAAGCCGCCCCATGCGCAGCGGGGGCTACCCCTGACCCCGAAGATGCCGCGGCGTCATCCGAGGATCCTTTGGATGGTTCAAGTTCCGCCACTGGAGGAACTGGCACCACAGGGCCACTGGGCCCTGCGGGGGCAGCAGAGGGCAATGCTACAACCCCTGAAAGGTCAGAACCACCAGCAGCCGCCCACCCTGACCGCAGCTGATCGTCAAGGGCTAAAGGGGGCTGCAGTCCAGGACGATGACCCTGCTCCAGAGACTGTAAAACTTGTCTCATGGTTTGTATTAAAGCGTCCCATTGAGGTAGGACCCCTGCACCAATACCCCTTAAGGCATCCCCCGATAAACCAGCGTACTCACCAGAGGCAATGGAATGTGACGGCAGCTGCGGCGACCCCATAACCCGGTCCACAGGTTGCGGCGGAACCACGGAGCTGTAACCGCAGAAGGGACTGCACCAGCGCCAGCGTCAGAGAAACGCACCCGACCAGGGACACTCTGTGAAGAAAGTAAAGGTGAAAAGGAACCCAACCCTCCCACACCCACCGTGAAAGTACCTGGAGAGGCGGATGGTAAAGTAACAGACGTAGGGCCAGGAAGGGTGGAATGGGACCCGTCAAGGAGGGTGCCCGGATCAGGCCCAGGATGATGGGGAGGGACAGGTAAACCATGATGGACCCCCACCCTGAGAGGGCCCGCAGATGGGGCAGACAGTGAGCCAAGGGCAGGACCAGGAGTACCAGGGAGGATCCCTGACACAAGGGGGGCAGGTGAGGGGGAGGGGTGGAGTGATGGGGCAGAGACAGTGGGAAGAGGGGAAGTGCCAACCCCAGAGGGACCCACTGTAGGTGGGGTGGCATTATAAGAAGTGCCAGGAGCAGGCCCAGGGGAGGCAGGGAAGGAGGGCAGAGCAGGAGGGGAGCTGCTGTGGGGGTGAAGTGACACAGATGTCTTCCCATGGCCCCCAGACCCCCCCCCCCCGGAAACGACCCTGCCGACCTGCGGCCTACTCACCCGACCGGAGGAGTGGGTTAGCAACCCACGGGTCACGGGAGCCGCATGCCGGGAAGCTCTGGTTGCTGGAGCCCTCCCGAACGCCGGTCTCGCCGCCGCCCTCCTCAATGCCCGCGAGACCGGCGGGGGAGGTGTGTGAGAGGCAGCGTGGGCCGCATCAGACCGCCGCGCGGCCACCTGCCGGCCTCCCCGAGCCCCGCTCGGGGAGGAAGTGCCAGGAGTGGGGGAGGCCTCGCCGGCCGCGGCCACCTGGGAACTGGCGCGCGGCCTGGCCACAGGGCTCCTGCTCCTACCCCTCACCGCTGAACGCTGGGGCTGGAGACAGAGGGAACAGCCGACCCAGCAGCACCCTGCAGCCGCGCCAGCTGGGACTGCAGGTGAAGTCCCCCATCTTGAAGGGCCTCAGCCCTGAGGGCAGACAAGATGGCTTCAATGTCCATGCCCTGGCCGTGAGACAAGCAGTGGTAACAGGCAGCAAGGAGGGAAGATGTTACCAGCCGTTTATTCTAAGATGGCTGAGGTAAGGGACAAATTGACTGCCCTTTATATGACCCCACCCCACCCCTATCCTAAGTGACACCCCCCACATGTGACACCTACACTCACCACACCCACACATGCCTCCTATCCGGCTAGCTTTTCAGCCCGCCTCCTCTGGGCCTGATCTGCAGGGGTGCAGCTACAGAGGGTCCAGACAGCAACTCCCACCCTGCAGAGACAGCCTACAGCTCAGGGAAGTAAGGGATGGGGGGAAAGGCTGCAAGGAGACATACACTGAGACACTAAGGGGCACTGGGAGACATTATGGCAGACACTAAGGGACACTGGGAGACATTATGGCAGACACTAAGGGACACTGGGAGACATGGGGCACTGAGACACTGATACATAGGAACACTGAGACCTGGAGTAATCGACACATGGGGGCACTGAGTCACGAGGGCACTGGGAGACATGGGGGCACTGGCAGGAATCCATCTATACAGCAGAATCAAACTAAGTAGTTTTTTTGGTGATTTTACAGCATTTTCTCTTATATCACTCCTTGTGATTTACATCATGTGATGTCATCCATACATATTTAATTATGCAAATTAGTAAGGCTGGTATGTTTTTCCAAGAAAGGTGGCAACTCTAACTACTTTTCAAATACTCTTACTTAAGTATGGAAACTTAAGTGGGATGTATGGGAACAAAACTTGTGTGGACTGGCTGACAATGAATATAGTTAAAGGGACATAATAGTCACTAGAACAACTACAGCTTATTGAATTTGTTCTGGTGAGTGGAATCATTACCGTCAGGCTTTTTGCTGTAAACACTGTCTTTTCAGAGAAAATGCAGTGTTTACATTACAGGCTAGTGATAACTTCACTTGCCACTCCTTAGATGACTGTTAGAGATCCTTCCTGGGTAATGGCTGCCTAAAATGCATCCAAACATTCACTGTCTCCTCCCTCTGCATGCAGACACTGAACTTTCCTCATAGAGATTCATTGATTCAATGCATCTCTATGAGGAGATGCTGATTGGCCAGGGCTGTGTTTGAATCATACTGGCTCTGACCCTGATCTGCCTCTTTGTCAGTCTCAGCCAATCCTATGGGGAAGCACTGTGATTGGATCAGGCCACCACTTCTAATGATGTCAGCAGACTGCTTGTTTTTATGAGTCTAACAGCATGCCGAGTTACAACTTCAGGCTTGAATACAGATTTTGCTATATTTATGGAGGCATGAGGGGTCCAGGGGGGGCTAGATGGTGGTGTTAATACTATAGGGTCATGAATTCATGTTTGTGTTCCTGACCCTATAGTGATCCTTTAAGGTAATGCTGACTTTGGTCTCTAACACTGTGGCATGTTCCCTTTCTTCTACACTCACTACATACAGCTTTACTCTGTCCCAGACCATATACCAGGATCTTCTGCCTGCTAGTAAGAAGGTAAGGAGACAAGTGGACCAGCGAGTGCTAGGGGACAGTCCTTAGAAAGCGTTGAGTGAGCGCATCATTAGATGCATTTATGCCAAGCTCAGGGTGTTGTCTGCATAGTATGCCCTTAGTTGGGCAGCTGCATGATTGGCAGGCAGCCTGACATGCATTCATGTCAGGTTGGCCTTCTAATTCTTTGAGCAGAAATGTCCTCTTTTTGGGCATGTTTGCCCGTTTTGGCAGGTTACGTGATTTGTGTCAGTGGCAAACCCTTTTACCGTGCCCATTGACTTCCTGCTTGATTGGACGTTGCTGTTAGGGGTTATGGATTTACTTGAAAGCTGAAAACATAAATTAGAGAGAGATTAGCTAGGGTATGTGTTTTCTTATAGCTGCTGTTTTCTTTCTCTCCAGCACCATCTCCATCAGATACATGATGCTTATGAGTGTTTTACTGTTTTTGGTCGATATGATTCTGTAATTAGGCCCGTCATAATTGTCAGCACCAGGCCCACTGGGCTCTTAATCTGGCCCTGAGCAACAGGGAGTTACCGGCTGCCGCTACTGAAAGACAGTCATTAAGGCTAATAGCTCCATTATTCTCTGAGGAAGTAGTAACCCTCTGCTTAAACATGTATTCCTGAACCTATGGTGTTAAAAACACTCTCAAGCCCCCCTTGACCCAAAATATAGTAAAATCTTACCTTTATTCCAGTCTGCTGGTGCTGGCTCTGCCCCTGATTTGCCTCCTTGGTTGACATCATCAAAAGTGGTGATATGAGCCAATCACAATGCTTTCCCACAGGAAAGCATTGGATTGGCTCAGACTGTCAAGGAGGCAGATCAGGGGCAGAGGCAGCACAAGTCAAACACAGCCCTGGTCAATCAGCATCTCCTCAGAGAAATGCATTGAATCAATGCATCTCTAATAGATATATTAGAATAAAAGTTCAGTGTTTCCATGCAGAGGGTTGAGACACTGAATGTCATTCACACTGTGCAGCACTGCCCCGGGAACAACTCTAGTAGTAGCCATCTGAGGAGTGGAAATGACAGGGAACAAATTACAGAGGCGTAACTAGAAACCACGGGGCCCCGGTGCGAAAATTGCCCTGGGGCCCCCGTACGTCTACCCCCCCGCCACCCTCCTACCCCGTCTACCGTCCCCCTCCCATACATTCCCCTCTTCCCCCCACACATGCAAACAGATACACATGCAGACACACACATATACAGAAACACATACTCACACACATACAGACACACAGACATATAGACATATATACATACACACATACCTTTCCCTGGGGTCCAGTGGTGGTTCAGCCTTATGGGAGTCAGAGTTCCCACTCTGACTCCCTCCTCTCGTGCGGCTCCCGGTGGCTGCTGGGAGAAAGTGACCGGGGCAATCACTTCCTCCCAGCCTCTGACATCTTTAGTGGGGGCACGCTCGCGCTGTTAAAGTGCTGACCGGGCCCCCTGGAAATACATAGCATCGGGTGGACCTAACAGCATGGGCCACCCGATGGGCCCCTTTAAGGCCGCCGCGGCAGTTATACCGCGCGGGTCGGGCGCGTTACTTAACCAGCAGGACCTGCAGTCGCAGGGGTCCGCAGGGCGGCTGGGCCTCCCGGACCGTGGTAGTTCCACCACTGACAATAAGCTATAATTGTTCTGGTGATTATAGTGTCCCTTTTAATTACATTGTTCTTCAACATTTATTTTATAATATGTTGTGTTACAGTTGAGAAATAGTCACTACGCTAATAGTAAAACTAAAGAATGTGTCGCCAAGCTAACTGCCAACTACATTATTTGTATCCACTGGTAAGAACCACGGTGAGTAGACATGGTGTCTATCTTTATTTATTTGTTTAACATTTTCATCGAGTGGGAGAGAAAAGAGAAATATGATGTCTACGTTGATAACTCTTGTCTGCTTCCAAATACCTTGCAAGCTTACTCAGTCTTCATATAGAGTTGTACTGACACCGTGTTTGACCAGTGAGAGCTTCTCATGAATTACATGTGGTTCTTTCTCCAGGTAGATATCGAGGTGAATGGAGAGCCAGTAGACCTGCAGATGAGGCTTGGGGAGAATGGAGAAGCTTTTTTCGTGCAAGAGCTGGAGGAGACTGAGGTTGGTGGAGCAGAGAAAAGAATGAATGTATATTAAGGATAGATGTAGGAGTACGATGATGGGTTTTTACAAAGCACCTGTAATAGAAAATGTTGTAAGTACTGTATTGTGACACAAATAAATAATAAAAAAATTTACTGAATTTAAAGTAATTTATCAAAGTGTCACAAACCCCTTTACATTTACTTTTCAACAGATTTTCCGCACCATTGATTCAATCTGTCTGTTTCACTATTTTTAGGAGATGAAATGGATTTATGAATTATTCTGCCTCTTTTTCCAAAAGAAAAGAGATTTGTTTCACCTCCTTTTTATTGCTGCCACCCTTCTGAAATGGAAATTTCTGTGAAAACTGGTGGAATTTACTATGATGAAAAACTGTCACTTTTTAGATTGCTTTTAGAACACAAATTTTTACAACCAAAATGACAGAATGTAATTGTGAAGAAAACAACATACTTTGGTGCTCATTCATTATTTTTTTCGGTTCGTTAGATGAATCTACCGAACACCGACCACCCCCTGGCTCATTAAGTCCAAAGAAAACCATAGGAATTAACGCTCTCCTTATGTGGCCGCCATTCGTGTAACCAGTGGCGTACCTACCACGGTCGCAGGGGTCGTGGCTGAGTGTATGTATGTGTGTGTATGTGTGTCTGTGAGTTTATGAGTGTATGTGTGTGTCTCTACGTGTGTGTGTCTGTATGTATGTGTCTGCATGTGTATCTGTTTGTCTACATGTGTGGGGGGGAGGCGGGGACATGTGGGGTAGGAGACAGATGTATGGGGGATCCCCAGGGCAATTTTCGCACCAGGCCCCGTGGTTTCTACTTACGCCTCTGCGTGTAACCGAACAACATGTATTGGAAAAAACAGCAGCCATCTTGGCACACGTGTCTGGAAGTCCAGTGTCTTGAACTCCAAATCGGACACTCGACTTCACGAACGTCTGTTTCTTTTCCTCGACCAGCCAGGAGAGTGCTGTTCGGTAGGTTTGTTCTCACGAACCCAGGGAATAAACGCTACCTATGAGCCAGGGGCATCGTTCGTGGATTTGTTTGGTTTAGGACTCCCTAAATTGACTGACTGCTACCCATGAAACTCTGGAACTGTTTTGGTCAGTCAAATCTTTGCCCCGGTGGTGATTCGTCTCAGTTTGTGCGATCTGAGCACTTTTTGGATAACTTGGGCGCTCAGATCCAAGTTATCCGGGGATATGCCATTTAGGGGGGTCCCTATAATATTTATGTGTTTTATTATGTACTTTTAATATTTTATATTTTATGTCGAGTCGTGACTCAGGAATGTAAGGGAGTTTCTGTGGGCATGTATACTGTACCCTTGTCTTGTATAAAAGCCCGCGGTTTGACCTGAATAAATTTATTCCTGTTGTACCCTTCATCTAATTCAGGCTGATGTTTGAGAATGCATCTGATTACTTGGTGGATTTACTTGTATGCTGTATTTTCATCTGGAGATCGTTCGAATCAACACCCGAACTGCGAGCTATAATCACTCAGCCTCTAGCAGTTCGGGAGAAAGCAAACAAACGGGTATTCAAAATACCAGCGTTCGTAACAGTAACCATCACTTTTCAGAACAATTTGATCAATATCCCCCATCTGATATTACACATCTGATGCCCCATTGATAATCTGCATATTATGTATTTCATATATGGACTTATTTTACTAAGTTTTTCACTAACGTGAGAATTCAAAGTGAATTTTTGAATTTTATAGACCAAATAGCCAGACTAGAAAAATGTACCAATGCTTCTAGTTTGGCTACATTGATCTTAATTTAACATTTACTTTGAATTCTCACTTAAGTGAATAACACAGATCGCTTTGCAGTGCATATAGAGAGGATAGTGTGGGATAGATTTGCCTGTAGTAGGAACTACAATAAAGATAAAGACAATGCATGCAAGAATGTAAAAAAAGAACATGAAATAAACATGAACATGAAATTTAAACCTCTTTAGTTTAGAAAAATGTCTCCGCAGAGGGGATATGATAACATTATACAAATATATAAATTATCTGGAAATCTATTCACAAACAGGACTTTACATAGGACACGAGGTCATGCGTTTAGTCTGGAAGAAAGAAGATTTCGTCTAAGGCAAAGGAAAGGGTTTTTTTTTTACCGTAAGAACAATAAGGATGTGGAATTCTCTGCCTGAAGAAGTAGTTTTATCAGAATCTGTACAGATGTATAAACAGTTACTAAATGCATGCTTGTAAAAACATAATATTCAATGATATAATCTTTCAACTGTAGGGTAATAGCTTCTTGATCCAAGGATTAATCAGACTGCCATTCTGGGGTCAAGAGGGAATTTTTCTATAGTTTATTGTAAAATTGGAAGTGCTTCAAACGGCTTTTTTTGCCTTCTTTTGGATCAACAGCAAAAAAACAGATGTGAGGAAGGCTGAACTTGATGGACATGTGTCTGTTTTCAGCCTATGTAACTATGTAACTAAACTAACCCTTGTTTCACAATATACTACAGTGCATAGAAATTTCTTAGTCTACTCCCTGCGGTCTCCTTTGCAGAATCTTTCTCCACTCCTAGCCAGCAGTGACTATTCTTTGTCTCCTACTGAACCCCATCCTAGTCTGTCAGAGTCTCCTATTGACACCATTACAAGAAGACAGCGCTGGAGCAGGAAAGGAGATAAAAGGCGAGAGGAGCTGACTTTGGAGGTACCTGCAGAAGAACAGATGCCTGTACTTTCTGCTCGGTGAGACAAACCTACGCATGTGACAGCTTTATAATGCACAGATACAAGTTGTGTGTTTATTAACATTTATCTTCATTCTTCCCCCATCACATTGCAGAGAATCCATGTATTTCTCATTCTGCGAAATAGCAGAGAAAAATTCTCAATCCCAGCCCAATGTTTTCTACCCCTGCTACGACGAGGAACTTGTAATACATCAGCCGAGGTAACCATAAAAGTGGGTGAACAGTACAGCAAATACTGTATGATTCTTCCAAGATATTGTCGGTTTAAGGATACGTGCTTGTGTGATAAAGTAACATATTTATTGACTCACATTACTATGTGCTCACTTGAGGTACTGTGTGGATAGTGTGACTGATACAATAATCCTTGTAATACAACCACATGTATGCCTGATTGCATGAAGAATTAGAATAAGATGTATTTTAACCCTTTTTTCTCCACCATTTCTCCACCAGTCGCTCTCCTTCACCGAAAAGTGACTCTGAACTGGAAATGAGGCTTCCAAATACACCTCTAACTGAGCAGTGCATGGAATGGGACTGGGGAAGGCTTCCCCAGGTAACAAGAGTTTCCACAACTACCTGGTTTTTCTTCAGACATTAGCACATGGATATAACCCTCATGTTAATTATTTTTTTTCTTAGCAAGTGGATGTTATCTCATTCTGTTTATTTTTTTTATTTATTTTTTTACAGGTGAGCCGGGCAGAATTAATACCCCAAATTTCACAATCTGCACCCCCAAGCCCCACCAACTGGGAAACTCTTAAGTCACAATCTTCATTCTTCCAAGAGCCAGCAGACCAACCTTCAACAACAAGCTACGATGCACTGGGTCCCACAGCACTGGAGGACCCACCCCAAATCCTGAACCAGGATGGTGAGCTAAAGTAGAATCAAGAAATAGTTTATGTATGTTTTTCCTACTACAGTCTCAATAGTCAAACATGTCTATTTTTTTGTTTAGCTAGTTTTTTTTCTAATCTAATCATCTAATTTCCATTCATAAAATGTTAAAGATTTCCGTTTCATTTTTTTGTGTGCCTTCTACTCTCCATAACATTTTAGCTTCATTACATTTTGGTCCATTTTCTCTTCTTTCTATCCTCTTTTTTTAAATTATAATAATTATCCTATGTTGACATTTCACCTGATTTTCACGTCTAGCTTGTGCCAACCCTCCCATTAATCCACCAACTCCAAAGCCTGAGGACCTTCTATCTCCGGAATCCCAGGAAGTGTCTCTCTATTTCCCAAATAGGTCAGTTGAAATGCAGAACAGTTGGGAAGTAATAATATTTTTTAACTAAATTCAAAACCCAAATTCTGTCACTGCAGTGATCCGTACCCACTGCCAGCCCCACCTCCGCACCAGAGAATCTCTGAACAAGACTCGGATGAGAATGAGGAGGCATTGGTCAGGCACCAGGAGAACTACATAGAACTGTCATTGTGCGGTGGGCTAACAGACACCTGGGACATTCCCATGGGTAAGTATGCATGGGTTTCTCGAGTAATGATGTTTTGTGAGATGTTGAGAATTAAAGGAGCGTGCATCCCGCTGTAGCTCCCTGTATGTTTTGCATATTCTTACTTTTTGTCTCTGTCGTACTATCGGGTACACTGAATCGGGTGTTCATTTTTTTTCCTGTAAAAGTCATTTCAGTTATTTCTTCTCCAAACACAGAAAGGTTCCTGAAACACCAGATATCGTATTCAGAATTCTGTAAAAATCCTTTGCTTATAGAAGACACTAGATTGGTGTTACGGATACACGACAAGTAAGGCCGACATTAAACTCGAATCGTAGTATTTGGTTTTATATAGCTTTTTTTTTAATACCTTTGCTTCAATATGATTTTTTTGTGTGTTTATTCCATGTCTCCACTATTATCCTCATGTATGCATTTCCTTTTCTACATCTAATTCTCTGCTTTGTCTTATTTTCCCCTATATTTTCAGGTTTTATAACTGGGCGACTGCTGCCCCTATCATCCTGTGTAAGCAGGTTTTTAATGAAAACCTACCCAAGGTAAAATCACTTACCATCGGATATATTTCACCTTTCTGCCAGGCTGTTTCTAATACTTTATTATTTTGCCAGGACATAGTTAATCAGCTTGTCTACCAAAAGATGCCCCCCAGATCAGGAAGATGGTGGTTCTCATGGCGCCGAAAGGATCTCCCTCAACATATGGTGAGAATATAAAATCTGTCAGTGCAGAACTAATTTCACACACAGTCAAAACCATGGGTCACTTTATATTTCTAATTGCTCCATCTTTTGTACTATTGTCTGTTCACACTTTCTCCTTCTTACAATCACATCCAGGTTTATTTAGTAAAGTGAGCATTCAAAGTGAAGGTCAACTTTAAGGTCAACAAACTGGAACAATTCTCTAAGTCAGCTATGCTTTTAGTGTGGCTACTCTGACCTTAAAGCTGAAATTTACTTCAAATTCCCGCTTCAGTAAATAACCCTAATTATATTTCCACTACATTTTTTTTCCACTCCTAATGTATTTTTTTTTTTTTTAAATGGCATCTTACGACAAACATCAACTACGGCCATCTTTAAAAATCTCCTTAGTATTTTCAAATTATTTTAAGATTGGCCTGCAGCTTATAATAAACCCTGTAGTATTTACATACATTTTATATTAAACCCCCTATCAGTGATCTAATTTTTCATATCAAACTCCCTAACAGCGATCTAAGTCTTCTTATTAAACTCTCGAACAATAATCAAATTCTTCATATTAAACCCTCTTAATAACATTCACCTAATTCTTCATATTAAACCCTCTTAATAACATTGTCCTCATTTTTCATATCAAACCCCTTAACAGTGATCAAATTCTTCTTATTAAACCCCTTTAATAACATTGACCAAATTCTTTATATGTAACCCCCTAACATTGACTTAAATCTTAATATAAAACCCGCTAACTGATTTACTTCTTCATTAAATTTCACAATAAGCAGCTATGTTACCGGGCATCATTCCCAGAATGTGTTGTTTATTCTCAGTCTCTCCCATTCATAATTTCTCCATTCCTACTTTAAACAGTTCTTGATTTCTCTATATTATAGCGTTACATTCTCCTAAATCTAATATTCTCCCTTTAAGTTGATCCCAGTGCTTCCATTCCTACCCCACCTCACACTCCACTTTCTCCATCACTCTCACTCACGCAGCAAACACCCCAAACTGAGGAATCTGAGGAGCAGAAAGAAGATCTCAACCAACATAGGTGAGGATTTTTTCTTTAATTATTTCTCCATCTGTTTTTCACGTTCTCTCAATTTTTTTCTTGCCTCTTAAAGTAATGGGACTATAATTGCACGGCAAAGGATCAGCGTTTTCCAAAATTATTATTTTTTTAAATCATCTTTCAGGGCAAGAATTCCTTTCTACCAAAAAGGGGAGACCTCGTCGCCCTATTTCAGTCCGTTGTCTTCCTTCCTTCATTTCTCTCGTCTCTCTTCTGTATTCCTAGACAAGTATCTTTTTTCATGTTTTACTTGAAGGTTGACAGAGACGATTGTTACCAGTGAGCCTTCCAAAACACCAGGACAGCCTCCACAGTACAGGAAATCCCTACGTCTTACTTCAGAGCAGATAGTAAGTGAGAGTTCCATTGTAGAAGCTTCACATTATTGTCTCATTACGTCTCGCTTTTGGTAGGATACATGGTTTTTCTTTTCCACTGCAGTCGTGTTTATGAATTTACCTATTCTCAGTGCTCATTGTCATCCTCCTCTAAGTTGTAACATTATCCGCTACATTCTTGACTGGCGTGTGGATGACCTGAAAAAAACAACTATTTTTTTCTCATGCTCTTGGCCAGCTTGTGTGAAAATAATTGGCAAGTACTCTGGTTTTCTTGCAACACCTGACTCTTATTGTCTCTCTCAACAGGAACGTTTAAACCTTCAAGATGGGGCTAATGAAGTTGTGTTTAGTATTTGCACTAAATTTCAGGGGACATGTCGCACCCGATCCCAGATCTATCTTTGGGATAGCCAGGATCGCATCATCGTGAGTGATATCGATGGCACAGTCACCAAGTGAGTACATACCTCACTATAATAACCTCAAAAAAGGAAGGAAGACTGCACTCAATTCCTAGAAACCACAGGGCATTTTAAGCCGGACCAGCAAATCCGTTGCATATGATTTGTCCAAGTAAAGGCTTCAGGCGCTCATAGAGTTTTTCAAGGTCTATATGCGCTTGACCAAGAACTTGGTTTAGGTCGAAACGTTGCTCTTTGCATTTTGATCCAATAAAACGTCTTTGCATTTGAACTCTGTGAGTGCCTGAAGCCTCTTCTTGGATCTAATAACCTAACTGTCACATTTCTTATAAGAACTTCGTCATGTTCCATTTCTGAAGATTGTTTCGCAAACTTTGTAACCCTTCAGGTCAGATGCTCTTGGTCACATTTTACCACAACTTGGAAAAGACTGGACGCAGCAAGGAATAGTTCAACTCTATCATGCCATTGAAAGGTCAGTTCTATATCAAGTTATAATATGTACTACAGTCAGGGTATTTCTGATTCACTTGCTTCCAATGTGCCCAACCGTTGACTCCACTTGTGTCTCCTAGGAATGGATACAAGTTTGTGTATTGCTCTGCACGCTCAGTGGGTCTGGCCGAGCTCACCAAGAACTTTCTTCAGAGGATAAATGAAGGAGGTCTTACCCTTCCCCTTGGACCGTTACTGTTATCTCCCAGCAGCCTCTTTACTGCTCTGCATAGGTGAGTACAGCAGATAAAACCATCATGGCTTGACTGCCGAATCGTGCTGTAATGATGGTATGTGTAACTCTGTGTATTCTATACATTCATTTATTTTTCCACACATTTCTCACATTCACCGACCCCTGACTGTGTTTTATTATTTTGCAGGGAGGTCATAGAGAAGACACCAGAGCGTTTTAAGATTTCATGTCTCTCTGACATCAGACAGCTCTTTCCGAACCCTCAACCTTTTTATGCAGCCTTTGGGAACAGGCCCAATGTGAGTTAAAGGAACACGCACGCAAAAAAAGGATATTTAAAATCCACAGATCTCCGTAGGAACTCTTAGCAAATATACTTGAAGTGATCTTGGTGTTGAAAATAAAAAGTATTTAGCATGAAACCACAGGGAGATGATAGAAAAAAACAAAAACAACAACATCAGATTCATGTGTTTGCCCTTTATTTCCTCTCATATCTAAAATCAACCCCATCTTTCTATACTTGTCCCTCTTTTTTACTTCAAAATAAATGCCCCATCACCACCTTCCTCTTACACCGCTGTTTCCTTTGTAGGACGTTGTGGCTTATAAGGAGGTGGGAGTACCCGAAGTACGTATCTTCACCGTCAACCCAAAGGGAGAACTGACTCAGGATGTGAACCTATGCTTTAAGTCCTCGTAAGTGCTTTGTGTGGTGTGATAGGGCACAGACAAGAGTGTGAATTAATTAGGAATGCCAGAAACAGTAAATGGGGAATCCTCACGTCCCAGGGGTCTTAAACATTATGTTCACATAATCTCTATCTTTATGAAACTATGTAATTGTGATACTCTTGACAAAGGCACATCGTAGCGCCGAAACGCGTTGCGGTAGAGTCCACATTTCTGTGGGTTTTTAGATTTAGACCGCTCTGCAGCTACTTTTACCCTAGGGTTCTGGGTCTATCTCAGATATAGGTTTATCTAGCACTTCATTACTCCTCCAGTTGAAGCACAGCATACCTGAGCGATACTGGATACTACAAGCATGATAAGCACACAGTTGTTCAGTTGTTAACTACTCCTTAAGCTTAGCACAGCATACCTGAGCAATACCAGACACTACAAATATGATAAGCATTCAGTTACTCTATCCATTCTAGTGGGACTCTTCCAGCACAGTACTGAATAATCTATCCTGTGATTTACCCAGAGATTTATTAGTGCACTATCTATTTTAAGAGTCCATTTAGGGATCTGCAGTAGTATACTGGATGCTATACCTTATCCTAGAACCTGTTTTTTGGGGGTTATCTACTAAATATCTACTTCAGATTTTAAATACCTAACACTATATAGGTTTATTCAAGCCGGTTTTGTTTTTTACTCTTTAAAACTTATGCCCTGAATTTTATCAGGGTCGAACTGTTCGCTCAGTTACCTACATTTAGGTGCTGTCAGAGACGATCATAATAGGGGAGAGCAATCTAATCTTTTATGTTATCCACTGTCAGTTTTCCCGATCATGATTCTATTTTATCTGGGGTCTGCTGTGGACTTCGCAGATACTCTCTGACAAGCCAGACACCTATTTGATCCTGCTGTACTTGGAGCCACACAGACAGATTGACATTACTTTGAGCTTGACTAGTTATAAGATATAGCCATTCTGTTGCCACTTGGCCAGTATGACTAGGGTTACCTTATTGCATCTACCTATGTATATACTGTATATCTCCCCTCAGATACTGTTTCCACTTCATCAGTATCACTACCTGGCTATTTTGTAATTAGTACGCTTTGCACACATGTGTACACAGTAGTTGGTCCTATTCTTATACTTACTATCATCTCCTTTTTTTCATTATTATTATTTTTTCACTTTTTTTGGTGTCTGGGATATTTAGATGTGTTTATATATTGGACAATAAAGTTTTTACCTTTACTTAGTAATTTCCATTAGGGTTATAGGACTGGAACCAGGTGTGCCTCCTTGCAGACCTGTTTTCAAGCCCTCTCTATTATCTGCTTTCTCTTGGTTAGGCCCTGTGTTAGCCCACAACCACTACAAATTTGGTGGGAGTATTTTTCTCTCTCCAGTTTTGTATATCCTGAGATGTGAAACATCTTGGCTCTCTCAATAAGTGAACCTTAGGAATTTGTTGGGGAAGTGGGGGGTTGGGGGGACTAGTTAGATGTATATTCAAAATGTTCACAGCATAATGTGTTTCACAGCAGGGTTGCAATTTTTGTTTTCCCTTTTGCAAAAATTAGCTAAAAGATGTTTTGTTTTTTAATAATGTTCAAAAAAAGCTAATAGACACATTTAAAAAAAAAAAAAAAATACAAATATATACATATATATATATATATTAAGGTAACCTTACATTTGTTCCAAATACGTGTATCTAAGTGTATAGTGAGCCAAGGGGTAGTGGCATCTGGATGCAAGTTTGTTTTGGGGGTGTTTTTTTCCAGCTGAATTACACACCTCTTTCTACATATTTTTCTAGTAAAGATAATTAAAGAACCACTATAGGCACCCAGACCACTTCAGCTTAAAGGACCACTATAGTGCCAGGAAAACATACTCGTTTTCCTGGCACTATAGTGCCCTGAGGGTGTCCCCACCCTCAGGGTCCCACTCCCGCTGGGCTGGATGGCAAGGAAATGGGTTAAACTTACCTTTTTTCCAGCACCGGGCGGGGAGCTCTCCTCCTCCTCTCCGCCTCCTCTCCCCCATCTTCGGCTGAATACGCATGCGCGGCAGGAGCTGCGCGCGCATTCAGCCTATCTCATAGGAAAGCATTCATAATGCTTTTCTACGGACGCTGGCGTCTTCTCACTGTGATTTTCACAGTGAGAAGCACGCAAACGCCTCTAGCGGCTGTCAATGAGACAGCCACTAGAGGCTTTAGAGGCTGGATTAACCCATTAATAAATTGGGAATTGACACAGTAAAGGAGGAGACTATATTTAAAAGAAGAAAAACTACCATAACAAGAGGACATAGTCTTAAATTAGAGGGGCAAAGGTTTAAAATTTATTTCAGGAAGTATTGTCTTACTGAGAGGGTAGTGGATGCATGGAATAGACTTCCAACTGAAGTGGTAGAGGTTAAAACAGTGAAGGAGTTTGAGCATGCGTGGGATAGGCATCAGGCTATTCTAGACTTAAGATAAAGCCAGGGACTAATAAAACTATTTAGAAAATTGAGCAGACTAGATGGGCCGAATGGTTCTTATCTGCCGTCACATTCTATGTTTCTATGAATGGCGGGAGAATTGGGATGTGTTATGTGACTTGGCGGGTTGGGGTTTACAAATGGCAAGACAGGATGCCGGGTGGCAGTATGTGATAGGGGATGCGATACCTGACTGTGTGGAAGAATGTGATATGGAGCTTCAAGTGCATGTACTGGTTGGACAGGAGTATATGGCTTGGGTCAGTTGTTCCTCCCATTGTGCAGTGGCAAGCAGAGGCATCTGATTCTACAGCAGTTTATACACTTATACCCATACAGTAACGGGTATAATGACAAAACGTACAGTGGAATCTGACAACCCTATATGCATGCCTGTCTAAATCAGTAGTTTCTAAAGCGGCACTGTTAGCCCCATATTAAAAATGTCATAACTATATAATCTTTATGAAATACGTATTATGACTGTGTTGGAATTTCACTAAAATTCCAACCCAGTCAAGAGATATACAGAGATAAAGTAGGGACTACTATGTCTCTGTATTTCTCCTCTGCCTGACACAAGGTGGAGCCCATGTATCAATTGGCTGTGTCTATGGAGGATCATGCAGTCATTCACCACAAACCTCAATGACATAGTCTTGTGCATGCGCGAAAGCACAGCAGTGACGTATGCTCCTGGCGAGTTCAAAAGGAGCAGCGCAGCCAAGATGGTGGTGCCCATGAAGGACAGGTTCAGGTAAGTAATCTCACCTTTACCTTCCCCCTCCCCTCCCCGGTCCACCAGCAGCGATGTCACAGTCCCAAAACTGTGACAGTGCCACTTAAACCCCACAGTTAGGACCCCAGTTGGGTCTCATGCTACTTTACGGAGTCCTCACCCACTTAATGACACTATAGGCACCAAAACAACTTTAATGCATGTGACAGGATTTGGCCTCATTAACATGCCTTATTTTTTGCGTGTTCAAATATACGTATTTTCTGCCAAAGTAAAGTAAATGTATTGCTGCTCTCTAGGCTTTTTCATTGAATAAGACCCACAGGTAAATCCCAGCCAAATTGTTTTGTTTGGGTGTAGAATAAAAGGATTTTGATTCAGATGAACCTGTAGAAACTGATTCTACTCACCCCATCTCTCACCTTGTACCTATGGTCTTCTTCCTGCACCAGGCTATTATAGCACCTTTTAGAAGACCAGTGCATGTGTGTCAGGGAGAGATTTATAATTCTAACCAGCATTTCAGTTGCAATCGCAAACTAAAAGGCCAGTTGTAATCATATATTTTGTTTGCCCCCAGTTTGGAGTGTCAAGGAGAGAAACGTTTGGATGGAGGAGAGAATAGAGGAGGCACTAAGAGCTGCAATGCCTTGTGGGCTCTCAGCACTGAGGGGAATAAGGGGTCTGTAATCCCTGGCTTTGTGTGGAGGGGACTTTTTAATGCCTTTGAACGGGAGATCAGTCTGTCGTGTCTTATCTCTCTGTCTTTGTACGTGTATTATTTGGGGTCTGTGGATGTACAGTACAGTACTTTACAGTAGATGTACTAATTGCAAATTGAAATAGCCAGTGTTATAAATCACATTTACATGTGCTTTCATAACCTCTACTAAACAGCATTTTCACAGCCCATGCTACATTCCGTAACAGTGACAGTAATCACATTGTGCACAAATTCTAACTGGCACTTCAGTCTGCAATAGGTTAAGAGAGCATTGCAAACTGAAATAGATTATATCTTAGATGTGGGAGATTTACTAACCGCTTGAAATGAGTGACACTCATAAAAAAGCATGCTCTTCACACAGATTGATCTTCATCCAGGAAGCCAGATAACATTTTAGTTCAAAATCTCTGGCAAGCTGTTATGTGCAGCATGTCAGGGAAAAGGTATTTTAAAAAAAATATATATATATATATATTTTAGAATTTCCAAAAATACAGTGAAATGTTGATAAATCATAAGCATTAAAAAATTATAAAGCTTGACCTATAGAATTCATTGCAAGCACCATAACCACTACATACTACTGTGGTGGTTATGGTGCTCGGAATGCCCTGGAGTGTTCTTGAATGGTTGGGCTTCTTAGCTGTGGTGTGCTGGGCGCCACTCCCCACCTCCACTATTGCAGACAAAGAGCTTCTGGCGCCCTGTCTGAACTAAGCCTAGCACTATAGGGCTTAGCTCAGGAGATCTAACAGAAGCTCCTGTTAAAGAGCATGTGGATTTCCATCGTCAGTAGGGGAGGTTGGGAAAGGCACCAGATGGACCCCAGGTAAGAGATCAAACCATTCTAACACAGTTACAATGGGTGGGCAGGTATGCACTATAACCACTACAGAGCAATGCAGTGATTATGGTGCTTGGAGTGTTCCTCTAATCCACACATTACATTCTAGAAGTCGTTTTTTGCAACAGTAAACTAATTTCAAAGTAATGCAATACGTTCTGCGCATTCATACATCAAAAGGGAAATTTGTAACCACAATATGTTATTAACTTTAATATTTATAAAGTATTTCAGATATGTATTTCTGTAGATTTTCAGCACACATTGTTTTTTTCTTATCCATCTTTTTCACTAACTCTATTTTTCATTGTTTTTTTTCCTTTCATTTGCAAACCTGTATACTTCCAACCATAGGTATTCTGGGCTGTGTGAGCTGGTGAATGTCATGTTTCCTTCCCTGTCCTGCTCGATCTCTGATGTACACTTACCGGAATTCAATCACTTTTTATACTGGAAGGACACTGTGGCCACCATCGATGAAGATGAACTGGCAATGCTTCTGTCTGCTCAGCTATAATCATTAAAGAAATATTCGAATGGGGGAAAAAAATATTTTTTACAGTTTATTACATATACCCCCAAGAAAACATGCATGTAAATAATAATTTTGTATGTTTCTTTTGCGGATATATACAAATATAGCTGCAGATTTAGAATCTGCAGCTACTGTAGGCCCTCCCCTTATCCCCTGACACAAACTTTTCTCATCATTGCTGGAGAATACCCAATCAGAGGTTTCTAATTGAGAAGCCTTGTGGAACAGCCGAGCATGTGTGCAGCTGTCTAATCACAGACTCCTCAACAAGTTGTATTAAACACATTGAGAAGTCTTTCAAAAGCAGGGTAAATGCCAGAGACTTGAGTTTAGCTCCACGGAGCTAAACTTGCCAAACTTTACAACTGCCTGGCTGATAACCGGGAGATGCAAGAGGATTCATTAGGAGTTTCATATACAGAAACATAAAATACAGTTCCTAATATACAGACATTAGGACCACACACCTCTCGCCTTCTCTTAATACACAGGCATCAGGACACCCACCTCCTCCTAATAAACAGATATTAAGAAAATGCATAGTTTCACAGATGACCAATATTAGGTTTATTTCACTCCAGCAAAATATTTTAATTTCTATTGAACCTAGAAAACAGCAATACACGTTATATTTCTCAGGACCATTAACAACCAAAATAAAAAATACAAAACAAATCACAATCTTGTTTCCGGCTGCTGTTACCTTTTACAGTTCATATTTAAAAATAATGTTAAACATCTTTAAAAAAAAAAATAACATAACAAAACAGAGACACACAGGATTACCGTCATCAGGCCTGCATTTATTTTTTGTTATGTGTCTATAAATTGTCAAAGATTTGGCGGTGGTAATGTTGATATTGGCAGGAGAACCAGTGCGGGAGTGTCAATCTGCATCCTAGACATCTCTCCTCCTGCCAGAGGTTTTACAGTTTTTCTGCATACCACTAAATTTCGCAACATTTCAAGTGGTATCCTGAAAACACTGTGTTCTTATGGCTCTCCAATTTAAAACTCCTGTATCAGAAAAATAATTTCATAGCCCATCTGTCCACGAATGACCATATCATCTTTATGATATAATTATGTTGCCATTTATTTAAGACAGTCGTGCGCAATATGATCAATAGAACAAAGAATATATAGAATGGGCAATACGGGGGCAAAGTTTTAAGTGGAGTAATCGGTAAGAACATCCCGTTGATTTGCGGAGGGATTGTTCAGCTTTTCGCAAAATTGCTTCTTATACTTAGCCCCCATAGTGTTTAGACCAAGTAACACAATTCAGTCTTCAAGCACGGCTGATAAGATTTGAAATCCCTGCTGTATAATTTTAATACAATTTAAATAAAATGATGTCCCCGACCATGGGATAAGACACCGAGCTGATCATTTACTTTCAATGCAGTTTGTATTCAAATGTTGGCTACCATTCGTTAAAAAAAAAAAACTTGATCTTTTCATGACTGGTGGACTGGTTTCATGACTAAATTGTCCTCAGTGGGAACTGTGCTAATGCAGGAATACCTCAAAACTCAATGTGTGCCTTGCAGACCTAGGTTAAAAACACTGAAATGTATAAACGTGAATTAACATAATAAATTCTCCGCAAGAAGGACATTAGTATTTTAACTACTTAAATTGCCAGCACCAAAAGTTCTAAATGGGAAGGAGGTGATTATCAAGGCAAAATACGTGCTATTTTGGGTGTAAACTACTAACTGTTAAGAAATATTGTCATGGTGATTGCTCCTTATTTAGCACTTTACCCCAACCAACAGCTGTTTTTGACTTCTTAAATCTCCTCCTAAATATTCATTTTTGCAGACAAAGGAAAAGGATATACCTGGGATTTTATATAAAATTAGACAATTTGCACAATTATTCAAAGTTAGAATTCAAGGGGAAATAAGAGTTAATTTCAAATTCAAATTTCAAAGGCCATAAATTTGAAATTATTTTGGAATCCACTTTGAATTCATACTTTAGTGAATAACTTTGCTAGCCAACATATACCTTCAGTGTTCTGCAATTCCAACAGAGTCCAGAAGGTGGCGGAATAGGCTCGTGGATTAATGACTAGATATGACAGTCCACAACAGCAGTAGTGCCAAAAGTTCATCATTGGTCTAAAAAGTCTAAAGAGTTTCCCGTGATACTAAGCCAAGCCGAATGACTCATACAGTAAGTAGCAGAACAGAGCCACGCTACAAGCTTCTACAATACCCATAATGGTTAGCCAAACGTGTCACTAACTGAGCAGCGGCAGATTATTACTAGTCATTCAATTAAGCATTGGAAAGAAAACCTAGCGAGGAACAGGCACGTATCTGAAAAGGGATTTTTACAAAAGCAAATGTACAATCAATGAAAAACCTCGCTATAATATTATACTATATATATTACAGCGAGGTTTTATAATATAATAATAAAGGCCCGTTGTTGCCATGCATGCAATTATTTTTCTTTGGTCAAATCCATCAAAGAAGAATTAATCTCAGGCATATCAATAGTCTAGTGCATTGATTCTGAACCCAGGATCTAGTGATTACTCAACTCTGTTCCAGTGGGGATATCGTTAAAATACCAATCACAAGTGGTCCCTGATTTTGGTTGAAAAACCATTATCTTTTTTTGTTTTGTTTTTATTAAAAAAAAAAAAAATCAAGGTTATGCCAATAAATAATACTGTTACTGCAAAATGTTGTTCTCATGCCTCTGCGGCAGATAGACGTGGGATCGCAACTTGGAATTTTTTTTAATCTTGTTTAACCCCTTAAGGGAATCATGACATGTCACACATGTTATGTGTCCTTAAGGGGTTAAATAAAAGCCCAAGGCTGGCTGAGTCCAAACATCACTGGTTTGCAACAGCGCTATGGACTAAGGGGTAGCTGTAGGTTTAAAACACTACATGACACCATGATGAGACGGTATACAATCGCCTGCAAAGTCTCACGTGTATTAAATGTAGCATTGCTTTTCAGAAAATCAAGTCAGATCTCCCTGGTAGGTTAATAATGCCCAAGCACCAAATGTCTCCCTGCACTCCCACTGTCTTTGACACAGCCACAGGCCTTTACGCAGGGTATGGAATAGTCACATAGCTGCCCCAGAACCAAAGGATCAATGCCCATTATACATTGGATATCCCCTGCGTGCCCTCTGGGCCTTATGTATTTCAAAGTTTATCTCCACCTTAAAAGGCATTGGTTCCTGAAGCTTTCTCAGTTTTTACAGCTTTTACTTCCTTCAGCCTCAAGTGCTATTTCCTTCCAGAGGTGGATTGAGTGCTTGGTGATGGCTGGAAGTTTGATACGTCTTGAGTGATTTTACCCAGGTCATGTCTAAGCGCTATTAGACCATGCTCATGGGCTGCCAGAGTACTATTGACATGGTCCAGATAACTAAACAAAGTTTCCTCCTGTCCTCCACAAGTGCTCTCCACCTGTGAAACTCTTCGTTCAAATTGGGCTACTTCCCCTTGCAGTTCCCGAGCTACGTGCTGACAGCTGCCCAACTGCCCTGCAAGCCGTGCCTTCATCCTTTCCATGTCTCCTCGCAGTCCAAGCAATTGTGCCCTGCCGGAACGGATTTGGGAGCTCTGCCCTTCCACTTGATTATGAATTACATGAATTTCCTCATTTAGCCTGCTCCCTCGTTCCTCTGCAGTGGAGTTAACCTGGATGACAGTATCTGCATACCTAGTAACAGTCTCCTCGAGGCCATGCAGAGAACGTCCTACATTCCGCAGGTTAACCTGTAATAGTGTGATCTCACCTTGCAAGGCTTCTTCCTGCTGTCTTTGTAGCTGCCTTTTGATGCCCACAATAGTGTTATTGAGGTGACCCATTTGAGATCGGAGATCCTGATTCTGCTCTTGACACTTTGCAAGATCACTGTGGATCTCCAGCAGGGAATCTCCATTAGGTATTGAACATCCAGCAGCACAAAGGTCCTCAACTGCAGCAATCCTGTTTTCTAAACCTGCTAAGCCTTCCATACCTTCCTTCTTTAAACCTATAAGCTGGGCTTCAAGTAGTGGCATTACAGCCCCATCCACAGAGAATGGTGTAGAAGCATTGCTTAGTTCTCCCACAGCAGTGAGAAGTCTCTCTTCCAATATTCTCAGTTTGTCATCCACAGAGACTCTTACTCCATCCAATTCTGTAAGTATCTCACTTTTCTCTCCTCCCTCTTGACAGCACCTCATAATACCTTCCTCAGTGAGATTGAGCCTTCCTTCCACTTCCTCCAATCTTACACTAATTTGAGGCTCCATCACAAGCCTTGTCAACTCCATATCAAACCTCTGGCTCAAAGCATGATGCTCTTCTGTTAGCTGATGCATTCCACGCTCTAGTTCATCCACCCGTCTGCTTAGATCATCCAAACGTCCACAGCAGCCCTCAGGAGCACTAAGCCCCTGCACTCTGGCATTTAATTCAGACATTTCCTCTCTCATCTTTACTTCACGCCCATCCATTTCCTGCTGCATTTTCTGCCCCGATGCATAATCTCCATCCTGGCATTCTTTTCTCGCTGCTTCAACCTTGACATCACAAGCACCTTGGATCTTCTGCAAACGTGCTTCCAGTCCATCCAGAAGCTGTGCACGGGACTCTGCTAACTTGCCCTCTAGATATTGCTCAAGCAATTCAGTAGAAGTGAGTGGAGAAGGCCTTGCAGCCTCCAGTAGGTGTTGTAGCTGTGCTTCATGTCCCATCACCATACCATTCACCTCCTCTAGCAACTCTGTTTTGGAACGTAGAATTTCACTGACCTCAGCCACTCGACCTGAAAGGTCTCCAGTTACGTGTGGGGCTTCAGCTAGAGTATCAGAGATTACCCCGAATCCAACTGAAGAATGTGATGAGGAACTTGGTCCACTCACTAGGGAACCAATCATCTTGCTTGTGTCCTCCTGGATTGTGAGACGAAGTGAATCCCCAAGGCTGTTCACCACTCCCTGTAGGCTCTCATAGGACTGAGATAGTCTACGGACCTCTTCTTCCACTCGTTCCAGACGTTCTCCAAAAACAGGAGACAACTTTCGACCTTGTTGGGAAATAAGAACAAAGTCTTTGAGAAACACATAAAACAACAGCAATTATTTATTTTATTTTTGTTGCTATTTACGTGCCTAACATTTCTGGGGAATAATAATAATATATGACATCACATTGAATCACAGTTGAAAATGCACATGATGTACCTAAAAAAAATAACAATTTTCTGGCATATATATCTGTTGCCATTGGTTCATATATGTCAGTTTGACTTGGCCATGAAGTATGTCAATTTTGAGGCAGTAATCAGCTATGCATTGTCACATCGAGCAGATACACCATCAATGGTTTAGGATATAGGGGTTTACCAATTCTGTCCATTGAAGATATTTACTAAAGTCTGAGCCATTGTGAGACCACTGTTTCCAAGTCACTAATATAGTATGACTTACATATAGCTAACTTAAAACTGTGTGTCAATAATACTGGAGATTTGATGCCAGGAGGTTAGTTCATTTGAACCATATTTTATTTAGAGGTTGCAGAAAGTAGATATATAACAGCCAAAAGGTGGGATATCTTGACTGCAGTTAAGTCAAGTTTTGAGTCAATGAAAGGGGCCTGAATAGTTTATGATTTAACAAATGTATCTCTTTAAAAATAACATCTGCTTCTTAAGAGATCCCATAGTTAAATAAAAATGTCTGTTACCTACATCTGAATGGTTTAATGAAAGATTTAGTTTCTTCTTTTAAACACTATTACACCAACCACAACACACTATAAAATATTAATCAAACCCTTAGTGTTTAGTCACTTTAACCCATTAATGAGTAATGATTAGGCTATTAGGACCATATTGGAATTCCATTCTAGCATAGGCTCACTAAGGCTCAAATTGTAAATGGCATATTGTTGTTCCTTAATTATATGTTTACATGATAATATATATACAGCGCTACGGAATCTGATGGCGCTATATAAATAATAAAATAATAATATGTAGTAATTGTGATATTCTCAGGATAGCATGAGTTGGGGTGGGAGAAAAGAAGTTGTTAAAAGGCAAGTATGGTCTAATGGCAAAAATGCAAAGGGACAATGATGGACCACTGGTTTGGCGCCTTACCTATTACCACATCTATAAAAGCCAATACAGGTGACTGTCTTCTTAGGATGTAAACTAAGCAGTTAAAGGACCACTATAGGCACCCAGACCACTTCAGCTTAATGAAGTGGTTTGGGTGCCAGGTCCATCTAGGGTTAACCCTGCAGCTGTAAACATAGCAGTTTCAGAGAAACTGCTATGTTTATAAATGGGTTAATCCAGCCTCTAGTGGCTGTCTCATTGACAGCCACTAGAGGCGCTTCCGCTGGCGTCTTCTCACTGTGAAAATATAAAACAAAACAAAAAAAAGTGGAAATTGGGACAGACCTAAACCACGCTCTGCTATTCCCCACAATTCAAATAATATGAAAAATTATTTTTTACCATACTGTTCTAAAGTGAAGCGGCGGGTTGTAGTCTGTTGTCACAATCATTTGATAATATTTCTGAGGGTTCTACTCAATGCCCATTACACAGTAAACAATTTAGAACAGACTAATATGCAGTATGTTAGTATGATCTTATGTTAGATAAAATCAAGAATTTGACAGCTTAAAAAGTTTACTCTCAAACTTTGATGTCATTTATTTTAGTAAACAGACTGGGACTTTCTCTACTTAAGATGATCGGATGCTCCCAAATTTAATCATTTAATAATTTTACTTTGACGTTCAGTTCATTAAAAAAGAAAAGAACATATGTTTCAAACATGTGCTGCATAGCTAACACATTAGTTTGGCACAAAATGGGAGTTTCCAAAAATAAAATGAAATATACATAGTACCACATTTTTTTATTTAAAGCGGCTCTGTCACTTTTTAGTATTTCATAAAGATATCATCTTTATGATATAATTATTAAGACTGCATTGGAATTTCACTGGCATTCCAACATAAGCCAGAGCTACACTGATCATCCACAACATTAAAACCACTGACAGTTGAAGTGAATAACATTGACTATCTGGTTATAATGGCACCTGTCAAGTGGTGGGAAATATTAGACAGCGAGTCAACAATCAGTTCTTGAATTTCATGTGTTGGTAGGAGGTAAAATGGGCAAGCTAAAAAAATCTGAGTGGCTTTGACAAAGGCCAAATAGTGACGGCTAGATGACTGGGTCAGAACATCTAAAAAAGGCAAGTCTTGTGCGGGTTTTCCTGGTATGCAGTGATTAGTACCTACCAAAAGTGGTGCAAGGAAGGACAACCGGTGAACCGCGTCTAGGTTACGTGCGCCAAAGGCTCATTGATGGAAATGGGGAGTGAAGGGTAACCCATCTGGTCTGATCACACAGAAGAGTTACTATAGCTCAAATTGAGGAAAAAACTTAGAGGAACAGTGTAGCGTTTTGGAATACATATCTGTATCCTAACCCTACATTATTGGTGCCCCTTAGCATTTTGCCCCTTACCAATCTAAACAAAAATGAAAACGAAATAAATAAATAAACAAATTACTAACCCTTTCTCCAACGCCAATTCTCACTCGGCGCTGCAGCAATTTTCTCCTCCGGTAGTGGATGACAGGCCAATTCATTATTGTTAATAGAGGAGCATTGGGTAACATGGGCACATGCACGGCACTCACCGCAATGTCCCTACAATTCCTCCTTAGAGAATAATTGTATTTGATGATTTTCTCTGGCCGACCATGACGGCACACCCTGCGTGCGTGACATCACGGTATGTTACGGTATGGGAAGCAGTAAATAAGATTCCCTGCTCTTGTATCCAGAGGGCTTGGAGACGTGGATTGAAGTTGCCCTTCCAAGCCTTCTTATTACTTTAATATTGTTTTTTGTGGGGTAGGATGGGGAAGGGGCAGGACTGCAGGCACTATAACAACTTCAATAAGATGTAGTTGGTAAAGTGCCTACAGTGTCCCTTTAATGCTAGCCATGATAGAAAAGTGTCAGAACACACAATTTGCGGTGCAGCAGACTTCTCAGAGTGCCCATGATGACCCTTGTCCAGGCTTGGGGATGTGAGCGTCAGAACTGGACCATGGCGCAATGCAAGAAGGTTGTCTGGTCTGATGAATCACATACTCTTTTAGATCAGGTGGATTCCCGGGTGTGTCAAAGGGAAGAAATGGCAGCAGGATGCACTGAAGGCAGGCAGGCAGGCAGAGGCAGTGTTATGCTCCTGGCAATGTTCCGCTGAGTAACCTTGGGTTCGGGAATTCATGTGGATGTAACTTTGACACATACCACCTACCTAGAGATTCTTGCACATACACCCCTTCATAGAAATGGTGTTCCCAGATGGCAGTTGCCCTTTTCAGCAGGATAATGAAAGCTGTGGGATCCAGGCTTTTTCTAATGACAAATCTACGATCTCCTCCAAATCTACAGTACAGCAGTGACATAGCTCCTGGCAGCTGAACCACCAGGAGACGAAAAGGACGGTCAGATAAAGTATAGCTCACCTCCCCTGCACCCGCAGCCACCATACCCACACTGGATTTGTTCATTTTGATGTCTTTGCAAAATATGCAAAGACCCCCAAAATTGACATATCAGCTTTGATACAGAAATATTTAGTATTATTAGTAGGAGTAAATGTGAAAATCTGCATCTACAAAAGTATCATCAAAATATGTCACCATAATATAAAACATCATTTCTGTTCAGTAAGTGCAACTGGCTGCACTGCAGGGTATTGCTAACTGTTATTGGACCTGCAACAAAGACCTTTAGGGTGTCCAGAGTCCCACGGAAAGTTATCACACATTACCCTATGCAGAGGGACTGTCTTGAGCCAAAGGAGAGAAATACGGAGGTTCAACATGAGAGGTGTATCCATACACAAAAATATTATTATGACCTAAAGCCTAGCAGAGGAGAAAACAAGGTTTTCAGTACACCCCGCACAGACTGGGAAAAGGGAGACAAGGACAGCCAGCAGCCTGCTTCAAGTTCATTGGGTAGTGTCTTGACCCAGTTTTTTAAGGTAATTATTGGAAAGTCTGCTATAGTTTATTGAGGGCGAAATCTGCGTATGACATGTTTAAGTGATCAAGCAAGCTTCCATTCACATAAAGTCCTCCAACTGAAAAGTTGCCACTATCGGAAAATATGGAATGTAGCCCAGTAGCTATTTCCTAGACTTAACATTGAACTTGGCAGAATCAACATTCAGGAAATTGTGCCACATTCAATGTTAAGTGAATACTAGAAGCTAAATAGAGGGTACGGGGTATAACTCGGAAAATCGACTGAGTTTCCAGACAGTTACCAACTTGGGAATAAGTCAAGGTTCATAAAATACATTCCAAGGATTGGCAGTTGTATTTCTGAGGAAACCCATCCATCAGACTATTTAGCGTCGCACACATTTTTGTGGTTACTTTTTAAAGAGTTTTCACTTGCAAACTTGTGCCTTAACATGATAATTTAGGTTTTTAGATCTTTGATTGAATCGTAACTCTTTACAATTAAATATAAAAAAGTATTACATAAAAATCTCAAACATTCCAAACAGATCACAGGCCAATATAGACTAGCTTTTTTTCTTCTAAATTTGCATTAAAGTCACAAAGTTACTTTGTAATTTTTTGTCAGTAAATATGCAGGTTCTTTTTATTAATCAACATACCAGAGTGAATACATTTACTTACCATAGCCAGATTTCTTGGTTTGTGTTGGAACATCGGGAAACGTCTCTTCCTGCGGTTTGGAATACTGTGGTGGGCTCTTGGGAGGAGGGAAGAGTCGCTGGTTTGGGGCAGCTTTGGGACCCATGTAAGGGGGCATGAAGCCAGATTGAGGTGGGAATCCATCTTGGCACGAATCCCCAGAATGTCCTGCACAGCAACGCCACTGCATTTCAGTCACCACCTTGTACCCAATCTTGTACTTGGGTCTGAATAATGTTCTGTACCTTTAAATGCAAAACAGCAGTAAGAAAAACATTAGTAAGTGGGTCAAAGAGAAACCCGAACTCCCCACTCTTCATGATTCAAGGTCTGAGGAATACAACTCGCCAGAGACTGCTAGCTTTGGTGTGTTTATTGGGAGCAAGCTCACCACATCAGTTAAAAGAAATGAATAAAGAAAGCATTCATCAGGATTCCATTGGGTACCTAATCTTCCGGCACAGGACTGTGAGGACTGAGCAAGAGAATGTGCTTGTGCGATTTTTAACAGTTTCAGTGCTGAGCTAAGAGGTACTACCCATTGTACAGCGCCACGGAGTTTGCTGGCGCTATATAAATAATAAAATAATAATAGTGGAAATGAGTTATTGGGTCTGATTATTGGAGTTAATGATCTGATGCCGTTGCAATAGTAATGAGTTAATGACTTGCACGCCACTTGGAGTATCTCTGCATATTATTCTGTATTAATAAAGAAGTACTCTGCAAGGCTGCACATGTGGGTAAAGGTTTTTACTTGTTACTAATTCAAATCATGGTACTCACACGACGGTGCCCGGACACTTGGGTCCCCAGCTGCATTTCAGATACTCAGCCTTGATGTACGGCTCTGTCCCATCCTGCATAGTGCACGTTATGTTCTTCTCCACAACGTACATACAGTAATTCCTGAATGAAAAGAGAAATGTTGGCGTGATCCATTGGGGCCCAAGTGAAGCTGAATTAGGAGGATAGAGGGGAGGGATGCATAGAAAGAACCAAATACTAGAAAGATCAGACTGACTGAAAAAGCAATGTGCAATCACTATTGATGAGTTCTAGGTATAATAAATAGCAGCGTATAAACTCCAGCATTGTACAGAAATACTGAGAAACATAGAAACATAGAATGTGACGGCACACACGTCCATCTAGTCTGCCCAATTTCCTAAATACTCTCATTAGTCCTTGGCCTTATCTTATAGTTAGAATAGCTGTATGCCTATCCCATACATGCTTAAACTCCTTTACTGTGTTAACCTCTACCACTTCAGCTGGAAGGCTATTCCATGCATCCACTACCCTCTCAGTAAAGTAATATTTCCTGATATTATTTTTAAACCTTTGTCCCTCTAATTTAAGACTATGTCCTCTGGTTGTGGTATTTTTTTTTTCTTTTACATATAGTCTCCTCCTATACTGTGTTGATTCCCTTTATGTATCTGAACTGAACCTGCCACTGTACACCTATAAGCAAACATGGCTCTGTGTACCTGTTCATGTTCGATGATGGGGAGTGAAATGCTGCTCCACACAATGATATGAAGTATGGTGTTTGTATACAAAGTGAACACACTGCTTGATACTGTAATGCAGAATAGTTAACACTGCCTGCTTTTTAAAAAAGTTTTATATAAACACATGAATGTTTAGCTATGTTGAACACAACTGGCAGTCAATATTTAGTTGTACAACTGCAACTCATGTAACGCTCAGCCAGCCATGGTCGCTTCACTCTTCTTATAGGCAGACTGCTAAGCATCACGCGAATTATAGTTCCACAACAGCTAAAGAAAAAGATGATGATAATCACAGATCTACGGGCTATTCAGTTACTCAAAACATGCAGCCCCAATAAATCTAAATAAACCCAAGTAATGATCTCTATTCCATATTATAGCAATGCTGAAAGGTCAGTCACAGTTTATGTAAATCCTGTATAATTTATTGACACTGAATAACGCATTGATAAAGGACATGCTGTGAAGTTAATTCATAATGAGCACTTGTTGCTCATGTTTATATTTCCCTCGCCTAGCTCTGTCAAGTTTGTGTATAACATGCCGTAGGAACCCACTGCTCACAGTAATTATATTCAATGGGCACTGCCAAGTACTTGGCATCTGGAATAGGAATGTTCAGAGAAAAGTTATATGGTTTCGCTACACACAATGAGGGTTTCAGCCTTACCTGTGCTTGCCAATGGGTTTGCCTTGTGGTTGAGGATGAGAATTAGAGGTGTATAAACTGTGGATGAATCTGCCAGCGGGTGGTGGAGGGTAATATGTCCCTTTGGCACCAACTGACCAAAGATGCCCTCCTAACCATTGGAGAAGACAGACCAAAATCAAGAGGCTACAGTATCCCCCCTTCATCATGCCAGTTACGTGTGAGAATTGGGGGACACCAGGGACCAGCTGGGGTGAGTGGCTCCGTTAACTTCGTAGTCGCTGGTACAGTCCTTGGGGGTCTTTCTCCTCGTCAGTAGACTCCAGGCGTCTTTCTGTTTCCGTTTACACTTGAAGGGGGTCTTTTCAACTTTTGACTCTCCAGAGGGGTCTCACTACTCCACGCCACGCTCTAATCGGTGTCTTTTTTTTACCAAAATTCCTTTTGCCGCTTCTTTGCTTGAACACTTGTGGGTAGTACGTTATCCCTTAGGAGTCTCCTTTTCTCTGTAAACACCTGGGGTTCTCGATTCACCAGGGCAGTCAGTTTTACAATCTTTGGCAAGGCAGTAGCTTATTCTTTTTGAAGAGTGTCCTATTATGTCACTTTCTCATCACACGCCAACTGCTGTGCATCCTTGGCTTTGCCAGATACAGAGTCTCTATTTTTGTTTATGTCACTGTGTGTGACTGTCACTGTGTCTATCTGTCACTATGTGTGTCAGTCTCTTGCTAAGTTTACTCTTAGTTAAACGCTGTTCCCATCTCTCTTTATTCCGTTCCTCCTACTTTCCTGCAATTTGATGCCTCATAACTTTTACTCTCCAATAAGTTTCTTTTGCACTATTTCTCTCTCTTAGCCTACCTACAATACATCTTACAATTAACCATCAATGCTGTTTCTCAGTGTTCAGTCAATGCACATCCTTCTGTGTATTTGCAGCCTGTCCTGTTCTTCTTGCTCTCACTTTCAAACTGCAACTCTCTCTCACCCCTTGTCCCTCTGTCCCTGTCAGCTCCTCTCAGCTCCCTCTATACCCCAGACCTGTTGGAAAGGGGGGGTGGATTTGGGTGGAGAGAGAGGAGGAGACACTGGGATTAGAATAATATACCTCCTTTCTCTGCCCTTTCCTGAAACTGTATTAACTCTGCCAGGAGCAACAAGAGACTGCAGACTGGCACCGCGTGTCACACACGGTCTCAGTGCACACACGTGCACAGCTAGACTGAGAAACAGATGCTTCTAAAAAAGAGTTAACTATTTTCTTACACTGAGTGCTTGCAGGGAGGTTTGTGGAAAAGGATACGATGAATGGAAAGAAATTTAATAACCAGTGAAAAGTTACAGACTTTATTTTTTAAATTTATTAAACTGGGAATTATAGAAAATGGACATTAGAATAGTACATTTTAAGTCAAATAAAAAAAAAACTCCAATATCCTTCAAACTCATTTGCAATTCCCTAGTCAATTTTTTGAAAAATTCCTGGTTTACTAAATAATTCCAAAACTTATTTTCATTCAAAGTCTCATTGTCAAAGTGATGAATAGGCTGTATAGGTTGCCACCGATGAAAAATCTCTCCAATTTTAGTAAATCTCAGTGGAAAAGCCATGTTATACTATAGGTCACTAGTGCAACCGCCAAAGGTGCTGTTCACAATTATGGAGAGCTGATCTATACAGTATCAAGAGTAATGAGGTCCAGTGAACATGACCAAAGCTGTCCTACAACTTTTTTTGGTCTCCAATTCCAGTCATTTTTAACCATGCTAAAGAATGTGACTAGAGTTGGCCAGTCCTGTTCCGTAGAATGGGCGGTATCCTCTAATAAGTGACTATTATAATATAATTTACCACGACAGAGTGACAATAGTGTAGCTCACATGATAACCTCAAAAGGCAGGTGTAAAAATGCTAACTTTCCCACCTGCTCTACCATGAGTGACCCAGGATGTCAGAATATGGCATAACCCTAAAGTATGGTGTACAGGCAACAAGTTATGTAGGATGGGTAGGACAGAGGGATGGGTATAGGATGATCGGAATGCCAGGAATACACAATCACATTAATCAAGTCAGCAAAGGTTCCAAAGGTCAAAAGAATCAAAATGGTAGCTGTGTCCAAAGCAGGAACAAACTAGACATAATGCAGTACACCAGGGTCTGTAGCCAGGGAAGGGTGCCATGGTACTGGTCGCTTATATAGAGTTGGCATACATTGCCAATGCTGCTGTGTCCACATGTATAATTGTGACAAATGGGAACATACATTGCTAGAGTGAGACTGATTGGCAGTGCCATAAACAGGTACTGGTGGGCACCAGCCAGTGTCCAACAGTTTGGAACGGGGAAGAATCACAGATATCTATCATGGCATGAAGTCTGGAAACGGTGCTGGTAAATGCCAGTTGGACAACAGGTGACATGTCTCCTGGCTGCACAAGTAGAGAGATAGGTCCAGCTTTTTAGGGGGGCCCTGACCTTAAGTAAAGCACTAGTGTAGATGTATTGCTGGCCACACTCATTGCTGTACAGCCATGCACTCACTGGGCAAGTTCGCTACTGCAAGTCCAAACCCCACTTGTTGTGCGAGTACACCTGGGTGTATGTTCCACATCTGGAGCACAACCAATTCTTTCATTATTAATATAGTTCAGACTGTAACTCAACAAATATCTTGTTTATACTGGCACATATAGCCGTTATCTCCATCCCCATGCAGCTAAGTTTTGGCAGCCTTTAGTGCTTCTGATTCCGACAGTTTGTTCTGGACTTCTCTTTTTTTGTGTTCTCCAATGGAATGTCTTCCTGGCTCATTCCACCAAAGTACCAAAGTCCTCACATAACATAAGAGTTCAAACCTTGAGGTGAAAGACAGGCTGTGTTGCTTCATTGCGGTCCACTGTGATATAGTTTAAGGTGACAGTACCCATTGTTTGGGTACCAGGTGACACAATTTTCTTTCTATCTGTATATCATGTGTGAGGTATGATTGTAATATCAGGTGGATTGACTTTTTAGCAGTCTTTCAGTTTGTATTTGGTTTGACAAGTGACATCTGCCAATCTGATGGACTTTAGTTAATCACCCTGCTCTCTCCATCCTCTGTTGGAATTATACAATCGGCTAGTTGTCCTATTCCCAGTAAACTCAGGTTGGCACGTGCCCTGGGGATAGTCCAGGGAATCCTTCAGTACACATTAACGCACCCATAATCACGTCTCTATGAAGTCCAGGCGTGATGTGGTGACACGGCCTTTGGTATGCACTGATTTGCCTACACAGTGGACAGACACAGAATTCCACATCTCACTGTCACCAAACACAGACGTCTGTCCCTTTGATGGATTCAAAGTATCATCTCCGTCCTCATCACCTGAACAAATAACAACGGTACCAATTTCCCAGCAAGGACCTTCCCAGCTCATTACCACAAGGGTAACAAGGGCAGGGGTAAACAAATAAGGCACAGGGACTGCCTGGTATGATGAAAGGCGTCTAACAGAGATATATCTGTGTCAAGTTAGTATTAGCATACTACACAAGACCTCAAAATATGTGCCAAAAATACCAGAGTTAATAATGAGAGGAGTTCACAATGTGGCTATGTCCAATTATAATCTTTACTATAGTGATAAAAATCATCCCATTGTACAGCGCCACGGAATTTGCTGGCGCTGTAGAAATAATAAAATGATAATAATAATAATAATAATAAACAAAAGTATAACAAGTATCTGAATGGCATGGGTATAGAAATGCCATGATGGGATGAATTCATCATTATGGGTGAAATCAAACCACTAAGCCAATGTAGTCAAAGTTGATATAAATCTAATTTCTTTGGTGAAGTGACGAGTAAAGTCACAAGTCTCAGATCTGTGAATGGCTGAGAATTCTGGGAAGTGTTGTCCATAACGGCTGTGATTTGAGATGCCAGACTGGGATGTAGTGAGCACATGGAGATTGTTTGAAGGATGGCATCTCGGATGTAACAAAATATGGGGTTATGAGAATTGCAAAATTAGGGATCAGCTGGTCTTCAGGTTCCGGATTGCAATCACAACCCCCCAGAATCTCCACACATGCACCCCATTCTTAATAAAGAATAAGAGACAACTATGTATGAAAACTAAAAAAATAATAAACACTCACGTTTGAAAAAAAATAAAGGATAAAAAAGCTTTTAATACACCTCTGGATAGGGATGTAGCTTTGTCGTATCAATTCAGGGATTTGGGGGCAACAGAGAAGGCTAAAGGTACAATGGCAATAATTTTAGTGTGCGGTCAGTCCTGTGATAGTTGGGGGCAGCAATAAGGAACTGAAGTGCAGTGTTAGCATTTTTGAGTGAGGATCAGTACTGGGATAGCTGGGGGACAGCAGGGAAGGACTGAGATTCAGCATTAGTGTTTTTAAGTGTGGATCTATATTTGAATAGTTAGGGGACAACATAAGGAATGGAAATGCAATGCTAGAGCTTTTTGTATCACTACTGGAATATTTAAGGGGACACAAGGCGGTTACAGAAGTGCAGTGACAGGCAACTATGCTTGCGTATAGGTTCTGAGTGTCCTGTCACTACATCATATTTCTCAGTAGACTTGAAATTATTCTATGGGGGAGGGTGCAGACTCCACGGGTGGGGGGTAGGGGAGCACCACTTCCCAAGTTCCAACCCCAGACTGCCTGCTATTTCCTGTGATTAAAGCACCTTATAGAAAACACTCAGAGAATTTTCCCTGCGTCCTGCTTTGCGCAGTACAGACTCGGGGGGGAACAGGGGCAGGGCAAGAGATGCTATGAGGAGTTGGGTTAGCAGAGAAACCATGCAGGGCTGACATAAATCAGGTCAAACGGTGGTGACAGGTCACAGGTTGCATAAAAGCCGCGATGTTAAATTACCCTTCAAATCTGCACATTGTGGTCCAGAGGGAGGTCCTAGTTTATTGTGTCTGTGTATTGACCTTGAATTTGCAATGTTTGTGTCAATGAAAGAATCATGTTCTGCTCAACGATGTTGTTACGCCTTGTTTTTAAAATATTCCTGTGCATGCTATTATTTGTCTAAATGCTGTTATACAAGCTTACAATTATTAGAACATTTTTGCATAACCTTGTTTTTGTAAAATAGGCCAAGATGCCCTAAATTCCTCCCAGGTGATCATTTCCATGTACAAGAAAATATATAAATATTACGTTTAATACACAGTAAAGAGAATACGGGTCATATTATTATATATCTTTGGATGATATTAGAGCACTGTGAATGTTCATTCTCTGGATTGTATTCACCCCGTATATTATTAAACAGCTCTGGATGATATTATATCACTTTGAATGGTATCTCTCTGGATTGTATTATACCACTCTGAATGTTATTCTATCACTCTGTGTAATATGATATCCCTCTAAATGGTATCTCTCTGGATTAGATTATATCACTCTGAATGTTATTATATACCAGGGTAATATGATATCCCTCTAAATGGTATCTCTCTGGATTAGATTATATCACTCTGAATGTTATTATATACCAGGGTAATATGATATCACTCTAAATGGTATCTCTCTGGATTAAATTATATATTTCTGTACATTATCTGTATGAAATTATATCTCTCTGCACACTATTATACATTGCTGGAAGGAATTAGATCTCTCTGCAAACAAGTATATATCTCTGGGTAATTTTATATCACTCTACATGTTATGTCTGTAAATTATATAATATCTCTGTGCAGAGTATTATAAATTTACAGTTGGTAATAAAATATGGAGAGATAACATACAGGAGTCATTTAATGTCTCTTTTGTGACATCCTACTACATTGGCTTTTTGTGTGTTATTACATGTCTCTGATATTATATTACCATTACCCGTATCTCTGTGTATATTTGAATATTTATCTGCATATTATAAAACCTCTTTGGATCTTATGTTATCTATGCATATTACGACATCTATCTGGGTGTATCTCTACCTATAACGTTACATTTCAATTGATATATCATAATGAATATTATTACATCTCTTTGCTAATTAGTATTTATCTCTTGATCTTACCTGGGTTATATGGATTTTATTGCATGTGATGGGCAAAAACAACCAAAAAACAGCTACTGTCTTTACATTCAGCCTGTGTTTCTGTTATTGAACTAATGAACCCTACATGCACCTTTGCCATCTATCTTGACCAAATTTTCAGCCTCTCGCAGTGAAGAACAGGGGGCTATTAACCCCCTCCCCCAGTTACAAGGCATCTTGAACTTTTGTAAATGCATTTCTTAACCCGTACAAGCTGTACGGATTGTGTTGTTCGCACCAAAAGCCACGTAGTTCGTGCAGGCCCCCAATCAAGATTTTGGTTTATTTTTCTTAGATTTTATTTGGGGTAAGTCGGAAGGAATGTGTGGGTAGAATGTATTATCAAGCAAACTAGCCTGTTATAGAAGCAAGAAGGTTGCCAGAGAAATTTAGACAGGGCTGAATGATATAAAATATATATATTTTCAGAGGTTCCACCATTCCTAATCGCATGGACCGCTTGATATTATGCGTCTGCACTCGTTTTTCTTCTGTTGTTGATGTTCTTAAATCTACAAAAATGTTATTCTCTGTTTGTTGTTGCATGTCTCTACATACTGTGAAATTCATGGGTGCGCTCTTATGTCTCTATCAGACCTGTCACTTCTAAGGTTTTTTTTTTTTGTTTTTTTTACAGATATAGAATTTTCTTAATGAAAAAACGTATATATGTTGTCTTTGAATTTCAATGAAATTCCAGCACATTTAAAATAGGCATAACACAAAGTAGGGACTGTTTTATCTTAGCTATGTCTGCGGAAGCAGCAAAACTAATAGAAAGATTAATAGTAAGTTACGTAATGAGTGACAGATGATTGGGAACGGTATTTTATTGCACAATGCTCCTTATACCCCCATTTTAAACTCTGGTATATGCTTGAGACCACAAGATGGCACGACTCCTGGCATGCCAAGAGAGAAAAAGCAGATGGTGGCTTCCAAAGAGAAAGGATTTTAAGTGAGTGGATCTCCTGATGCCAAATGCAGGGCTGCTCTGTTCCTGTGGAACTCCCTTCTCTTCTCCATTAGACTCTCATCCAATCTCCACTCCTTCAAAAAAGGTAAAGTGAAAACTCACTTCTTCGGGAAAACGTATCAATTAAAGTGTTAATAGCTTTCCCTCCCCGCACCCTGATACCTCTCCTGCAACTGTCATAAAAAAACAAACAAACTAATCCCTTATTGAAAACTTTTATAGCAACCTAGTTTTCTACCCTACCCTTACCCTTTGTGTCACTTTAACCCACTCCCTCTAGCATGTAAGCTCATTGAGCAGGGCCCTCAACCCCTCTGTTCCTGTGAGTCCAACTCGTCTGGTTATAAATACATGTCTTTTAGTCCACCTATAGTGCAAGTGCTGTGGAATTCATTGGGGCTTTATAAATAATAATAATAATAATAAATGTCAGCTGACATGTTTCCAATAGAGGTCTTTGTAAAAAGACCCCTATACTTAGTTTGACAGACAGAAACTAATATAGTTGGTTTTGAGAGCCATGACCACATGGTTATGATATTAAGTATAAGGAGACAGCTAAGATTCAAAGTATTATTATTATTATTATTGGTACTTATAGAGCGCCAGCATATTCTATAGTGCTGTACAATATTAACAGAGAGGGCGATTTAACAATAAATGAGACAATTACAAAACTTACAGGAACAATAGGTTGAAGAGGACCGGCGCGTACTATAGGTCTATTAGGCGACCGCCTAGGGTGCTACTCAAGGGCGGGGAGGGGGGGCGCCAGCAGCAGCTTTACTGCTCTTTTGGGCCGGCCCCCCTCTATGAGGGACAAAGTCTGTAGTTCATGCCGCTGATGATGGCCCCCGGGCGCTAGGTACATAGCTGCAGACTAGCACACGGAGCCATCAACCTCAGACCGCAAAGTTCACAGAGCCACCTCACCCTACACACCTCTCATGATGGCAGCGCACGGGCGCATCGTTCGATCGGTCCCGCCCCTTCCTCTGCACTCTGGGTCAAGTGGACGGGAGGATAGCGAGGGGTGGAGCTGAGAGAGAGTGGACAGTGCACAGTCCAGAAGCCTGGGACACACGGAGAGACTGAGTCATTGTGAAGTGAAGGCAAGAGGGGGGACTTAATAGTGTGTGTGTGTTTTAAATAATGTGTGTCTGTTTGAGTCAGTGTGTGTGTGTGTCTGGATGTGTGTTTGTGTGTGTGTCTGCTTGGGCCAGTGTGTGTGTCAGTTTACATGAGTCAGTGTATGTCTGCTTGGGCCAGTGTGTATCTGTCACTCTGCACGAGTCGGTGAATTTGTGTGTGCATTGGTCACTGGTTGTGATTGTGTGGTCCATTGAGTGTAAGTGAGTGAATGCGTGTGTGCGTGAGTGTGTGTATGTGTGTATCAGTGACTGCATTTGGACACAATGGACCATTTTAATTAAAAAATAATAATAATTCAATACTTTTAGAGGAACACTATAGTGTTAGGAATATAAACCTGTATTCCAAATACTATTGTGTCTCTGTCCCTACATAGATTCAAGCCTGGAGCGAATGGGGCGACACATTTTTTTTGCCTATGGCGGCAAAAATCCTTGCACCGGCCCTGAATAGGACCCTGCTCAATCGAGCTTACAGTCTAGAGGAGGTGGGGTAGAAAACACAATATGACAGGAGATAGCAGTCAAACAAGGTGGGAGTGAAGCAGAGACTGGAGTTCTGCCCTTTAGGAAAGAATAAAGGACAGGTATGTGAGGTAGAGGTTACTCTAGGAGGCCATAAGCTTTCCTGAAGAAATGGGTTTTGAGGGACTTCTTAAATGATTGAAAACTAAGGAAGAGTCTGATGGTGGTAGGCAGGCTATTCGAAAGGAAGGGAGCCGCCCGCGAGAAGCGTAAGTTGGCCGTACGGGTCGAGCAGCAGACAGGAAAAAGGTCAGAGTGGAGAGACCGAGAAAGGGGAATACCTATGGATCAGTGAATAGATATAGGAGGGGCTAGAATTGTTCAGTGCTTTATAGGTGTAGAGATATGTTGTAAAAGACTAACACCACGGGAGAAGTGATAAATGAAGCAACAAGCACTTCAAGTCATTCTATTTCGTCCTAAACTTTGTAAATTCCTGTTTGAGTTCTGAGTTATGAGAACTGGGCTGATATAATGATTTGTAAAACATACGTTTTGAAAACACATTAGAACTTGGTTAAGGAGGTAGAGTATCTGAGTTCACAGAAATGTCGTAGCTGTCACATTTAAATAGCCTACTGGACATCATGCCAGGTCCCTGGAGTCTTATCTGTCAGTTTCACCGACTCCAGGTCCCACATGATTACTCTTCTGTTTTGTCCTTGCAGATTGCCTCTGGAAGTTCCTCTGCTCTTGTAGATAAGCAATTCTATCCGTCCCCATTCCAACATTTCTATAGCTACTCGGTCTGAAACAAATGGCTCAGGGGTCATAGGCATCTTGTTACATTTATTTCGGAAAAGTGTTATAAAGCCAAGTTTAGGAAGCAAATTGGAACTTTCCTAATAGACAGAAAGAGGTTAATGAGGTGAATTAGGCATGGGCCTAGCATGGAGGACAGAAAGTTAATGAGATAGAACGGAATAGCATTATAGGGGCACGTTGCTGACAAGAGGAGAGAGGGTCAGATATATTTTCCTTGTTTACTCGTTGGGACTAAATGGCTGGTGTGCTGGAACAGATTTATTAGACTTGCACAGAACAGTGAAATTTAGTTCTGCCAAATCAATTTGTACAAAAAAAAAAAAATTGTTGTATTAGTTCGATAGTCATCCATGTGGCTGGTCAGTTGGCCCGATTTTTGTCCATGCATATGATTCTGGAAAATGACTGGGGAAAACCAAAAGGGTGCCAAAATGGGCCAAGAGGTGTAGGTAACCAATACAATGAAAAAATGAGCATTAAAAAAAATAAAACACTTTTTATATAATATATATTTATTCAATATATATGTTTCTATATAAAATATTCCTAAATTAAAACATTTATTGGTTGTCCCCTAGCCATCATTTTTCATCGTTTCCATCAGTCATCTTTTTTTTTCTTTGTTCCATGGTTGGAATTCAGAATCATAAATCAGACGAACATGCTCATGCACTGCGCAAGTCGTCTGTTCAGTAATATGTGCATCAGACTTACAAGCTTTAGATTATCAGTCGATTGGTCAAATTAGGACAAATTGCAATCTAATATTTATTGACGGAGGAGAGGGAGAGTTTTTGATGCAGTTGATATTGTCCTTGCAATGAGTGGAAGGATCTCGAACAGTGATCCAGAATTTAGGCTATAGGTGGGGCTAAAAATTGGTCAATGGCACTGCGGGTTGGATGAAACGGTTAAAGATTAACACAGAGACCTAAAGTTATTTTGGGATGTAGGAAAAAATATTTATTTATGTACGCATTTTATTATGAATATACAAACATTATCATGCCACTCATATATCTCTGTCTATTTTTTTATTATTATATCCCTTTGCATACTTTTCTATTTCCCAGGATGTCACATATCTTTGCATAATATTCAACGTACATACATACTATTACATCTATGTGTATGTCATGTCTGCATTACAGTGAGATTGTTGATATTCTCGTACTGTGTCCGCACTCTGTATTTTCGGATGATTAATTATTTAAGTATGTCTTATCTCTTTGGATGTTATGCGACCTTTATGTACCCTATTAAATATCTCTGAATATTATCGTCTTTGTGTGTATTTTACTGTAGACCAGGAAATACCCCTCTGACAGTAGCTAACCTCGGCATACTTTTACACAGTAGTCTTTTTATGTTACACTTTTCTAAAAATCTAACATTTTTTCCCTGCATGTTACAATACCTCCTACATGTCCCTATAGAACTCTAAAATATACTGTTTCATTCTGCTCAAACCAATAACTCTCTGCATGCTATAATTACATTTTTCTAAACTGCATGTTACTCTGCATGTCATTATAATCCTCAGTATAATATAATGATATATTCTTCTGAACACATACAATATAAAATATACTATTCAGCACAGCACTTGAAGAACCATTGATTCTCACTGTGAAAATTGAGGAATGTTTTGCTATGGGCGGTTTGAATGCGCATTCGGCGCTGACGTCGGCAGGGGGGAGGAGAGTTCCCCAGTGCCAAAGGAGCCCGGCGCTGGAGAAAGGTAAGTGGCCGAAGGGGTTTTAACCCCTTCAGTGCCGAGGGAGGGGAGCCATAAGGGTGGGGGGGACCTAATGACCCTATAGTGCCAGGAAAACATGTTTGTGATGGCCCAATGTAATTTATTAGTTCACAAGAAAATATATTGTTTCTATTTGGATATCACATTTATTAATATTAATAAAGCACATACGTTTTCAGCAGCACTGTACAATGGCTGGAATTGTCATGTAAGTGATTGCAACAGAGCACGTTTGGCATACATTAACAAGAAGTGGTGAGGCCCCACTTAAACAGGCTAATGATTTCAAGGAAGTGTAGGGAAATTGCACAATGTAATGGAAAGTGCATTCTATTCAATGTAAAGATTGATTGCAAGCTGCATTAACAACATAACGTCTGTAAACATTGTAGAAGTGGTGATTACGGAAAAGAGAAAAAAAAATTAACTCATTGGTTGACGTGCCTTCCTAAAGAAGTGAGCTTTAAGGATTTCCTAAACGAACACTTGACTAGCAAAAGCAGAATAACTATTTAGTAGATATACCCTCAATGAAAACATACATGTACTTTTATCAACTGCAATTAACATAACGTTTAAGTGTGTGGAATAGTCATTTAAATGGTTGCTCCAAACAAAAAAAAATACAGATTTGGATGGAGCGTAGTAGTAGTTAATAGAGATGTCGCGAACCGTCCGCGAACTTCTTCGCGAACGGTTCGCGACGGTTCGCCACGAGCTGTTCGTGGCGAACTCTGGTCAGCTGACACGTCCCGGCCAATCTCCAGCAGACCCTCCTACTTCCTGGACAGCATCATGAAACATGGATGCTGTCCAGGAAGTAGGAGGGTCTGGGAGGGAGGGTCTGCTGGAGATTGGCCGAGACGTGTCAGCTGACCGGAGTTCGCCGCGAACAGCTCGTGGTGAACCGCGGCGAACCGTTCGCGATAAGTTCGCGGACGGTTCGCGACATCTCTAGTAGTTAATAGTTAATAGCATAGTCCACCCATTTTAAAATAAAATGTAAGATCCTGCATGATGGCAAAGTTTTTTATTGCAGCCTGGTCCTTCTCATGTAATGTCGATCCCTTTCACTGTGGGCATTTCAAACTGAAACACTAGACATACAAACTCCAAACAACGTGACCACCACCGCATATAACGAACGTGGTCATGGTGCTTGGAGAAACCCTTGAAAATTCCGTTTGAAAGCGTATTTCTGGAGAAGTCCTATGTTGGAGAGTTGGAGGAGCACATGCAAGCATAGGACAGGTGCCAGTTGCTGGACAAGTGGAGTGACCGGGACGGGGCTTACTTATTAATGAAGGTAGCTAGATAGGGGCTCAGATAGCTAGATAGGGGCTCAGATCTGGAAAATCATGTAGGTGAGCATTAGGATTGTAAATCCTAAATGTCGTAGAAATCCAGGAAGTCTGGAAATAGGTCTCGCATTGGAATTGATTATGGACTGTAAAGGGGTGATCCTGGCACAGTTAAGCACAAGATGGAGAAGGTTGCAGCAGTCAGACGTTAGGAGACAATTTCTGTAACATTTTAACTGCTAATGGAATTAGAAGAAGGTGGATATAAGCTTTGTTTTTTTATGATGACATTTGGAAGAAATGGAAGTTGACTGCATATGGTGACATAAAAGACAGCATGGCACAGAACCTGTGGGATATAATTACTGGTATTCCCAATAAATAGTCAATAAGTTGTAAATTATGTAAAAGATACAATGAGTCTCTATACTTTAGAATAAATTCTCTGTGTGCTATGATATTCCTTAAAAACACTGTCACTCTCTATAGTTACAATAAAATCATTGTGCACGCACTTCTCATGATGGCCCACTGTAATTTATTAGTTCACTAGAAAATATATTGTTTCTATTTGGATATCACATTTATTAATATTAATAAAGCACATACGTTTTCAGCAGCACTGTACAATGGCTGGAATTGTCATGTAAGTGATTGCAACAGAGCACGTTTGGCATACATTAACAAGAAGTGGTGAGGCCCCACTTAAACAGGCTAATGATTTCAAGGAAGTTTATTCTGTTTATGTATGTTATTATATCTGTCTTATGGGGTTTACTCACTAAATGGTAACTAGGAAAATTAACAAGAAAATTGCATTTATTGGCACACAAAAAAATCAACTAAATCTATAAACCGAACAACAATACCAACTAAAAACACTTCCAGAATTCGTTACTACTTCTGCTGGAAAAGTCTATCCTAAATTGCATCTCATTTGTCAATTCTCCACAGTTCACTGTTTAGCTAACCTCCATATTGTGTAATAAAGGGCCTTTTTGTTTTTACAGACTAGACTGTGCACAACACATAGCAAAGTGCTGCTTGGCAGTCAGGCATTTAATTGGTTAAACATAGTTTCCTCATTCTGTGCATTCTTTTCTTGTGTTTTTTTTTTTTGTTAGAATGTAATCTACTAGAACAAGGACTCATTATCTTTTATGTCTGCCTGCAAAAATAATATTTCTTAACCTCTGTCCTCTGAATTGTATCCTAACCGAGCTGAGTTAACAACATTTTATTAGATCGAAAGAGTGACAGGATTTGTGTTTCTCCAATTCAGAGATATTTGGGTAACTCTTTTGTTGTACCCCTAAATGCCAAAGTCTTGAATCCTCCACATACATTCTGGACACCTTTGCTTAGTAACAAGTTACCCCGAGGCTGTGCCAGCCAGCAAGAGGTAGGAATAAGATGGATCATGATACAGTGCCAGTTGGTGCCATAAAGGGGTGTTTATGGGTAGTGGCAGGCATGTCAGGAGGAAGCATTGTTCTTCTGCCTGCTTTCTTGTTTTTTTTGTACCCGATCAGTGGCGTACACACAATCGATGGGCCCCCCAGTGCAAAACTGATCCGTGGACCCCACCCCATCTCCCGCTTCCCCACCCTGACAGACAGACAGACACACACACACACATACATACACAGAGACACACACACACATAGACACATACAGACAGATACATAGACACATACAGTGGCGAACATACCAGGGTCGCAGGAGTCGCGGCTGCGACCGGGCCCGGCCCACCAGGGGGCCCGGCCGCCCCTGCGACCCAGTATGTACGCACAGGGCCAGCCTCTTCCCCTGGGGGGCCCAGGAGCCGACCACCCCAGGGCCCCCCGAGGCTGGCCCTGCTGTCACCCGGCAGGCGGGCGCGCGAGGGAGATCTTCCGGAGCCGGCATCCCTACGCGGCGCGCGAGGGAGCTGAAGAGGAAGCACTGAGTGCTCCCTCGCGCGCCCGCCTGCCTGCCCGACCGGCCGCCCGCCCAGGAGCCCAGCAGCACCACTGAACCCCAGGGAATCCCCCCAGCACTCCAAAAGGTAAGGAGGCTGGGGGGATTACATTTAAAAAAAAACATGTTTGAGTGTGTGTCTGCTAGTGAGTGTTAGTGTGAGTGTTAGTGTGAGTGTTAGAGTGTGTGTCTGCTAGTGAGTGTTAGTGTGAGTGTTAGTGTGAGTGTTAGAGTGTGTGTCTGCTAGTGAGTGTTAGTGTGAGTGTTAGAGTGTGTGTCTGCTAGTGAGTGTTAGTATGAGTGTTAGTGTGTGTCTGCTAGTGAGTGTTAGTGTTAGTGTGTGTCTGCTAGTGAGTGTCAGTGAGTGTGTTACTGTGTGTGTTACTGAGTGTGTGTGTGTGTGTTAGTGAGTCTGTTTGATGTCTGTTAGTGAGTGTGTGTTTGTCAATGAGAGTGTATGTTTTGTAAGTGAGTGTGTATGTATGTCTGTCGCTGACTGTGTCTCTGTCAGTAAATGTGTGTGTCTGTTAGCTAGTGTGTATGCGTCTGTAAGTGTGTGTGTGTGTCTTCAGCACTTACCTTTCTCCAGCGCCGGACTCCCTTGGCGCTGAGGATCCCTCAGCCTCTCAGCTCCGAATGCGACCGCGCACGCATTCAAACCGCCCATAGGAAAGCATTACTCAATGCTTTCCTATGGACGTTCAGTGTGCTCCTCTAGCGGCTGTCAGTGAGACAGCCACTAGAGGCTGGATTAACCCTCAGTGAAACATAGCAGTTTCTCTGAAACTGCTATGTTTTCAGCTGCAGGGTTAAAACTAGAGGGACCTGACACCCAGACAACTTCATTGAGCTGATGTGATCTGGGTGTCTGCAGTGGTCCTTTAAAGGACCACTATAGTGCCAGAAAAACATACTCGTTTTCCTGGCACTATAGTGCCCTGAGGGTGCCCCCACCCTCAGGGACCCCCTCCTGCCCGGCTCTGTAAAGGGGCAAAGGGGTAAAACTTACCTTTTTCCAGCGCTGGGCGGAGAGCTCTCCTCCTCCGATCCTCCTCTTCTCCTCCCCGTCGGCTGTATGCGCATGCGCGGCAAGAGCTGCGCGCGCATTCAGACGGTCACATAGGAAAGCATTCATAATGCTTTCCTATGGACGCTGGCGTGCTCTCACTGTGAAAATCACAGTGAAAAGCACGCAAGCGCCTCTAGCGGCTGTCAATGAGACAGCCGCTAGAGGAAATAGGGGAAGGCTTAACCCATTCATAAACATAGCAGTTTCTCAGAAACTGCTATGTTTATGAAAAAATGGGTTAGCCCTAGCTGGACCTGGCACCCAGACCACTTCATTAAGCTGAAGTGGTCTGGGTGCCTGGAGTGGTCCTTTAAGTGTGTGTGCATCTGCATGCACTGGTGTACATACAGGGGTCACAGCCCTGTAACCCCTGCGACCAGGTGCCCACCGCCATGTGTTGCGGCCCGGCCCGCGCGCGGGGGGGCCCACGGATCAATTTTCGAACCGGGGCCCCATGGGTCATGTGTACGCCACTGGACACATACACACAGACACACACACAAACAGACAGGCACACATACATATATATAGACAGGCACACACAGACACATTCTGTTTACCTCTGACCCAACCATTCACAAACATCAATCCAAATAAGAGAAAATATAGTATTTTGAGAGTGAATGAGAGAACATGGATAATGGACAAAATCTAAATTAGCTTGTCCTGCGATTAGTTCCCTCTCTCGTCTAAAACACGTTTTAGATCACATATGCCATCAACAAGTACTAGCTCATGTGTATTTTACATTTTGAATGAGTTACCTAGAATCAAAATGCTGGCATGCACCCTCCACAAGATCTATCCAAGACTATTCTGTGCCAGGAATGATAGACTTCGTGAAGAAGGCAAGTGAAGGAAATAGTTCTACTGTGCAATAGATATTAAAAGCTTGAATAAGCAAGAACTCATGAGCCACTGGATATACCGCCTTCTATGAGCAAGACGTGGACTAGCAGCAAGGCCTCAGTTAACCTTACAAGGATCTGTGTTGGGTAATCTTGAGATGAGCCAGGTGACATCTCTTTTATGAGACAGTTTGCAGTTGATCCTGTGTAGTGGGAGTATATCCTGTTGCTGAGATTAACCAATAGGATTCAAGGTACAGATAAAGGTGCCAGTTTAGTGGTGTTAAGTCTATCATGGATGCCCTGCAGAAAGTTAAAACAAAATTATTGCAGCACCATGTCAATGGAATAGGAGGGCTCTCACCATTCTCCAGGCAGGTACATATTTATGACATCAGCACAGCCACTTGACAGCAAAGCATGTTAAACTCACTGTGGCTAAAGGGTGGATAGCAGCTTATAAAGACGTTGACATTAGGCCTTTCAGTCTGCTATGTAGAGCCAAGCCAATGACCAGAGCTCATCAATAGCCAAGCAATGTGGTGAAATGTCAATACGAAGTCTGGTACCCAAGACCAATTGCCCATTGCATTTCATTACAGCAGTGTAGCCATTTGGATTGTAGCTGTAATTGGAGCTCAATACTTTGCAGTAATTGCAGTAGACATACTTGAAATTGGTCCAGGGGAACTTTAAGTAACTTATTTACTGATTTGTAGCTCTTTATGAAATTATCATTAGAATAAAAAAAATAATGTTAAATGCTTGTGTTTTATTTCTAATGGTCTGTACAGTAAATCTAAAATTCAACTGCTAGTGTCCTTTTAAATGTATGGGTTTCATTAATACACTTGAATAACATTTACATTCTTACGTTACATACAAAACAGATAAGACACAAAGTTCACTGTCCATATTCATGAAAGCTAAACCCTCCTCTTGATTGGAATGCTACTTAAACCATGATTTCAACAACAACTTGGGTGTCTTGTGCTGGTACGTATGTACTTGTTTAGTCTGATATTTTACATGAATGCGGCTGTAATTCATTGCCTTGTAAACCATTCTTTTATTAGAGACACAGTGCGTTCCAGATGCGTTCACACTTTTTTTCAGCTACTCCATGGCACTGGTCGGTCAGTGCTAGCAACTGGCTAATTCTCAGAGATTAGACTCATTAAATTTAACGTCAGTAATATTTTTGTATTTATATTTATGACTGAGTTGTATTTGTTACCAATTTTTATTCCAGAGGAGCCCAGCCCTTTGTGGCAAACACTTTTTATGTAATCTGCCTCTGATCATGAGCTCCCCTCCATTCTTGCTTCTCGATCTTGTAACATTTTAGCTTTGAACAAAGCAATGGAAAAATGTAAGAGGACACCCCTAGATTACAAGTTGAGATGGCTGCCCCTACTGAGGTAAAGATTTGGAAAGGTGGTACTTTTCTTTCAGTAGGTTATTATTAATGTATTATTTTACATTTGTTACTTAGCACTATTGCTAGGAGTGAATCCTATGTAATCCCCCCAAAAATAAATAAATATATATTGGGTCAGCCATCCAACCTCGTCCTCTGTGCACGGGAAGAGTAAAATAAAAGGCAGGTGTCTGCACAATTCACCCATGCCCTGAGGCCGTGACATGTAGCAGGGTATAAATAAACATGGGTCAGGGGTTCCAAATCTCTGGCCCAAAATAACTTCTTAAACAACTTGCAAAAAGCCCCGTGTCATATATATCCCTCCCTCTTACAGTAATCTAATAGTCTAGTAATCAGTGGGACTAATTTATATATATTGCCTTTTTTTTTTTTTACGTTACATTAGATGGGTGGGAGTTTCATAACCCTTTAATTAAAAAATATATGTGACAGGGTTATTTAGTAATGTGACAATTCAAAGTGAATTCCAAATTTAGGGCCACAAATAGTCCACAAGTCCAGGAGTCATCATCTTCTGCTTATAGAATTGTGCTCCAAATATATAAATAGTGGAATGCCGAAGTGAAAAACCTACAAATATATGTTGAAGAATCAAAACCTTGGACTACAATCCAGACTTTAGTTGTGAGAAAATCTTTCTTTTTTTTTTTCTTTTTTCTTTTTTTTTTTTTAAAGAATAGCATACAACATATTGTATAAAAATCCAAAACCTGTGCAACTATTCATCTTCACCCTAGTGGAACAGCTGTTGCCAGGTGAGAATGTTCTCCCAAGAACGTCTGATAGCTTTCAGTAGATTTGCCATTGAGCTGTATTCTCATGCAAGAATCCAGATGGCTTATGTAACCATAATATTTATACATTTGTGCATTGAATTTAAAAATGACTTCAAATAAAAGATTACATGTATTGTAGCCTCGGCGTGCATTATTTTGTAATGCTATCATATAAGTGAATGCCTCTTTTCAGTACCACTCTTGGCCCACCCTTGCTCTATGTACCCTTACATCTCGAAGTTCTCCTTGGTTGACAAATGCATCTGACCAAAGAGGGCTAATAAATATGGCTTCCATGAGAAAAGTTTATTAACATTTATTTATTCTTTGGAAAATAATGCACAAGTCTATATAACATGTAAACTTTAATTTGAGATATTAATGAAAAAAATAACAGGTTTTCCTAAAAAATGATTTATAAATGCAAAACACCTTTAACTGGATTTACTTAGTGAGGGTGGCGCCTACAATGCTCATTGATATTCTGAGTGACATGAAATAACTATAAAAATATACAATATTATTTGCCTTTCTACTATGCTTGAACATAGAACCATGCTGTATATGTCACTTGTTGAAGTAATCTGAACTAACCAATAAGTAAAAGCAAACAACAGTCCATTAGGGATCATACATAAAACAAATATTACACAATTGTCTAACTGCAGAAAATATTTTGTTAACATTATTAAGTACTTAAATGTTTCCCTTTTGTGTTCATCAATTAGTGAATTATATACATCTCAGATAGGGATTGGCTACAAGTCCATACGATGCCGAGTTTAAAGCACAACTGAATGGAATTGAAAACTGAATGGAAAAATGAATACAAATGAAATAATATGAGTCGTGCTGGAGCTATTACAATGTGGCAATACATTACATCAAGGGTCTACAGAGACCATCAAGTCATAAGGTTGGACATCTAGAGTAATAGTAGCCATAATTCCACTGTGAAATATCTAGTCTAGACATGCACTGACCCAATGTAAATTAGGGACTACGTTTCAGTTGTCTAAGGGGTTTCCTTTAATTTTAAAAAGTGGAAAATAGACAACAGACATGGATTTTCTTCTCAAGTGGGTTCCTTCATAATTATCCTTTCTTTGAGCAGACTTGCAAAGTACTGGTGCATGACAAGTCCTTGGATCTCTTTCCCTAGGAGAAGGCAAATAATGAATCCCTAAAGAATTTGAATACCCCAGACAATACCCTTTCTGAATCACCAATAACACCCATGAGGAACATCTGGATAAGATGTATGTCCAGATGTTCCAAACATAACACATCTTGTCCATACCACATGGACCCAAGATAAGCCTCATTCAGAAATGTTTCTGACTGCCGTGAAATGAAGACACATTTTTGAAATGACACAATCCTCGTGCACCTGTTGTTCCAATTGAATATTAGTTACTTGGTCTGCAGGTTCTGCTATCTTTGAAAGTGATTCATACTTCATTTTATATTTTTTTATCCTGAGACAAAAATTCCTGTATGCCACAGGCAGGCTTTTAAAAAGAAAAATCTAACCCAAAGGTTTCAGTGACCCAAAAATGTTGTGTTTGAATGAGATATTGATTGCCCAAGACTGGAACCATCACAGCAATCCTAATTTCCTTTGTACTTGAATGGACACACCATCTAAGGCTTGCATACACAATATTTAGACTTGCATGTGTAGTCTTTAAAGGAAATATCTAATTTTGCAAAACCAAAACAGCAAGATATTATTGTAAATGGAAGATATTACACATGGGATGTCATTATTTAACAGCAAATATCAATTGTAGTGTAACTCTCCTTGCCCCTGTAATTTTAATAGGGGGTAAAGAGACCCAAGGGTGTAACATTTCATCATGTTCTGGGTCACTCAAAGGAGAAATGCTGAACCCTTCCAGGAGGGCATTATGCTGATGACTCAGCTCCAGAGGTGAAATGTGTCAGTCTATTTGCTCTTCGTTTACCCCATCAGCTTGGTGACCCCGCATTTACCTATTAGTACAGACAAAAATGGAAGAGGAGAAAAAAATGGAGAAAAGAAAAATTAAATCAGCAATAATGTTTTGTATATACCATTTTGTTAAAATGTGAAAACAGCCTGTGAGGCCAAGTAGAGTACAAAATAAAAAAATTACTTCAGAGAGCAAATTATTGTACTGTGTTGCAGAATATATTGCAGCTTTCGAAGTAATAATATATACCATTCAAAGCATATTTTCTGTCCTAGCAGCTGAGTAGACCCTAACCCATTTGATATTTGCCCATTGAGTGCCAGTCAAGCAGTAGAAGAAAGGGAATATCATGGTTGGTCTATTTTCCCATTGAGTGCCATTCACATACTTGTTGAAATGGAATAAGTATGGACTCTACAATCGATATAGGTAAAATTCTGACCAACCCAGAGAGCCACAATGTTCTCGGTATAATACTTTCAAGAACACGTGTGTACTGTTTTCCTGGCTCACTGGGGAAAAAATAATCAGATAATATTCAGAGCTCCCGCAATAGCACAGACTTGTTTTCTGGAAATAAGATCCCGATCATCATCAGCCATAAGGCTGGTCAGCAATATCCAATTGCCCATTGCATTTCTAGATGCTCAGTCGTACTTGAAGAGTTAACGAATCTCGGTCTGTGCCATTAAATCTGAAAAATAAAATAAATGCATTCCATTTACTATATTTAATGGGGTTTTTTTAAAATAAACCAGTTGGTATCAATAAAGCTAATTCACAATCATTCATTTTGCTAATTATGTACATGTTGATTATTTCCACATTAAACATTAGCGTTTAACTTCCTTGGATCTCAAGTGCTCACCCCTCCCTTGAAAACAAAGCATGCATTGTGTAATTATTGTGTACAAGCAGAGTACATTCTTCAGCATTGTAACTAACATAATAGGCCACAGTAAGGCAGTTGATGAAGTTTATTATGATTACGGCAAAGTATTTGACACTGTTACACACAGTAAACGCATTCAAAAATTGCTGACTTCCAGACATTACTCATTTCTTGATCATTCATGGCAGCATTTACTCATGGGTTAGCTCCTCCCCTCACAGCAGAAAGGACAGGAAATAGAACTCTGAAACTGGTATAAATTGGTATATATAGATCATCCCCCTTCCCATCAGGCAATCTATAATTTCTAGACCTTGTCTGGGTTTCGTGGAGGTGCTCTAAATTTAAAGATGGGTTCCTTATTTCTTACGATGGTTTGTCTTGTATTAGTCTAACCTTGTTCATTCTGTAGGTTTGGCTATCGTGGCCTTAATTCCTATCTGGCTCTATATTTCTCCAGGATATTTCAGACATTTGAATGCCAGGGGGTTGCTGGTCTAGCACCCTCTAGGGTAAATTAACTTGTCTGAACAGATTTTATGACAATTTCCTATAGATTACTTGTTTGGCTTTTTTAAAAGTCTTCTAAGGTTTATGCAGCTCAATAATGGTTTTATAGCTATTAGCTGTTTTTGAACTTTGTCCCTCCCTCTATATATACTGCTTGGGTATTACCCATGAGTAAATGCTGCCATGATTGATCAGGAATAAGGAAAATTGTTTCATACTTACTGTAATTTTCTTTTCCTGATCATTATTCATGGCAGCATTACGTTCCCACCAGTGGCGGACTAAGGAGGGGGCGGTCCACCCCGGGTGCCACCTGGTAGGGGGGTGCCTTAACCCTGGTCTTGGGGCTGTGTGAGCTGTGCCCCATGGCAGCTGGGGTGTCACACAGCTCACATGGAGAAACCAGCAAGATGAACTGGCCGCACGGGAGGAAGAAGAAGGGGAACTACGGCCGTTTAGGGACGGAGCCTAACCGTGAGTGGGTGGCGGGGCTTAACACAGCCCTTACAAGCTGCTGTAAGTAACTGCTGCACATGGAGGTGCAGCAAGCAGAAATCCCTGCTCCTCCACCTACCAGGCTCCAGGGAAGGACTTCAGGCTGGTGAATCCACTCCTCCAGCACACACTGTCTGTAAGTATAAGAGTGTGTGTGTGTAACTGCCTGAAGGTGTGTGTGTGTGTCTGTGTGTAACTGTCTGCCTGAAACTGTGTGTGTGTGTGTGTGTGTAACTGCCTGAAACTGTGTGTGTGTGGGTGTGTGAGACTGCCTGTCTGTAACTGTGTGTGTGTGTGTGCATGTGTGACTGTCTGTCTGTAACTGTGTGTGTGTGAGAGAGACTGTCTGTAACTGTGTGTGTGTGACTGTCTGTAACTGTGTGTGCGTGTGTGACTGTCTGTCTGTAACTGTGTGTGTGTGTGTGTGACTGTCTGTCTTGTGTGTGTGTATAACTGTCTGCCTGTAAATATGTGTGTGTGTGTGTGTGTGTGTAACTGTCTGCCTGTAACTGTGTGTGTGCGTAACTGTCTACCTGTAACTGTGTGTATGTGAGTAACTGTCTACCTGTAACTGTGTGTGCATAACTGTCTACCTGTAACTGTGTGTGTATGTGTGTGTGACTGCATGCCTGTCACTGTGTGTGTGTGTGTGTGTGTGTGACTGTCTGTGACTATGTGTGACAGTCTGCCTGTGACTGTGTGATGCTGCCTGTAACTGTGTGTTACTGTCTGCCTGTGACTGTCTGCATGTAACTTTGTGCGTGGCTGCCTGTAACTGACTGTGTGTGTAACTGTCTGTAACTGTGTGTGTTTGTGGCTGTAACTATGTGTATGACTGTCTACCTGTGACCGTGTGTGTGACTGTATATGTGACTGTCTGCCTGTAACAGTGTGCGTGACTGTGTGTAACTGCTTGTAACTGACTGTGTTTGTGTGTAACTCTCTACCTGTAACTGTGTATATGACCGCCTGTGACTATATGTGTGACTGTCTGCATGTGACTGTGTGCGTGTGACTGCTTGTAACTATGTGTGACTGTCTGCCTGTAACTGTGTGGGAGGGGGTGCAGGGATTTTGTAGAGGGGGGCAGGGGTTTTAAAAAGTTTACAAATTTGTTCAATAAATTTTTTAAAAAATGTTAAAAATATAACACATTTTAAAAAGTTTAGTAGGGGGGGTGCCAAACCCAGGACCCGCCCGGGTGCCACATGCCCTAGGTACGCCCCTGGTTCCCACCCATATACTATAGGAGTTATGAAACTAGTTACAAAGACTGCCTGATGGGAAGCGGGAGGATCTATTTATACCAGTTTCAGAGTTCTATTTCCTGTCTTTTCTGCTGTGAGGGGAGGAACTAACCCAAGAGTAAATGCTGCCATGAATAATGATCAGGAAATTAAAATTATGAAATTAAGTATGAAACAATTTTCCTTAATGTATCTGAACTATTGTGGTTTTATTTCTCTTTTACATACAGAGATATATAGGTGACACCTATGTCACCTATATACTAGAGTGGGGATCATACCACTTCAAGCTATACCTGTGGAGCCACTGTTCAGGCTCCAATATATGTGAGTGCATATTTTTTTTATTACTGTATTGCTGCTACTTGATTGGGCATACTACACTGTGTTATTTTGATTTTCCTCCACATATATACTGCCAAGAGGACTATACGCAAATTCTTTCACCACGTTATATCCATAGACGTGGATTATATCCAAGCGTTTAAGTTGGAGCTAAACCTAAGCTCCTGAAAAGTGTGAGTGAACTATTTCTATCTTTTCTCAATCATATTTTATGTAATACACTATTTGTTCTTTCCCTTCTCTTTTTAATATGTATCCTCAAGGACACCCTAGGCGCTATACTTACCTTCCTGCGTTTTCAATTTTCTACCAGACAAGAGATTTCGTGATTGGCCTGCTTTCTGAACGCTTGCTGAATTCCTTTCTGTTTCTGTTCTTTTAAATATGTCAGTTTGCTACACACCTGAAAACATATTATTCTGTAATGTCTTCAGCTGGTCTCAATCTATACAGTATAACAGCTGCCAAACGACATGCAGTGAGGTGGGTGCACAGAGACAAAGTATACATCAGCTTTTAATATAGATCTCTTATAAAAATTCTAAAATTTTGACAATAATTCTTTATTATATTTGTACAATGTTATTTCTCTCCGCATGACAGGATGCCTGTTAACATTACCGTATCGCATGATTAATTAATAACTGTGTGTTATTTTCTTGCTTGAAATGTTACTTTGATGGCCCTGCAAGCTCCTACATTGCTGTATAGGCTGTGATATGGTTAATTGGCTTCTACAATACTTGTCTCCTCGAGTTGGTACAGAAAGAGTGCTGTATCCCTGTGGCTATCTGAGTTCCTATAATATTTCACATTCCACCCTTCTCCAGCTCTCATTAGGATTTATATAATAAGCATTTAATTACTCAACCCTACTTATTCCCCAGATATTAGGATCTTAGAGGCACCGGGTCTAATTGAGTTAGTACTGGTATGATTAATTAGCTGGAGAAATGTCAGGATGGCTCTTTGTCTGGTGGTGAGAGCCTCGGCTATAGGAATGTTCCCTGGTAGAAGGGGAATATGCTCCTAGAATAAAAAATGACATTGGCCCATGCACGAAACACCTGCAGCTTAATACAAGAAAACAAACTGATATTTCTTACCCTGCACCAGATTTAATAGCCCTTTAGAGTTTGCAGACATGATTAGAGACCCGAGGAGCAGCACACTGCGAAAATATTATCTAAGTACAAAACCTCAGTTGAATTTCAAGCGGCCAGCTCTGTACCCTAGAGAAAATAATCTTCACAGCCCAGATAGGCATGAAGGTGTTAATGTACAAAAGCAATATTCTGAGTCAAAGTTTCAATGGAAAGGTCCCGTAATTGCTCCACCTCAAGAAAACATTGGTTGATTTCTACTTCGATGGTCCTCCGTATAGAATGTGAGTCGATGGCAGATAAGAACCATTCGGCCCATCTAGTCTGTCCAATTTATTAAATACTTTCATTAGTCCCTGGCCTTATCTTATAGCTAGGATAGCCTTATGCCTATCCCACGCATGCTTAAACTCCTTCACTGTGTTAACCTCTACCACTTCAGCTGGAAGGCTATTCCATGCATCCACTACCCTCTCTGTAAAGTAATACTTCCTGAAATTATTTTTAAACCTTTGCCCCTCTAATTTCACTCTATGTCCTCTTGTTGTCTTCTTTTAAATCTAGTCTCCTCCTTTACTGTGTTCCCTTTATGTATTTAAATGTTTATATCATATCCTCCCTGTCTTGCCTTTCCTCCAAGCTATACATGTTAAGATCCTTTAACCTTTCCTGGTAAGTTTTATCCTGCAATCCATGAACCAGTTTAGTAGCCCTCCTCTGAACTCTCTCTTAAGTATCAATATCCTTCTGAAGATACGGTCTCCAGTACTGTGTACAATACTCCAAGTGAGGTCTCACCAGTGTTCTGTACAATGGCATGAGCACTTCCCTCTTTCTACTGCTAATACCTCTCCCTATACAACCAAGCATTCTGCTAGCATTTCCTGCTGCTCTATTACATTGTCTGCCTACCTTTAAGTCATCTGAAATAATCACCCCGAAATCCCTTTCCTCGGATGTTGAGGTTAGGACTCTATGGGTTTTTACATCCAAGATGCATTATCTCCATCATATTTTATGTAATAAACACTGGAGGGGTTGTACCTAGTGTTGTCGTATTAAAGCATGCCAAGACATTTTAAAACAAAACCATCCTCTCTACTATATCCCAACTGGTCCTAGTGCAACTCTAGAAAGTTCTTATCTTGATGACACTGACTGATAGCTAAAGTGACTCTGTCATTCGGATGCGAGTTACAATCATAAGATGATAACTTCTGATATATCCGATATATCCATTGCCAAATTAACTAGCCCTGACTCCCTTCAAAATATAACATTTATTTAGTACCACGTATGTAGCGGAGATCTGGTCTCTCACAGCCTATATGCGCTAATAATCCAAGTGACACTCAGGAACAAGTAATAAAACTCAAGAGACTGGTATCCACAGCAAATAAAATAAATCCAAGAAGATCCCATAACGTTTCCCAATGACTGGACGACACACAGCATCAGGAGCAGAACTATTGGTTTATTCACACTCAGCTTTTAAGCATTTCTCCCATGCAAGGGAGCCACCCACAATAATTAGTACAGTAACCAATCCTTTACTTGTTACCTCCCATACATCTCCTCCCCTCAGTTTGACACATAATCCATTTTTACAGTATATGGTTTTACCCAGTTTTCAGATGTACCCCAAATATATTAGATACAATGTTACATTTTATATTCCCTGGTAGCCCTGATCTGGGTGAGCAACATATTCAAAAATCACCCAGATCGGACCAGGGGTTTCGGGAGTTAGGTGGAAGTAGAAATTTGACCGACCGCACACGAGGAAGTAGCCGAAAGCCCTTCCATGTGTTTTGACCTTGCGGTCGGTTCGGGACATAAAAAGCATGAAAATCCCTGCTATCCAGGGCTGAGCTGGAGTTCAGATGAATCCACTTGTTCGGTAGATCAATTTAAACAAATGATGGCCTGATTCGTGGTTCCGTCCGGTAGTTCTGGAGAACTGGAGGTCTTAGAGGTGTTCGGGTAATCGAGTGTCCGATTTGGGTTCCAGACACTCGACGACCAAACACCGCTGAGCGTTCGTATGTAAGATGGCCGCCGCCATGTGTTCGTATGCCGAACGGTGTCCACCCAGCAGCCCAAGCAAGTTACAATGAATCAAGGGGGTAAACAAGAGGCCCACTTATCCCTAGGGTGGTCTGATTGTTCGGTAGTTTCATTCGTATGATGAACGGAGTGATTTTACCGAACAATCAGTCAAATGCTTCATACAATATGAATACACATAACAGGAAATTAACAAAAGCCTTTTTATCACACAGTTTTAGCAGACAGCCCAATGCAATCCGCTACAACGTAATTATGGAATTACACATCAATCTACTTTTCTATTATTGTGCAGTCAGTTTAACCACTTGTAAATGTGCTGATGTGGCCTCCATAAAGGCCTTTTGTATTAAAAAAAATTTAACGTATCAATGTGTTCTCCAGATTCGAGGAAAATGTGTAAACCTAACTGCTCCCATGAAATGCCATCACAATAATCAGCTCCCTTCCCATAAATAGATAAATGAAACAAAACATTTAGATCTCAAAAGGGGCACCCAACAAATTCCTACTGGGCTGAGCACCCCACCTGTCCACTATAGATGCTCCTTTCGAGGTGACCAGTGTAAAGCATAAATTGAGGAGAGTCTTAAAATTAGTTTAGGACCCACTGATATTGGAATACTGTGACCTTGAGGTGGGATGAACATGATATGGCCACATATTGTAACTAAATCCCCAAATTTGTTTGATTTTGAGTGGTATAGTGGTGATTTTAAGTAGTTTTGTAAAATTTTAAACTGTATTTGTGTGTTGTTCCTTAATCTGTATTTTGTACATATTTGGTCTTTATGGCAGCACTCTAACTTAGTTCCGGATGTGCCCCCAATTCCCCCTTTTTTTCCAGACACAGCACTGATGCCCACAGAGATCTATGTCGCTGTATATACTGAGGCTAGCCTAATGAAAATGAACACACAGACAGACCCCCGCCTGTGGGACCTTTTGTCTGTTGATTTAGGCTCTATCCACCCATCCTTGTCCCTCTCACGGATGTTATTTTTGTCCTGGAAGCTTTTGTTTATAAGCTGAGGTTTGCCACCAAGAGACAGAGGATAGCGATCAGTCAGACACTTTCCCTTCCATGTCGGATGCTCCCGACCGTGTGTCATTGTGTCACGTGCTACTCTGTCACCAGCAGAACATGTAATATGACTATTGCTTACACTTTGTGTTACCCCCTACATGTGGCGTCATGTCACACTGACAATCACTGTTTGACTGATACTCTGTCACATCACAGAACACTCTCAGTCAGTGCACTACTGTATCACCCTTTCCTCTCTCTGTGTAATACTGTATCACCCTTACTCTCTCTGTGTAATACTGTATCACCCTTACTCTCTCTGTGTAATAATGTGTATCACCCTTCCTTTCTGTCAGTGTAATACTGTATCACCCTTTCCTCTCTCTGTGTAATACTGTATCACCCTTCCTTTCTGTCAGTGTAATACTGTATCACCCTTTCCTCTCTCTGTGTAATAATGTGTATCACCCTTCCTTTCTGTCAGTGTAATACTGTATCACCCTTTCCTCTCTCTGTGTAATAATGTGTATCACCCTTCCTTTCTGTCAGTGTAATACTGTATCACCCTTACTCTCTCTGTGTAATAATGTGTATCACCCTTCCTTTCTGTCAGTGTAATACTGTATCACCCTTACTCTCTCTGTGTAATACTGTATCACCCTTCCTTTCTGTCAGTGCACTACTGTATCACCCTTTCCTCTCTCTGTGTAATACTGTATCACCCTTCCTTTCTGTCAGTGTAATACTGTATCACCCTTACTCTCTCTGTGTAATACTATATCACCCCTTTTCTCTTTAAGTAATACCTTACCATCCTCCTTGTTTCACTATATCATTATCTCTCTGTCACAGTAATACTGTATCACCCTTCCTTTGTCCCTGTCACTGTAATATTGTGTCTATATACCTGTCAGTATCAGTTTAATACAATTAGTACACAAACCCTGTCACTATCAGTGTAATATTGTCTCTATCAGTGTAATACAGTCACACATTTCCTACCCTGTCACTATCAGTGTAATATTGTCTCTATTAGTGTAATATTGCCACACACTCCCTGCCATGTCACTATCAGTGTAATACTGTCACACCCCCCTGCCTTGTCACTATTAGTGTAATATTGTCACTATCAGTGTAATATTGCCACAGACTCCCTGCCCTGTCACTATCACTATCACACATCCTGCTTGGTCACTATTGTCTTTTAACACCAATTACTCAGTATACCATTTTTTGGTTGTATTTAATTCTCATCTTGTCACAAGCACTCTTAATCAACAAGTCCCATTTATTCTGACCATATGATCTACTAAAAGACCCTCCTCTTAACGAAGGCTGCTATGATGTCACCAAAACCAGACTGAAATAGCACCTTTTCTGTTGGGGTGCGAGGAAAACTCTGATACCTCGGAAATCATACAGAATATGAGGATAAGAACATCTGGGGGAATTTTATTTTTTTTAAATCAACGCATGTTTCCATAGTGAGAGACATGAGAGGATCTGTTCCAGAGCAACCACTGTTTGTTCACAGTTCCTTTTAGAATGTCATCTCTGGGTGACATTGTGGCATGTAAATAATACTGTATGTCCTGGGATGACACATTAATTTGCTCGCACTATCCCAGAAACCACGATCTGTCTAGCAACCACAGAGTTTACTTATATTGACTTGTTATTACAAAGTGCAATATTAACCTCTTTACAACCAAAGATGGCCTCCTCTGTCATAATCTAGTCTCTTTTAAAGATCCTATTAATAAGTAGAAATACCCAACATATATAATGACAGTCTACATAGAGCTACGTATACTAGATTAGTAGGACAATTTACAGTGGCATAAGGTCTTCGGGGACCAGATTGTGATATAGACACAATGGTATCCAAAGAGTTAAACATACAGATCTATAATAAAGGTATGTAATAGAGCACTGTCTCTGTCCACATATTAGCGGATGTATTTTTTTTTTCTGTAAGTCCAAATGTTCTGCGTAGAAGGTTGTTCAGAACTTGCCATTCAACGTTGCAATGCAGGCAAGAAAAGAGTTAAATCCCCTTCGGCTCCGCTCACCTCGGGGGTTTATTGCTGGGATTTTAGTTTTTCCACATTATTTTGGAAAAGAAATTCCAGACGCTGCTCCGTAACCCCCTTCTCCCCCCACCCCAAACCCAAACTCCATCCAGTCCGCACCTCTCCTCACGCCCCCCTCACCCCAATCCTGCAGCAGCTGGGAACGAGGTGAGATTTTTACACAGCAGCAGCAGGACACCTCTAACTAGATGCATATTTTTGGCAGAGAAATCGTGCCTCAAATAGTTATTATATTGCGATCCAGCATCCGGCAACAGCAGCAAAACTCTCTGTAACTCAGATATTTAAAGGGTCAGCACCACAGGGAAAGATTCATCTTTACTTGGGTTAAAGGGTCTGTCTTATGTATGAGTAATTATCTAACGACTGTTACATGTTTGATGTGTTATCAGGTGAGTTTGTTCTAGTTACTAGAAACCTGTATGGTTAGCCTCATAAGTACAAACAGTTCTGTAATATATCACCCTCCTTCTCTAAAGTCAAATGTTTAAAAGAAACATCTGACATATGAGGAAAGTGTTCTAAAAATAGTGACCTGCCTTACTGGAGGGATTGCCAGTCTTGGCACCTTACATGATTGACCACTATTCCCATGATGCTTAGCGAGTCTTAAGAGGATCATAGGAAATGTAGTTTATTCCATATGTCATCACCGTGTTTTGGATTGCAGGGTTAGTTCAATGATTTGGGTAAAGTGACCAAGGAAAGGAATAGCTCTTTAATCCACAGATTACGAACTTTGTGGAATATTTATTTTTTTACCAAATGTCCTACTTTTAGTCTAAAGTTCCGCAGACCATGTTAATCCAAGAGACCCATTTATAATGTCAACTGGCGAATGTACAGGGTGGGCTAAAATTCAGGATAGGGTTTGAGGAGTCAATAACTTTTTTTAAATTATTATTAATGAACCAATTTCAATGATATTACATACAATAAATGCTTAACATATGAAGATTTATTTGAGTAGGTACAGAAGATGATATTTTTTAAATGAGCTCCATTTGCCGCCTCGCAAAGTCGAACTCTGTTGATTGAATTGTTCACAACATTAGTTAATGTTTGATGCTCTGGCGCTCAAATTTCTGCGCGGGTATTCTCCTTCCGCTGCTCAAGTGTACGCTGTTTGCTCACGTACACTAGCTCTTTCAGATATCCACACAGGAAGTGATCAATAGCTGAAAGGTCGGGTGAATGTGAAGGCCAATTAATCTGGAAATTTCTTAAAAATTAGAATTGTCTCAATTTAGAAAATAAACTTTCACTATTTTTACTCGTTTTTCCTTCGTGAAATTACCCATGATAAACCCCCCCCAAGACTCGTCAAATCCTACTCTGAATTTTGGCCCACCCTGTATAATAGAAAATGCTCATGTTAGTGTGTTGGCAATGCATTGAGCTGGCAGGTTGGTAAAAAGCAAGTAACCTTTCTTGTTGGGGTGCTACTCTATGCATACTTTTTTTTTTCGTTCCACACTTCTGATCAAGGAAAACTTCAGCACCATATTTGTTTAATGTTTTCAAAGTCAAAGGAAATACAGTTTTGCTAGCCAAATACTTCAAAAGGCCAGGGAAGTAATAATTAGCCAAATGATAGATGTGCAGTCATATCACACCCAAACACAGTTAATAAAACAATTGTCCCTCTAAAAAGTATCCTCAGCCAGACCCATAGAGGTCATGTCCCGGGGTGTGTTGTACGCCAAAAGTGTGCTCGATTGTGTCCCCCAAAGATAGAGCGTGTAAGCTACCCGCACCAAAAAACTCTGAAGAAGTGAAAAGAATTAATTTCAGAAATGGATGGTAACTGGAAAGTAATAACGTGATTATTTAAATGAAATGTTGACATTAGATTGATCAAAAAAGACTCAAAAAAGATCAAAAATGATGCACGATGAGGAAAAGTATCAGAAACCTTGATTAAACTCATGAAGCATTACTTGATATGCAGGTATGATTCCCTAATGACAGTTAGGGGCAGTTCAGTCCTCTGTAAGTAAATAACTCAGACAGTGATGTGGGTGGAAGGACTGACCTTGTTTGATAGGCTACAATGTAACGTGTTTATAAAAGGTCGGGTAAGAACATTTAAAGGAACACTCCAAGCCCACTGTAGTGTTTATGGTGCCAGGAGTGTACTGGTACTGCCCCAGCATAATCTGTCTAGCCCGGCTAGCATAGACCAGCTCTTACCTGGGTCTGTTTAGGTGCCCACTTTGGATCCAGTTTTTGAGCAGGAAGTCGAATGTCGGGGGCAGTCATTTATTGCCTGAGAGCTCAGGTGAGTAGTCGATTACGTTCCTTTATTAAACAAACTGATATCCTGCTTCTCCAGCTCTGAGAAGACCGGATGCAATTCATATGTCAGGATAGACCCAGGTAACCGCTAAATTCTATTAAATCGATTTGACACTCCTAGTACCAAAACCATTACAGTGAGTTGCAGTGGTTTTGGTGCTTGGACTTCAAGGGAATGGTTTAAGTGATCAATCCAATAATCGATTGACGTGAACTAGTGACACTAGCTTGTTTAACATGGTAAAAGATTAAATCAAAGTAAAAGCGTAAGCACCTACTGGCAGTGTCAGGATTAATGGGGGACATTATTGTTGATATTTATATAGCCCCAACCCAGTTTGGAAATTTGAATACATTAGGATTATAATAATAAAATTTATTCTAAAGGTGAACACGCCAAACCACAGAAATCAAAACAGGTAAAGGATGAATTGTTATAAATGCCAGTGAATGCAAAGTAAATTGCAATGTTGGGCTAAAAAAGTAGAAATAAAAACAAACTCAAGGTTTCTAATTTTTGTTCTAAATTATGGAAATCACTTTGAATTACTGACAATTCACTTTAGAGAATAACCCTATATGTTTAGAAAGCCCTGCCACAAACCTACACCCATATCCCATGCAGGAGCATTAAGAGCTAACAAATGGTTTACATTGTTTAAAGTTTAATAACAAATGCATTCCCTTCTAATGGGCAAATTACTTTCTGCTCTCTATTTTACATGACAGAGAGATGCTTAATGGCCATTCTAATGGGGGCCTAAGAAGTAAGATGTAATGGGAGGGGTTGAGTGGCTCTTTTCTGGGTACTCGAGAGGGTTTTTGAGTGGTTAACGACACTCAATGTCAACTCTTGCTTGTTCTCTAAAGAGTTAAAAAGCATACGCAGAATAGTTATTATTACACTTAATAGTATTTACATGTTCCCCCAGGGGGTAGTTAAGTAAGAGCGCAAGTTCTCTGGTGGTGCGAGGTGGAGGGGAGATCAAAATAAACACAGTTAGGTATCCCCTGCAGGGGGGCTCTCTGCTCGTGCCTTCACGGGGTCTCTAACCCCCTCCCTTCACCAGGCAGAATCATCCCCCCCCCTTCCCACCACTAATTTCACAATGGATCCCATTATCCCTAGAACATGTTCTAGGCGAGGAAGGGGGAATGGGGGGGGGCCGTGTACAAAGGCAGCTTTCAGAAATTATAGGCTCATCACAGCATTCGCCCCGCAGGTGGGGGGTCAAGGAGACCTACCCCGGAGAGGTGCATGGTGACACCATACATAGGTACAAAGCTTGACTGTCCTACTCTTGCATTACTTAGCATTACCAACACTTTTAGCTGTTCTTTACTCTGTCTCTCTGCAAATGCAGTCTTAATTCTTCTCTTTCCCTAGCCTCTCCCTAATTCCAGCGTTCCTATTTCTCACTCCTCCTCTTTCCTTCTCCATTCTGTCTTCCACCATTCCCTTTATATCCCTTCTTAACAGCTACTGTGCCCATTCTGCAGCATCCAAACACATTTTATTACATTCCATCTCTAAGAGTCGATGCATCTTAGCACAGACGGTGCCAGTGGTTAGTCGCAATATACCCTGGCAGTGCCAGTATTTATGTTTTCCCCCCTGCCTCTAATTTGCCACATCTGGACTCCGTTACTGGGGCCTACAGAGAAGGACCAGGATCCTGTTTTTTTTTCCACATTGTAATTTTCTGCGGGAATGTGAGAGGTTCTGGGCCAGACCACAAAAAGAAAAAATATATAAAACGGGGGACAGTGGGGGCAAACGCATTCTCAGGGCCGGATTGTATTTTATAAATAGACGATAGCCATGTAATTACACATAAGAAAGTTATAACACAGCCAGCCATCCCCATCTCAATTGTATACAGTGAAATGTGTGTGCAGGGCGCAGGTGCAGGCCAACAGAAGGAATATCTCTCTTATACACAATATTCATATTATTAACCTAGTGATACAATGTGCCCATGGCACTTTGCCCTGCTGCCAGTTGTCTTTCCACCCCACTGCCAGACACAGGGCAATGGATCCATTGACATAACAGCCTGGGTACCGGGCATCTGCCACCACTGACAGGGCATCCTAGAGGCACTCTGATTCCGTGTGTGGACAGTGATGTCATGGAGTGATGTCACAGATGACATGTCTTTTAACTCTAAACAATCTTGGACACTCTGCTGTATCTACAAAATATACCCATCTGCTTTTTTTTTTTATAACTCCAACTAACTCTAATAATATTTCTTGATATCTTTCCAAAAATCTGGTTGACGTATGCTACACGATGACATGCTCATACAGCTCACGCAGCAGCCGTGCCAATGCCCAAGTGATATATGATGCAGGGCAGAACAGCAAAAGTAACCCTCGCTGAAATAAGGTCTGCACATCTCCAATCTGCTTTACTATGACATTCTTATCCAGCAGCACACATCAGTCTTCCTGTCTTGCACAGATATACAGTGACATATACAATCAGTATACGGGAAGGACAGGTCCATCCCTCTCTACCTATCTCAAAACAGAATGCACCTGTCATGGTTGATTATATATTTCTTACCTGTTCTATGGTAAATTTTGTATATATCGTGTATTAATATTGTTTTTGTATTTTATTTTACCCTATTGCTTCAATGCAATGTTTTGTGGACCCAGGACATACTTGAAAACGAGAGACATCTCAATGTATCTTTCCTGGTAAAATATTTTCTAAATAAATACATTTTCCAATCTGCTGGACTGCAACACATTCAGCGCCATGCAATCTCTCTCTCTGTTTTGCAAGATACAGTGCAAGCAAAGATCTCCATTCACTAACCGTTTTATTTTTGTTTTTTAAACTACCATATTAAACATAAATAAATATACAAGGACCTGTGATTCAAGTCCTCAAGCAAGGGGGTGCGCCTCCCTCCTCCTCTGAATCCCATTGGGCCCCGGCAGTCTCTGGAAGAACAAAAGATCTTTATATTATCTCACTTAATTTACGGATATGCAAACCCTAGCTCCAAAAAGGAAAGAAAGTGAGAGAAGGGGCGAGAGGATGAGAAAACACTGAAGCAGGAGGGGGGGTGGGGGGGGATGGAGGAAAGGCAACTGAATTTCGGGGAAATAAAGAACAGTCAGAGAGAAAGCACATGGGAAATATAATAACAAAATGAAAAGACGAAAAAGGAATAAAAATAGACGTGACAAGACATTAAAAATTCATTAGGAGATGTGATCCGTGGAACAGCTGAAAAAATGACTCACAAAACAAAGCTTTTACTTAATCTTTTTACCTATTGGTCTACTCCCTGATCCCCAAATTTTGGCTACTTTATTTGGGTGCACAGGAGCCAGATGTGGCTACTAGCAGTTGGTGAACCAAGTTGCAAAGCTGAAGAGGGGCATTTGACAACTCTGTTATTAGGCGACAGACTTAGTACACATACTGTAGCTAAACAACACGGATGGCACACAGACGTGTTATGCTAAAAACACACTAGCTCTCATACAAATGGAATGGCAAAGAAGCCCAGAGAGGGAGCATACAACATATTTCAATCATGGTAGAAATGCAGCCTAAAGAATTATTGAACAGCACTGTAAATGGCCCTTGTGGTCACATTTGGAACTGCAATAAAAAAAATATTGGTCCAAATTCTTTAAATCAGATTACCCAAGTCAACCCCATACACGTATACTAATGGAGGCTGCAATGCATAAATTCATGGCACAAATGAACCAGATATTTTTATTTTTAGTAATACATTCTCTTATGTAGTCACTGTGGACCAGTTGTAATGATGGAAAGGTAAGCAGTTTAGTATAGATACATAATTGTAAAACAACCACATATTTCAAAAAGACACTTAAGGTCACTGGAAATACGCTGAAACAGAAGGATATATTGTGAAATTCACTGTGATATATACTCTCTGCATTACTGAAATGGTTAAAATGAATTTGCTCCAATGAGTATACCCAGCATGCTCCTCTGCATTCATTAATGTCTGGGGCAGACTACTTTTCATGCAACTGGTGTTTCACAGCCAAAGTGACTAACAACAATGAGAATCTTAATTCAACAGCTGGAGGATCAAAGGTGGATGTTGTCCAAAGTCATCTGCAGGTGCTGATTACTCTGGGTGATTTAATTTGTCTTTTTGCCTTTTCGTGAGATGGAATAATTGGCGGCTGTGCCGCTCCATTAGCTCTGGGCATCTACCCTTGCCATGGCGTGATTGGGCTGTCACGGCTATGCAAACAATGTTTGATTGGGCTGAAGTGGTGCTTGAAGGGGGCTTAATTTAATCCAAGTCCGACTCTCTCCACTCAGTAATGAATCCTTAAATCTAAAGAAAGTAGCATGCCTAAAGCAAGAATTCAAGCAGTCATGACAGCTTGCACTTTTATTCTTCTTATCAAATATGCCCTGTGCTCATTTAACACTGAACTACCCTTCCATTCAATGTTTCTACCAGTCGCTAACCACGGAATATACAAGTAGACTGAATTCTATTAGCTATTCCAGTCTTATTTGCAGACAGCCTGAGTCTTAAAGGGACCCTAAAGCAAGTTAGCTTGCAGAACAGCTTTATGTGTGAAAGGTGCGTCTTTTTTTTCATTTGGCAAAAATTGCAGATTGCAATGGAAATTTACACCGCCCTAGTTTTCAAGCTGAAAACTGGCCCAGTTACTTCCTGGTTTGGTTAGCTCAGTGGAACTAAACTCAAGAAACAGCAATTGCCTAGAGCAGTCTTTGCCAAACAAGTCCCCAAAGCCCACCAACAGTCCAGGTTTTGTCAGTATCTCCATTGGAATAAAACAGGGAAATACATACATCCTGGACTGCTGGTGGGCCATGAGTACTGGTTTGGAAACCACTGGTCTGTTTGGACAGTCACCGGTTTTGCAAGCTGTTTTTAGATATACCCCAATGGGGAAAAAAATGAATTATTGAATGCATGCATGTTTTCATTTGGGGTACATCTACTAAACAGTGATTTTTATTTAGTTTGTATTTGGGCGGAGGAGTGTCCATTTAACCCTTTCCTGACCTCGGACGTGCAAGGTACGCCCGACAACAAAAAAATGGCCGTTAACAACCTCGGATGTACCTGGTAGGTCTGCGGCAAATTATGCACTTACCCGCCGGCGATCGCGATGTGGGGACTTGCCTGGCATCCCAGGCAGTCCCCCTCATGCCTGCAAAAAAGTTTTAAAAGTTAAAATAAAGTTTTAAAACATTTTATGAATGTAATAAAAGTACTTAGATCATATATATATACATGATCTATTATTCTAAGTATATTTTAATATTAACATATATATTAATATATAATTATATATACACTTAGAATGACATTATAAATATATATATATATATATATATATATATAATTGAAAAAAATGAAAAATAAATAAAATTAAATTTAAAAAAAATTATATACCGGTTTAAATTTGTTCTAACTGTATTTTGATATATATATTTAAATCAAAATACATTTAGAATGACGTTATAAATACATTTAAAATGCATTTCTAGACACTGCAGATATGGAGCAGTATAAGGAGGATGTATATGGCTCCTCCGCAAACATACCGGGCTCATTCCCTCCCTACATGATTTCAGAAATGTGTAGCGCTATAGTCTAACTATGTATTTCTTACTGGAACAACACATGAAAATGGCAAACGAGGGTAATCACGATAGTGAGTTCTCACAACATCTGGGCTTTACTATGCCCTGGAGAATGTTACCTACCACCTGTGGCAGAAGTGATGGATAACATTAATGACGTAATGTTTACATTTTTATTGAGATTTTCCTCATATTTTATTAACTGGTTGAAGTGTTAGACATTTTTAAACCAATCAAGTATTTAAATAAAAAATGAATATGTTATAATAAATTAAATATCTCCAAAGCTATCCACTTTGCAAATCAAAACGTTTGCTATAAAAATGTCCCTCTAAGGTCCATTGAAAAGCTGGACTGCCTATAACTGGGACTTTGAAGTTCTGAAAACTAAGCACATTTATCTTCAGAATTAAACATGTAAGTCACGCTACAATTCATCCTTTATAGTATCATATTTTATTATTGTGTTCTTCGCAGTGTGGTATCAGATATCATTATTTACTGCACATTCCAAACCAAACATATGTTTACACTTCCCAATCTAGTGCCCTGTGTACAGTAGCCCACATCTGGATATAATATGAACACATTGTAATGCTTTGGGACATGGGTTCTAGCCTGGGGGTAAACTAAGTGTCAGGAGGCTCTTAGTCACAATTCACTGTTTGAAAACAATCATAACATTTAAATGAGTACTTACCCACGACTTTAGATCTGAGGCACAGAGGCAAACTGCACAGCAGTATGTTGACATAATAGGTAAGAAATAAGACACCCCACAGCAGGGGTGCCCAATAGGTAGATCCCCAGATGTTGTAGAACTACAAATGCCATGATGGTTTGCTTGCATCTAGAATGACTTTGGAATGACAAATGGTCATGGGAGCTGTAGTTTTAAAACATCTGGGGATCTGCCTTTTGGACACCTCTGCCCTACAGGAATGGTATATTTTTTGTCAAAGAGCAGTTAGGGGCCTTGACTACCCAAGGACAGATTAAAACTCCAAAATGGTATTTTATTAAATGTACACTTTTCCTTAGTAGTATTGCTTGATATAATATGAATTAGCAGTGCTGTCATGCAGATATCATATGTCAAGGAACAATATAGTTCCCAACATTTCACATGGACAAAGAGGGACACTTTCATTTTAGGGGTGTCAGTGGGGGTGTGGCAAAGGGGGAGGCTGTACTGAGAGATTTAGGGGACTTACTAATAAAAATGTATACAACTACAATGTAATTTAGAACAAGAACAATGTATCTTATTTACACAGATTGATTTCTAAACACATTTATTGTAGGGTAAAGACACATTACTGGGAGTATTATTGCTGTTATACACTCAGACACACCAGCAATACGGAGCTCCAAGAAAAGAGGGACATTAAGATAGAATCGTGAAATCTGAGCCCAAAATAGAGACTTTCCCTGCTAAATAAGGACAGTTGGGAGTTATGGAATAGTGTTGAGGCTTCAGTGGGCAGATGATAGCTCTTGGCATGCTATTGGCACCAAATAAATGCTAAAGAAATTTGACAAGTTTAATGTGTCACACATTTGAGATCGCTGGTTGTACAAAGAGAATAAGCAGAAAATCTGCAAATATATCCTTGAAAATCTTCATTTCACAATGTCTAAAATGCAGTACAATACAGCAGCAGCTAACAAATGGGGTAGCACTAGGTAGAGGGCTAGACTTAGTGACTACGGAGCTTTAGCATTCATTAAAAGGGGCAGTAGAATTGGAACAAGACAGGAATGCAGAGGACATCAAGCTGACAAAATCCTAGACAATGACCAAATGTGGAAATACTGGTAACATCAAAAAAGAAATTAACAAATTAGAGCTGCCCAGGAGAGCAATCATATCATTTCATTGTACATCATGTTCGAGTGGTATGCGTAAACATTATCTCAGACATCGATCAAGATAATCAAGATATATTCTTTACATTGCACCCCTGGGGTTAGATTCCTTAACGTTTTGCCAAATCCTAAAAATAATATTATGTAATGGATTCTGGTGTGAACAAGAGCGTGTGAAAGGGACGGAGTCATTTCAAATTGAACATTTAAGTGAGAGCGTGATACAACGTATAGAGAAACTAGCACATGGGCAAGATTTGTCCCACAACAGCAAAAAATATAAAATGTTTTTGTATGCATGTGTTTGCTCTCATTTTTGCTTGTTAATGTCTCTTTAAGACTCAATCACTCAGAGTAAGTCTCTTTCTAATAACTCACTCGAGACCTATAGCTAAGCCTCGGCACAAGACCCATTAACTCTCGAGTGTCTTACCCATAATCCTGTCCACATATGGATTTCTGTTAATTGTTCAGGGTCTTAGGGTCACCTCCTCCACTCTGCTATGATTAGCTACTGTTCGTGATGTGCTATCAGTGAAGAGGGAAGAAAAAAATCGGTACTTGAATTAAAGAATACAACAGTGGGTTTTTATTGAAGAAGACATTGAGGCCTGTAGGTAGGGTTGCCAAAGCAGCTATTTTTTCCACCAACTGTATGATGTCTCTTTGTAAGATTTGCAAGATTCAATACTTTTTTCAAAAAAATCTCTTCGATATGCTGCGGGATGGTATACGAACGGTATTGTAGTAGGCCGAATTTATATATCAATGGGAAATAAATTCTGGTGCTTAATATGGAATACTGTGAATTATTAAATGATTTTTGTACTGCACTATATGAATTCTACATATTATTAGGCTGCCGCTGCCCTATATTGCTTACTCTATATATTATATATTGTGCAATTATACCAGGATGGTATATGACAAGTGCTACCCAGCAGATTGTATTACTGGAAAGAGGTAAATTTGTGGAAATGAATATGGAACCCTATTCATGGTTACTCAATGTATTATCTCTCGCTTGTATTATATGAATTCTGCATACAGTGAAACAGTACCCTTCACATACTGCCTAACAACATAGATGTGGACAGTAAAAGTGGGCAATCTATCAAATGTATATATATAATATAGCTCACTCAGCTGCGACAGATCAACAGGGTTATTAATGTAACTCCAAATTATAGCAAATTAATTAGATTGAAACATTTTGGCTGAAATAGTTTATCTGGAGAAATTCCTCAACTCAGCAATTAGTCACATCATGAATATTTTAGCCTCAGTTTTGCTATCTGGTTTCCGATTTGCTACATATAAAAGTTTAGTAAATAATCCAGATAAGGCAATAATAATACTGTAGAGATGTATTGGAGAACGTGGGTCTTCCCCGGCATTACCGTTGACCACTGTTTTCTGACACTACAGTATAGAAACAGTCTCTTTGTAAAATAAATTAACATTATTAGTAATCTTCACAACAGGTTATCAGCCTGATCGCTCATCACAGAGAATCAGATGTCACACAGACATGTGCGTATTACACATTGGGATGAATTCCACACAAGTTAGACACAAGCCGTAGGACCGGGCTCTGAAATCAGACACTTGCCAGCTGCTTTCAGACCGCAACGGTAATTATCACCTTGGCTAAAGATTCTAAGAGTTTTAATTCAGCAACAGCTAAGGAGTTACAGCTTATCGGCCTGCTTATCCTTGTACCAGGGGCCCTTTGTTAAAGGAACTATGACTCACGACGCAGACTGCGGGACTCTATGGGAAAATATTGCCAAAACCCATATACCTTACCGAGTCTGTCTCTAAACTTAACAGAGCGTCCAAGTGAACATGCTTTGAATGGTAGCCAGTAAGATTTATAGGCTTGCTCCAATCCTTTCCATTATACGCTACAGGTGATAAAACGGAAAGTTACTATTCTATGGAAACCTAAAATAGAACTTGTTAACTTTAATGTTTATAGCTGGAGAAGGGCTCTAATTCCATCTTCCATCTCCTTAGAATTGTTTCATTCACACTGTTTGTTTTTCGTACTGAAAAGCGCTATGAGACTTGTTGCTGCACGAGAACATACCCTATCATTATGATAATTGCTTCTATTATTCGAATGCATAATTAGATAGTAATTCTGTTAATTCCACAATGTTTATCCAAGTAACTACTCATAACTCACTTTTTAGTGAATTACTCTACTCAATACCTTTTTAATAGTGATATATTTCTGATGGTCATGCCAAACTTTTTCATGATTAGCCTGAGAAGAATTAATGTAATCTCTTCTCTGTCTAACTTCTTTATTTTCTAAGATTAATTTTTTAAAATTCCTTATTTATAAAGGAACTTAACAGTAAAGAAAGCAAATTAATTGCAACCACAATCTGTGGACATCTGTATTTTTTGAGTTTCTCCATAAATCCAGCAGAGCCGGTGAGATAAATCAGAGGTCAGGTCTTCATCAGCAGTACCTTAAAGGCACAGGTTAGGTTCTTGACAAGTATTGATACCGGAGAAACTGACGGAAGCAAAGCACAGAGAGATGGACACAGGTTTCTTCAGGAAGGAAGAGATTCTTTATTGGATCACCGATCGGGACTCAGAGGGACTAATGTCACCAAAAATACAGCAAGTTCTGAGCCCCGAACAATAGTGCAGGCTCCCTATATAGGCACATAACTCCTCCCATATTAAGCTCCACCCGCACATTCTCTTGACCAATCATTACAAATAAGAATTAACTTCCTGCTTGACCGCATGGCTTGTCCAGCACAATGGAGGAGGGGAATACTACATCCTGTATTCTTGCACATGCTCCGTACACTACTGATCGTATCTTGCCTCGTGCAACCAACTGATCGATACGTCAGCATATGCACGTACACATGCCACGTGGTAATCTCAGCCTACTAAATTTATTTTTACCGAGATTCCACCACATTCCCCCCTTTGATGCCTCTTGATATTTTACAATTACTTGAGGCATCACTTAACCTTGGTTTGCATACACCACAAGTTACCTTTGAACCAGACCAGACTTATCCTATGATGTGAATCTTCAACACTCGTCTTCCTGCATTGGTTCTCCCTGATCTAGAGCCTTATATTTATAAATTGCCATTATCTGTGCAGCAGCCTTCCTCTCTGCTATATTTTCTATCAGGCTTTGCACAGACCTAACTACTAAGGGTATAAGACACGGCAGGAGTAGACACAACATTAAAATCAGTAGGACTCCACCTACCACTGCCTTAAGCCCTCCAAACCACTCATACCAGCTACCAAACCAACTACTTGGATTGTACCCTTTCCATACCTGAGTAGGCACATGCGCTAGTTTAACCATATGGCTAGTAAGCTCAGCTATTGCTTGCCCTTCGTCATCTATTTGAAGACAGCAATTGCTCAGGTTAAACTTCCCACATACACCTCCCTCTACTGCCAAAAGATAATCCAAGGCTAATCTATTTTGGTAAACTGCTGTCCTCATCCTGGTATTATGCTTCGCTAGAAGATTGAGCGCTTGTGATGTCTCGTTAGTAATGATCTCAACCACCGCCTGTAACCTTATAATGCGGTTGAGCATATAAATAGGGGTTCTATAACCAAAGGTACCATCCTCTGCCCACGTGGCTGGCCCATAATAATCTATAATACGCTGGGGAGGCCATTCATTATCTTCCCAGGCACCTATCTCTATGGGTCCCCTTTTCTTCCTATGATTCACATCATACACTTTAACACCTAAAGTCTCACCTGTTTCAATAGGCAACAAGAAGAAGGATGGTTTCAACATACCCAACACACATGCCCCTTCCCAGTCCTGTGGTAACTCCGAATAGGCCTTCTTACCACAGATCCAGTACAAATTCGCTGGGGCTCTCCAGTTAGATGTGATGGATAGATCAAACCATACGTCCTTTAAATTGGCATATCTTGCAAACGGGTTAGATGGTTCTGAGACATTTGAAGCCGACCACCAAGTTGTATTCTTTGTATCATCATCATAAGCTTTTTGCCCTAGACAAGTTAATTCTCCTACAGAAGTATTATACATCATTCCTTTCCTCGCTATGCAAACATAACCTATGATGGAGGTCTTCAATCTCCACTCAGATTTACCTCTAACACTCATATGATAGTCGGCTTGTGTAGATATTAATTGGTCAACTGCCTCAGAACCGGACATTACCTCCTTTGCTTCCCAAGGCCATTGGTCTCCCATGTTAGTACCTCCACACACATAGCAGTTGGTAACATTAAGACTACCGGCAATACTTTCGGCTAAATCAATGAACAAGTTTTTAGCATTATGGGGGATCTTATTATCTATGCTCATCTCTTCATAAAAGGAATAGTATACTTGATGAGTTTGGGAGGTTACCGTATCAGTCTCTATCCCTATAAACAATATTGTCCCAGGGTCTAAACCCGTCCCATATATTTGAAACCCAAATAAATTACCATATTTATCTAAGAACTTGTCAGGGTTATTTATAAGTATATGGATTGGATTGCATTCCATAGACTTACAATATGGATCAGTAGGCAACTTAGTCACAATCATGTCCTTGTCTGCTGTCTGTCCCCAAGTCGCCCACCCCACACAAGACCAATATGGGCAGAAGTTATAATCTCTATTTGGGCATCTTGGACTTACATATTTATTTTACTACTGGGACAAATATATTTATCGTTAGACCCATACGTCCTCTCCCATCTAAGATCCCCACATACATTCCACGGCTTTCTACCACTTGATATTGCTTTACACGCATCAAATAGCAGAGCACCTGAAGAATATACGGATTCTAATACCGTCTTATTCTCTGTTTTTATTAATTAGGGTCCCCTGAGGATCTCCATTTCTGAGAGTCAACCAAATTGTACGGGGTTGATACTCAGGACTGAAGCACTTAGGTTCTCCTACTCCTAAATGACACACACTATATTCTATATTTAAGTATCTACATCTTGATACATCTCCTTTACACTCATATTGCGAATGCCAAATTAGGGTCTGGGATATATGGTTACCTGTTCTTGTAGTCTTAATGCATACCTCACAGCTAGGAGTGTCGGTACCTCTACCTTCCTGAATATAAAAATACACATAAATAAACATTATTAAAAATACATCTTTCGTCGTCATCCTCAGTCTTCGTCCGTGCGAAGGCACCTCAGCTTCCAGGATGTAAGGGCTGCAGGGAATGGAGTTCTGCTCGTCTTCATAGGGGTCCCCTCAAGACTTTCCCTGACTTATACACTCGTTGGTGAGTGGACAGGCTTTATTATGGCCTTCTCACTCACTTACCAAGTTTCTGAAACAATAAAATTTGTAATCCACAAGGTTCCTCGTCACTCCGACTGAGTCGTGCGTTTTAACCGGATCTTGCAGGGATTCTCTGGATCTGCTGTAACTTGCCAAGAATCGGCTGCTGCTGGTTTAACCCTGGAGTGATGTATCCACGGAGTCACTTCGGCTACTTTTATCGCTGTAGGGGTAGACAAAAGAACAACATAAGGACCTCTCCACTTGGGCCCTAACAGCACATTATTCCACTCTTTAATCCACACTTGGTCGCCTGGGTGGTAACTATGAATTGGGGGATAAATATTCACAGGTAATCTATCTTGTACCCATTTCTGTACCTCCTCCATAGTCTTACCCAACTCTACAACCTGCTGCCGGGTAATTCCTTCTCCCAACTGACTCAAATCCCCCCTTAAGTTACCAAGCACGGGAGGTGGTCGCCCGTACATGATTTCAAAAGGAGAGAGGCCCATCCTTCTGGTAGGTGTACTACGGATTCGCAATAGAGCTATGGGCAAGAGAACGTTCCACTTAAGTTGGGTTTCCTGACACATTTTAGCCAACTGATTCTTAATAGTTCTATTCATTCTCTCTACCTTACCAGAACTCTGGGGTCTATATGCCGTATGAAGCCTCCACTTTATACCAAGCATATGAGTCAATTGTTGTAGGCACTGATGAACAAAAGCTGGACCATTGTCCGATCCTATAGAGCAGGGTAGTCCATATCGGGGTATTATTTCTCGTAGCAGGAATCTCACGACTTCTCCTGCTTTCTCTGTACGAGTAGGACATGCTTCTACCCAGCCTGAATAGGTGCACACCACTACCAGCAGGTAGCGATGTCCACCCGATTTAGGCATCACTGTATAGTCAATTTGTAAATCGGACATGGGAAGTCCCCCCATAAACTGGACTCCTGGTGGCTTTACTGGTCCTTGTCTTGCATTATTTTTAGCACACGTTACACATCTACGTACAATGGCCTGAGTCAAGTTGGACAATCTTGGTATGTAGAAATGTTTTCTGAGAGATTCTTCTGTACTGTCTCTCCCAGAATGTGTCCCGTTATGATAGTTTTGGACAATTTCTACCGCTAGTGATGCTGGAATAACTATTCTTCCATCTTCTAACTGATACCATTTGTTCTCCAAATACTTTCCAGGTTCAGTCCTTAACCACTCCTCTTCTTGAGCTGTATAAATTGGAGTCCATTGAGACAGTGGAGTTGGTATAAGAGCAGCTATATGCCCCACATATTCCTGTCTTCCTGATTCAGCAGCACGCTTAGCTGCACTATCTGCCATCCGATTCCCTTTGGTTACATCACCATCTCCTCTCAGATGCGCCCGACAATGTATAATACCGACTTCTTTCGGCTCCCACACTGCTTCCAATAGTTGTAGGATCTCAGCTGCGTATTTGATTTCTTTGCCTTCTGAATTCAATAGTCCTCTTTCTTTATACAAAGCTCCGTGGGCATGAGTGGTTAAAAACGCATACTTGGAGTCCGTGTAGATGTTCACTCTTAAACCTTCAGCCAATTGTAACGCTCGTGTCAGTGCTATCAATTCTGCCTTTTGTGCTGATGTTCCTTTTTGCCAGTGGCCGAGCTTCTATCACCTTGTCTATCGTTGTTACTGCATATCCTGCATAGCGGATCCCTTCTTTTACATAACTACTGCCGTCGGTGTAATATTGAACATCAGGGTTCTGGATGGGAAAATCACGAAGATCTGGTCTACTTGAAAATACTTCATCCATTACTTCCAAACAATCATGTTGACTTTCAGTAGGTTGTGGCAAAAGGGTAGCTGGATTTAAGGTATTTACAGTCTCTAAATGCACTCTTGGGTTTTCACACAACATTGCTTGATACTTGGTCATACGGCTGTTACTAAACCAATGATTTCCTTTGTAATCCAACAACGTCTGTACTGCATGTGGAACTCGTACATAAAGTTCTTGACCCAGAGTGAGTTTATCGGCTTCAGCTACTAGCAGGGCGGCTGCAGCTACGGCTCTTAGACAAGGTGGAAGTCCGCTGGCCACTGCATCCAGTTGCTTAGACATGTAGGCAACAGGTCTTTGCCATGATCCCAAGTACTGTGTCAATACTCCCACAGCCATTCTTCTTTGCTCATGTACATACAGGTAGAATGGCGTGTGTGGTCAGGTAGACCTAATGCTGGGGCACTCATCAAAGCCCTCTTCACATCTTCGAATGCCGTTTGCTGTTCTTGAGTCCATAAGAAGGGGTCGTGCTCTGTACCTTTGATAGCTGCATACAGAGGTTTTGCCAGTATCGCGTAGCTGGGAATCCATATCCTACAGAAGCCTGCTGCCCCCAAGAATTCTCGCACTTGTCTTCTATTTCTGGGTATCGGTATTTGGCACACAGCTTCTTTTCTCTCTGGCCCCATAATTCTTTGACCTTCAGAGATATGGAATCCCAGATATTTGACAGTTGGCAAACACAACTGAGCCTTCCTTCTAGACACCTTGTATCCTGCCTTCCAGAGAATGTGTAGTAGATCGTGCGTTGCTTGCTGACATACTTCCTTTGTAACTGCTGCTATCAACAAGTCATCTACATATTGTAATAATACACACTCTCCTGGGATAGACTCGAAATCTAGTAGATCTTGACTTAGAGCTGAACCAAATAGGGTTGGTGAATTTTTAAACCCCTGGGGCAATCTTGTCCAGGTCATTTGGCGTTTCGAGCCCGTTACAGCATTTTCCCATTGGAAAGCGAAGATACATTGGCTTTCTGCGGCAATTCGGAGGCAAAAGAAGGCATCTTTGAGATCTAAGACTGTAAAGTAAGTAGCCCCGCCCGGAATTAAAGCAAGCAGGTTATATGGATTGGGCACGACTGGATGTATACTAACAACCGCATCATTGACTGCTCTCAAGTCCTGCACAGGTCGATACTCATCTGTACCGGGCTTTTGAACAGGCAGCAATGGGGTGTTCCAGGGGGAAGTACAGAATTTTAGGATACCATACCGTATGAACTTATCCAGATAAGATTGGATGTTCTTCTTAGCCTTCTGCGGAATATGATATTGTCTCAGGCTTACTGGATAAACCCCAAGTTTTAGTTCGATTTTAATAGGTGGAATATTGCGGGCCAGTCCTGGTGGGTTGTTCTCTGCCCAAACTCCTGGTATGTTAAATAAGGATTCATCACTCCTCGGGTTTTGGCTAGTCAACACTGTATAAAGTCGCCACTCTTCTTCCTTTGGTACGGACAATGTCATAATACCTGAGGGTCCATTAAACTTTAAGGATGTTGTTCCATTTGGTAGGAACGTAATCTGCGCTTGTAATTTGGATAGCATATCACGTCCCAGCAATTGGACTGGACACTCAGGCATATAAAGGAATTGATGTTTTACTACGTGGCCTCCCAATGTACAGAGTCGACTTTTAAGAACCGGTTTTTCAGCACTTCTTCCAGTTGCTCCTATTACAGTAATAGTTCTTCCAGATGGAGGAGCAACTAGATTAGTCACCACCGAATGTTCAGCACCAGTGTCGATCATGAACGCACTCCTTTTTCCCCCTATTGATACATCGACCATAGGCTCCGCTCGACCAAGGGGGATGGAGCCCGGTCGGTATCAATAGTCCTCCATGACCGTGTCAGCCAATCCCACAAAGTCCCTACCTTCTCTATCGCGGGACCTTTGCGCTGCTGGATAGTACCTATCTTCCCTTACACTTCCTCTGTTCCCATTACTCCCTCTATTACCATTACTCCCTCCGGGGCCTCCTCTACCTCTCGCTCTGCCTCTAAAGTTTCCGTAACCTGCCCTGGGTAAGTCTCTCTCATACTGCTCTCTTTGCGGACACTCGTTCCTCCAATGCCCTTCTTCCTTACAGTACGCGCACTGATTCCTACTCAAAGGCTCCCTATTCCATCTACCATCGCCTCTATCTGGGCCCCGTCTATCTACGCCTGCGATCGCTACCGCTAGCATATCTGCCTTTCTACGCATCTTGCGCTCTTCCTCTTTCTTACTTTCTGTTTCCCTATTCATATATACTTTGTTCGCTACCTCCATTAGTTGGGTGATAGACATACCTGCAAACCCTTCTAATTTCTGTAGCTTGCGCTTAATATCTCCGTAAGCTTGGCTGACAAAGGCGGAGTTTACCATTCGGGAATTATCAGCGTCTTCCGGATTAAAGGGGGTATACAAGCGGTATGCCTCCAATAATCGGTCATAAAAGACACTGGGCGCTTCATCACTTTTCTGAATCACCTCAACTGTCTTCGACATGTTAATAGCTTTCTTCCCTCCGGCTTTCATGCCAGCAATTATAGCATCTCTATAGGCTTTAAGTTGAGCCATATCTGCGCCATTTACATTCCAGTCAGGATCGGTGTTAGGGTAATGTGTTGCGGCCCATGCTGCCGGATTGGCTTGATTTAAAGCACGGGCTCTCTCCTCTAGCGCCTTAATGGCCGCTTGGTTAATCCTTGTCCTTTCCTCATTATTGAACAATGTCATTAATAACTGCTGGCAATCAGCCCATGTCGGGTTATGTGTCTGAACTATCGAGGTGAACAGATCGGTCATAGCTTGTGGTTTCTCAGTGTACGAGGAATTGTGGGTCTTCCAATTCAAGAGATCGGTAGTCGTGAACGGGACATATACGAAGACTGGGTCAGCATGTGCCATTTGACCTGCGGCATCGATATAGGCTGACCCAGGATTCAGGCGAAGAGGCATCTGATAATGTTTTAATTGTTGGGTACCGGTCAGTTGTCGGGTTAGTATGGGGCTACGTGGAGGGGCGTCAGTTAAAGGTTCCGGTCGAGAGGTAATAGGGCATGAGGATGTGGGAACTTGATTTTGGGAAAAGTTAGTGAATAGTATACTCCGAGCCGAGCTAGAAGAAGCTTGACCGGAAGTTTGAAGTGGCGCCAAATCAGGATATTCAGATCTAATGGGGGTTGGTCCTGGTTCCGGAAGGGGAGTTTTAATACGAGGGGGGGTGGATTCTGTACTGGAGGAGGAAGCGGAAGTGGATGGGGGCAATAGGGGAAGGGGTGCAGAACTTCCTGCATTCGCGTCACTTCCTCTTAAAAGAAAGTAAGGGGGCGGCAAAGGGATCTCGGACTCAGGGGGCGTGTCCAAAATGGGCCTAACACCAGTCCTAGTGGACAAACAAGTCCTGGCCACCATGAGGCGACATTGCTCCTCGTGGCATATCCGGATCCATTTTGGCGAGTCGTTTACGGCCTGCCTCCAACAATCAATGTATGGAAACTGTCCGTAAAGTTCAGGCCTACCTGATACAGCCACGTGTACACGCTGTACCAGGGTTGGATCCAAACTGCCACGCGGCGGCCATGCCGCAACCAAAGTAGGCCACTCCCTAGTGCACAAAGTGACCAAACGTACAGGAGACATTTTAACCCCAAAATCACATGTTTTGAATCCCTTTTTAAAATTCTTTACCATACAACCTAAGGGATCCGAAATCGTTGACTCTGACGCGCCCATACTTATCAATGGAACGTCGTTGACAACGAATACTATGCACGCGTTCTTATTCAACAGTCACACCCGTTTCCTCTGGCAACAGCACCACGTGGTACAGTTACCGAGTGAAACGTACACAATAACACAATAATCACTCAGGGAATTCCCGTACACACACAGCTGTTACACCAGTCACTAAATAATCAATATTATGCCCTTTGGCGAAACTATACAGTCACCCACGCTATAATTCTCTATATATGAATTACCCGTCTATAACACACCCCAGTAACATCGTCTTTTACTAGTATCGGTTACAGTACGGTTAGCATAGGTCAAAGCACAATTTAAGGTCACAATACAATTATTAGTGGTTACGGTGTTAAACATGCAATAGGCGACAATGATTAGTACTTATATACAGTGTCAGTAAATATACAGGGTTATGGTACCGTGCACTATGATACAGCAACACACTATTAACACTCTCGCTAGACGGCTGAGCTCGCGCTATCTAACAAGATATACACTTTACTAACAATCTTTAACACATTTACAATCCCAACTAAACTATTGGCCAGTACCTTGAATGGACTACCTAAAACTATATACACCCGTTTTGGTTAGCCACACTGCCCAAGCACCACATATAGCGAACTAGAGGGCGAATTTACAAAATTGCCCTTCTAGTCTATTTACTCTATCAAAAGTCTAGTGGGTTCCAAATTTACACGCCTTCCCACTTAGCCAAGATAGGTTGAGAGCTAGCGAACCGAATTTACACAGGCGCCGCTTAGTCTCCCGGTCCCTCCGACCTAGCGAACGTAATATACACCCTAGAACGCTAGTCTAGACAAGACACCGGTGTCCGGCTAGGGCTATTTACACAGGACCCCGCCTGACTAACCAGATCAAACGGTCTTACTAAAGAGCGTTCGATCGAGCGGTGCGCCTTCGCTCCTTCCCTCCGACAGAGGGGGCAGATTCCATACACAGATTTAAACCCCTTTTGGGCCTACCGCACAATCGGTATACCCCTAGTGGGTCTGCCGTCTAAAACAGCAGTTGTCTTACCTCCTCGTTCCTGAACCTGAGTTCACACTCATCGACGGGGACACCCCAGCACTTCTTACGTAGAGGCCGATGATCTCCTGGACAACAGACCAGTGGCGCCGAGACGAAGGGAGGTCCACGCAGAAGTTCAGGGGTGCAGCCGTAGAGAACGTGGGCAAAGATAGACCGTCTCACGCCTCTGCCTCTCAGCTACCGTTGAACGATGAGCTTCCCGGCCAATGCACCAAATGATACCGGAGAAACTGACGGAAGCAAAGCACAGAGAGATGGACACAGGTTTCTTCAGGAAGGAAGAGATTCTTTATTGGATCACCGATCGGGACTCAGAGGGACTAATGTCACCAAAAATACAGCAAGTTCTGAGCCCTGAACAATAGTGCAGGCTCCCTATATAGGCACATAACTCCTCCCATATTAAGCTCCACCCGCACATTCTCTTGACCAATCATTACAAATAAGAATTAACTTCCTGCTTGACCGCATGGCTTGTCCAGCACAATGGAGGAGGGGAATACTACATCCTGTATTCTTGCACATGCTCCGTACACTACTGATCGTATCTTGCCTCGTGCAACCAACTGATCGATACGTCAGCATATGCACGTACACATGCCACGTGGTAATCTCGGCCTACTAAATTTATTTTTACCGAGATTCCACCACAGTATAACTTCACTTATAATCCTTCCGAGGTTGATAAAATAAATACCATTAATTTGATGAATTATAACATTTGAAGCCCAGGATGTACTCTGAAACCAGCTAAATATACCTTTTCTGGTTTAATACATTGTATAATGATTAAAGGAACACTGTTCAACACTCGCCCTTCAAGAGACTTCACCACCATGTATTCTGCGAAGAGCCATCTGAATTTTGGAAGATATGGATTTGTTTATTGACAATTGAACCAAAAGAATATTGCAACAATGTTATCCACAAAAATGGTCCTGATACAAAACTACCATTGAAGACACACTGAGAAGAGGGCTTTCAGGATTATGTATCTAACAATGAAGTACCTTCAAAGAAAATGCCAGTAATAAAGGACAATAGACTAAACCTAACTTTATTAAAGGTTCTAAAAGGTATTTAGATCCTGTAAAATTGTATCACGCGGCCTTGTACCTATAGTTACACCTAGTGTGTTTTTTCCCCTTTGATGAAACCTCAATGGACATAGCTTTCTATGATGGTTGTTCTTAACTTGCCTAGTTGTCAATAAAAATGTGATCAGCACTCCAAACTAATGACATTTGGCATTTACATGGGAAGTTATAAGAATGGGTATTGCCAGGTTTTGGAAAGTGTTTGCCCCCTCCTTCCCCCATTACAAACTTTAAAATCTGGCTCATAGTTTCCATTTTGGAAGCTGTGCTACACGTTATACTTCCTAACGTCCATAAAATTTGGGATCCTTGGCTGAATCTTCTCACCAGACGCCAGCTGAAACTGCGGTTCTGGCTCTTTCAAACAGTGCCTAACTTTTCCAGACATAGAAGTGATCCAGCAGGGGGCAGAGTCACAATGTTTTGCCTACTGATGACTATCTGTGCATTTTAGTTCTGTACTTAGAACTTTTTTTGTGCTTTTTGTTTGGAATAATCTTTTTTTTTTCCTCTCTATTTTTGACTTTTATTCTTTTCTAGATCATTTGTATTTTCCAAACGTTGATAAAACAAGAAAATAATTAAGGGAAAAATTAATATAGTGGGAAAAAAATATTTCTGCAGAAACTAATTGTGACTTTTCATTTAAAGTAAAATCACAAATCGAGGGCAGCATGATTGACAAGCCAGCTTCATACAGTCTGCAGGCTTTACCTTGTCTGTCTCAAGGTTTTGTGACTGGTTCTAACTTGCCATGCCTTGTTGCATACCTGCCACGTGCCCCTTTCTCAGATGGAAAGCCAATATTTTTAGCACAAATCCCCGGAGTGCCTATTTTTTAGGAAGTCCACATTTTAGTGATTGTAAATGTCCTGCGCTTTTATTCTGCAATATAAATATGAGATTTTGGTTTTGCTACAGATACATTGCCATAAATGGTTGTTAGTAGATCATGAAGTCATCTAAAATATCCCAGAAGAGTCATGGCTCTTGGTTAGACCTCTAACTACAACGTTTAACATGAATGTATAACTCTTTTCGTACAAAGTCTTGCGAGCGATGCTGTTTGTATCTCATTCTCTCTTTTTTCTGTTAGTAGAACACAATTTGTATTTATTATCTATCTGTCCTTAACATTCCTGTTTCTCATTTTCTTTCTAGTCTTTACTTGATGCGCCCTGCTTAAACTGGATCTGTCAATTTTGGGGGTCTCAGCATATTTTGCGAAGACTCCCAAAACCAACAGATCCGGTTTGGGTCCGGTGGCCACAAGTTGCATTGGAGTTTGATTTTAATAACATTCTTCACACTACAAGTCTTTTTTGGCTCCTGATACTTCAGTTGACAGAAGCCATGTCAGTGTTGTACTCTCACGCATTTGTAAAAATGCAACACAAACGTCTGTGGAAGACCCTACGACAGCATGGACCTTCCATAGACAGAGCCTGAAACTCACTGCTGTCATTTGTGACGGCTGTTCGGATTGGACAAAATTTGGCGGCAGAGCTCCACCTTTTCTCAACTTTTGTCAACCTCAGGCTTTATCATAAGACTAAGTAGTTCCTACTTTGTTTAATGGTATCTTTAGATTGCTTTGGGGTTTCAATGAAGTTCCAGTGCAGTCTTAATCAGTTTTTCATAAAGATTATATGAAATACTGAAAAATGGCTGATTCTCTTTAAATTATTCACTTATGCAATTTCTTCCTAACCCCTACTCATTCCTCCCATTGCTGTCTGTACCTCTATTTGTCCTGTATCTCACATTTCTTGCACATCCCCTTACTCTCTGTACCCTACTGGTATCACATTGTAACCTAAATCCCCTACTCATTTCACTCATTGCTATCCCTGCACATCCTATCTGTACTTTTACACCCGTTTGCTAGTCCTTTGACTCATCTTTACTTTGTTCATTCTGCTTATAACTCCCTATCAATCACTTTGTTTACCATACCCCTACTCATTTCTCCATGTACACATCCCTAATGTATTTCATAGCCTAGATTTCTATCTCTAGTCTCCCCAAACTTTGCTTACTTGTTTACTGCTTGTATCACTCTCCCAGACTCGTCATTCGATTACCTAGATCCCTACTCATTTTTCATAATAGGAGTTTTAGTTCACAGCAGTGGACATTCCAGAGATTTCAGAAAGCTGAGAAACATGGGAGTAATAGTCTGCAGCGGATGAGCTGCCAAATGTTACCAGAGCCTGACCTGACCCCACTCATTCATATCTGTACACACTCTCCCCACTGTTCTCCTTTCCCTAATCCGTCTTCATTCTTCACCTGTTGCTCTCACTCTCTTCATTCCATTATCCTCTTTCTTGCATCATTTCAGAAATTCCTCGCAGATCTTTAAATCCCTCCTCAGCCTCAAGAAATGAACAGAAAGTGAAAGTCATTTCCTGCCCGAGTAGAAAATTTTTATCTCACCAAATAAAAACAATAATTCCTCATTTAAACGCATTCGCTCATACACAGGTGTTTGCACACAGTATTACACAGTTTGTGTTCTGTATTCAACACAGAAAAAACGTGTTCATCTGTATTATACGCAGAGCAACGTGTGTATCTGTATTATATGCAGAGCAACGCGTGTATCTGTATTATACGCAGAGCAACGTGTGTATCAGTATTATACGCAGAGAAACATGTGTATCAGTATAATACGCAGAGCAACGTGTGTATCTGTATTATACGCAGAGCAACATGTGTATCAGTATAATACGCAGAGCAACGTGTGTATCTGTATTATACGCAGAGCAACATGTGTATCAGTATTATACCCAGAGCAACATGTGTATCAGTATAATACGCAGAGCAACGTGTGTATCTGTATTATACGCAGAGCAACATGTGTATCAGTATTATACGCAGAGCAACGTGTGTATCTGTATTATTTTCAGAGCAGTATGTGCATTTGCATTATACAAAGAGCATTGTGTGTATTTATTAATCATAGAGCAGCGTGTGTATCTGTTTATACGAAGAACAATGTGAATATCTGTATTACACACAAAGCAGTGTGTGTATCTGACAGAGACTAGTGTGTCTATCTGTATTATACTCAGAGCAACATATGTATCTATCTAATATGTATCTATATTATACGCAGAACAGTGTGTGTATCTGTACTACATGCAGAGCATTGTTTGTATATGTCTTATACACGGAGCAGTGTGTGTCTGTATTATGCACAGAGCTGTGTGTGTATCTGTATTATTCTATGGATGACACACAAATCTATCTGTCCTCTCCTGATCTCTCGACACCTCTCTTGACTCGTGTCTCCGCTCACTTCCTTAAACTGTCCAAAACAGAACTTCTTGTCTCCCTCAAGAGTTGCTACTCCTGTTTCTGTCTCCCTCTACGTTAACGGCGCTGCCATCAGCTCCACCTCGCAGGCTTGCTGCCTAGGTGTTCTCTTTGACTCTGAACATACCTTCATCCTTCATGTCCAGTCGATCGTCAAATCCTGCCGCTTCCTTCTCAAAAACATAGTGCGCATCCACACCTACTTAAAGGGACATTATAGGCACCCAGACCACTTTAGCTCATTGAAGTGGTCTGGGTGCTGTGGCCCTTTTGCACTTAGTGCTGCAATGTAAAACACTGAAGTTCCATAGAAACTGCATTGTTTACATTGCAGCTCTAAGTCTGCCTCTAGGGGCTGTCTACCAGAGGGCTTCCTGGATTGAAACAGACCTTTGGTCCGGTATCTGACGCTGGACATCCTCACGCTCTGCGTGAGGACATCCAGCATCAGATTTTTCCCCATACGAAAGCATTGATTCAGTGCTTTCCTATGGGGAGGTCTAATGCGTGCGCCGCTAATAATGCGTATTAGAGCCTGATTGTTGTGGGACATCAGAGGGGGTGAAGCATTGACCCAGCGCTGAGAGACATCAACGCTCGGAGAAGGTAAGCATAAAAAAAAAAAAAAGAGGTTTTTAACACTTTATTTACTGGGATGGGGAGGGGGGCGAGGGAGGGGGAAGGTAGGGGGAGTGATAGTGCCAGGAATACAGCTTTGTATTCCTGGCACTATAGTATCCATTTAACGCTGGACACAGCTAAGGTGCTGGTCCATGCCACTTTCCTCTCTCGCCTTGACTACTGTAATCCGCTTCTCAGTGGTCTTACGTGCTCCCAACTTGTCCTGTTATAGTCTATAATGAATGCGGTGGCGAGGCTCATCTTCCTGTCTGCACCTCACCCCTTTGTCAGTCCCTGCATTGGCTTGCCGTAAGATATAGGGCTCAATTTAGTGGGTATCCTAGGAAGGGTAGTGTGTATCTGTGCTGTGTGTGTATCTGTTTTATATGCAGAGCAGTGAGTGTTTCTAAATGAAATGCAGACCATTGTGTATATCTGTGTCATAAGCAGAGCATAAGCAACTTGTGCGTCAGTATTATATGCAGAGCAGCCTGTGTATGTGTATTATATAAAGAACAGTATGTCTAATCTGTTTTATACACGTATATTTGTATGTTGCGTTTTTGGATAATGCAGACAGCACTGTGTGTATCTATATTATACACAGAGGAACATGTAGATCTGAATTATACACAGAACTGCTAGCTTTCGCCAACCTTCTGAGTCCTGGTTTTAATAATATTCACAGAAGGAGCAGAACTTCGATTAAGGTCACCTTTTATGTTGTCAATTGTAGATTCCAGGGTCAACATTCCACAGCAGGAAAGCTTTAGTTGTTTAGCGCAATGTGCCTGATATTGTCCTTACCCATCAAATTTTTCACAACTTTGCGGTGAACACACGCGTTTTGTGCACACAGGCATTCTTCCTAGGGGATGAGGGACTCACAGCTTCATGCCAAAACTATTATGCCTGGAGGAATTTTAAAGAAAAGGAAATGTCAGGCTTGAACGAATAGTCAAATAATCAAAACCAAAAAAATACAAACGTAAAATTGATTATTTTCTGCCACAAATGAAAGAGATGTGTAACATACATATTTGAGTTAAAATAAGGTTGTGACCCTGGTATCCCCCTGCCAGAATTTAGGTTAACAAGCTAATCTGGGGCCCATACCCGTTACTATTTGTAGAAGTATTCACAGTGACAGGAATTCCCTGATGCGAACTCACGTTAACCAGTCAAACCATTTTCAAACGATTTGACACTTACATGGGGCCTCCAGTCACGTCCAGTCCAGCCTACTTTTCTGATATCACTAATATGGACATTCCCTTTTCAAATTAATGACATCAATTCACACCATGTTTGTATGGAGTGTATTGGCTGAGAGTGTCCATCAATGCTGTCAACTCATGAATTTTGTACAAATAGGTAAATTATAGATTTATTGTGGAAGGGTAATTTTTCTTTGAATACATCAGAAAATGACAGAGGTGACTGGAGGACTCAGATAAGTGTCAAACCTACTTCCTGTGGGACAGTACAATGGGAGTCTTGGCACCATAGTCACTAACTTAAAGGGCCACTATAGACACCCAGACCACTTCAGCTTAATAAAGTGGTCTGGGTGCCAGGTGCATCTAGGGTTAAGCCTGCCTGCTGTAAACATAGCAGTTTCAGAGAAACTGCTATGTTTACATATGGGTTAATCCAGCCTCTAGTGGCTGTCTCATTGATTTTCACAGTGAGAAGACGCTGTCGTCCATGGGAAAGCATTGAGAAATGCTTTTCTATAGACTGACTGAATGCGCGCGCGGTTCTTGCCGCGCATGCACATTCAGCCGATGACGTCGGCAGAGGGAGGAGAGTCCCCAGCGCCGAGGGAGCCCGGCGCTGGAGAAAGGTAAGATTTTAACCCCTTACTCCCACTTCAGCCCGGCGGGAGGGGGGCCATAAGGGTTGGGGGGACCTATTAACACTATAGTGCCAGGAAAACGAGTTTGTTTTCCTGGCACTATAGTGGTCCTTTAAGCAAACTTTGTTTCTCAAGGTATTACAATGCTAAAGTTAGTCCCTCAAATGTCCACTATTGTATTTTTCTATGATGTCAAATAGAATTTATTTCTGATATATAACTGATTTTACTTTCACAAACATTGTGGGAATTCTTGGATTTTTTTTGAAGGGACATTCCACTGACAAAATGCACAGAACAAAATTCTAAATTACTGTTTAGCAGATATACCCCCAATGAAAACATGCATGCATCTAATTAAATGGACACTATAGTCACTCAGACCACTTCATCTCATTGAAGTGGTGTGGGTGCAGTGTCCCAGTCCCATTTAGTCCTGCAATGTACATCATTGCAGTTTTTGAGAAACTGCAATAATTATATTGCAGAAGTAAGACAGCCTCTAGTGGCTGTAAATCAGACAGCCACTAGAGGCACTTCCTGGTGGCTAACCGACCTCTAATCGCCTAACTGACATGCATGAGGACATCCAAAGCCAGGTAAATCCCGATAGGAAAGCATTAAGGCAATGCTTTCCTATGGAATGGGTGTAGGGCCGGTGCAAGGATTTCTGCCGCCCTAGTCAAAAATCAATTTTGCCGCCCCCTCATGTCATTCACTAACTGACAGACATGCACTGACAAACACACACACACTTACAGACACACACACTCACTGACAGACACACACACTCATTGAAAGACACACACTCACTGACAGACACACACATACTTACTGACAGACAGACATACACTCACTCACTCACTAACAGACACACACACACTTACTGACAGACATACACTCACTCACAGACAGACACACAGACACACTCACTAACAGACACACACATTTACTGACAGACATATACACACTCACTTACAGACACACACTCACTTACAGACACACACTTACTGACAGACATACACTCACTCACTGACAGACACACACACACAGACACTCACTGATATACATACACTCACTGATATACACACACTCACTAACATACACTCACTGACATACATACATACACTCGCTTACTCATTGACATACATACAAACACTCACTGATAGACACACACACAGACACTTATGGACAGACACACACACTTACTCACACACTGACAATCAAACACTCAACCCCCTTGGGTCCAGTGGGAGGCAGCTCCTCAATCCTCTAGCGCGCCGTTTAATATGCCGGGGCCGGAATGACGTCATATTCCGGCTCCCGTCTTTACAGAGGGCGCGCGAGGGAGGAGTGCTAGAACAGCCTCCCTCGCCGCCTGCATTCTCCAACAGTTCTCCTCCTCTCCTCGCCCCTCTCACCGGCATTTAGTGGCAGAGCAGGCACCTGTCATCAAGGTAAGCGGGTGCCTGCCCTGCCTTACCTAGCTCTGCATCGGGGGCACCCTGAGGTGAGTTGGCTCCTCTCTGTGCCCCCACCAGCGTTGCGGGCCCCAGACAGGGGGAGCCCACCAGAAAACATCCCAGTGGGCGCCCCCAACAGGCCAGTGCTCTAGGCGAATGCGGTGGCGCGGGCCTTAATGGGCGTAATGTGCTTGTGACGTTTTCAGCATATTCATATGCGAATATAATTTTGTATTCCTTACACTATATAATCCCTCTAAGCATTTCCTTTGGGCTATAACTAGAAATAGCGTGCAAAAGCTGCAGATCTCTTGTGTGCAGGAATTGAAAGCCCTCCCCTTCTAGCCCCGCCCAGACTTTCTGTGGCTGTCCAATCACAGACTTCACGAAGCAGCTCCAAGCAATTGCTGCCTCTTTAGCTCAGTGGATCTAAATTAAACAAACCAGGAAGTAACATAACCAGTTGTCTGACTGACAGCAAGGGGGTGTAACAAGGTTAATTTATGAAAATGCCAATTCCATAGAAATCTGCACTTTTTGTATAATAAAAAAGGAGGACACACTCTTTACACATTGCTTTATGGGGTCTGGAGTATCCCTTTAATTGTGTTGTCACATTTGTTCCTTACATGCTAATGATTTTTGAAAACAATAAAAATAATGGGGGGGGAGCAGGATTAGGCTGTCAAAACACGTTGATCATGTTAAGCACGATGTTACTGGGCTGGATGAAATTGGTCTTTAATTTGTGTATCCGTGCTCTGCCTCTGAGCTTTTCATTTTAACCAACGAAGCGCATCTGAATATGATTATTCAATGAGCCGAAGATTTTTTTGTACTGTAGCAAAATGCTTGTCACGATGCCTTATGTTTGGCATTATACATGTTTTGCATACTATGGCTTTGGATATCAAAGTCAGAATATATTGTTATGGGCCGTCTGACAGTCAGTGAGATCTGCCATTCGCATCAATCCATCCATGTGTCGCGATCTAGATCTCATGTCATTGCAAGAGATTTTGGAAGGCCTGAGCATCTTGTCTTAACTCAAAGCCATTATGTTTTGGGGTATGCAATGTGAATTTTGGCACACAGTTGGATATATTTAGGTCTATTAACCAAGTCCCACACTTTTATTTTTAGAGGAACACTCTAAACACCTAATACTTCAGCTCGCTAAAGTATGTTAGGTATTAATTTCAAGAGAAATTGTCACTTTTGTAAATCTCCAACTGTAGTGCTCCATGCTTTTAATGAGAAGCATTGTTAACAGATCACAGAGTTTTCTGTGTATGCACCTTGTGTCCTTATATTTTTCTGTGAGAAGCATCTGATTAGACAGACACAAGTCATGAGTAGAGAGGACTTCAGAGGCAGTGGTGCAGTGAGTAGACTCACACACTGTAATGTTTAATTCATCTTAATCCTTTCAATGCTGAAATGTGGTTGTCAATAAGAAACATGCAGTCCTGTCAAGTCACATAACATTGCTGTGTGACACCCAATTTTTCTTCATTCCTCTCAATCACCTGACAGATCGGTGCTGTCACCCTGTGTAAGAAGGACACAGGGAAAGTAAACGGCAAGTTCCTCTTTAATTGCACTCGCTGTGCACTGAGAGTTAAATTATGGGCATTTTAAAGTAACACTATAGAGTTAGGAATACAAACTTGTATTCCTAATGCTAAAGTTCTACCCTGCCTATTTTGGTCTTCAAAACAAGGAAAAAATATAAATAACTTAACTGGGTCAATCGACAGCTTCCCAAGGTAACCCTCCCAGTGGGTACCTAACAAATAGATGTATAGAGTATGGGAAAATAGGATACAGCTGTAAACCTAAACATTTTTTAGAAAAACAAAATAACATAGTGTAGTATCTTTTTAAACAGTATATGACATGCTGAGATAATGCACTCACAGAATGTCGAAATAATAGTCGCCTGTAGGGTGCCTCCCCCGATAGCAGAATCCTCCTCTCCTTCCCCTTCTGGATATTCAGGAATTTGGACAAAGTAGGAATCAGGCAAATAATGATAAAAACTAAATTTGTTTTGCCAAATAAGTAAAGCGTATAAAACATAAACTAGTCCTACGCGTTTCGTTCCAGAATTGGAACTTCCTTAGGGCGTTAGTAAAAGTAAAATTACAAGATTACTGAATGCAGTGTACACTGCATTCTGTAATCTTGGGATTCTACTTTTACAAAGTCCCTGAGGAAGTTCCAATTCTGGAACGAAAAGCGTAGGACTAGTTTATGTTTTATAGTTTTTTGTTTGTTTTTTTTACAAATAGTACGCCACAATCCACGGGGCCACTGTGTGAAACTGATCCATGCCCCCACTCCCTGAAAGACACACACAGAGACACATACATACAGACACACATACATACACACAGAGACATATACATACACACAGATACATACAAACACATACACACAGACACACATACATACAAAGACACCAACAGACACACACAGACACATACATACAGACAGACATACACACATACACACAGAGACAAACACAGACACATACAGACACACATACATACAAACAAAAACACACATATACAAAATGTTTAAGTCACCCTCCTGTTTCCTACCTTTTAGGTGCAGGAGAGTGACTTTCCCTGGGGTCCAGTGGTGGCTCAGGCTGGTGGGAGTCAAAGTTCCCATTCTGACTCCCTCTCCTTCCTCCTGCGCGGGCTCTGTCTAATAGCTGGGAGGAGTGACGGGGCAGTCACTTCCTCCCACATGTGATGTCATCACAGGGGGCCCAGTCGTGCTGTTAAAGCGCCGCAGCGCTTACCGGCGCCCCCTGGAAATTCATGGGTCCCTTGGGCTGGGGCCGCAACACATGGCGGCGGGCACATGGTCGCAGGGGTCCGCAGGGCGGCCGGGCCCCCTGGAGTGATGGGCCCGGTCGCAGCTGCGACCCCTACGACCGCGGTATGTACGCCACTGGCCACAAACAGACCCATTTACACACACAAAATAAATAGTCTGACCTACACACATGCAATCTCAAAAGGCGTGCTTGTCAATGATGATGACAAAACATGCCCCCTTTCTGGCCTCCCCCTACTGGTGGGGTGCTCTGTCTTTAAGTGCCCAGGCCGAATTTTTATCCCAGTCTGGCCCTGATCTCAGCCAATCCAATGCTTGCCCATATAGAAGCATTAGGGAGCTAGTGTGCATGCAAGACAAATTGCCATACTGCACCAGTCAAATTCTCTCTAGGAGCAGAATTTGAATGAGAACCGAGTCTTACTCTGTTCCACAGGCAAAGTGTCTTTGGTGGCTGCTGTCAGAAAGACAGCCACTACTAGAAGTCAGTTTAACCTTGCAATGGAAACATTGCAGTTTCTACAAAACTACAATAATGTTAGATTGCAGAAGAATGGAAGAATGGTAGAAGAAGTTGTGTGTGTGCCGTTAGTGGTCGTATAAGTCCATGAAACGCAATGGCGTTCTCCCTTTGTGGTCAGGAATGAAGGCCATGTCCTGTTATTGCGTTATGGACTCACCCATCTTCCAGTCATGACTCTGCCGACCCGATATCAGACCTCCTAAATTTGTCAGGTCTGGAAATGTTATATAAAAGTCTGAAGAAACAACAGGGAAAACAGAAACAGAGAAGAATATGAAAAGTGAAATGAAAAGTGGAAAATAAATGAGCAGTGAAAGAGCTGAAGGGATAGAAATGGGGAAATAAAAATAAGTGAAACAAACTATAAAAAGAGAAATAAGAAATGACTGACGGAACAGTCTATAGGAAGATGAAAGAATACAGAAAATGGCCTGGAACAAGTTTTACATAGAAACAGAAACTGGAGTTGGAGAGAGTGTAAAAAAGAGGGGGTGTAAAGGCTAGTAGCAAAGGGATAATGGTGAGAAAACTGTAATGATATCCTAAGATTATTCCTAATTTGTGCCTGCTCGCGATCCCGTTCTAATGTAAAGCATGGAGTTTCCCCGAATATAGATTCACGGGATTCCATGCCCTAGTGAACTGGTTTATGTTCGGGAGAATTCCCCCGAACGAAGAGCTGCTTTCTTGCACATGCTTGCTTCCGTTTTCCCCCGAAAATGAAGACATCCTCCGAAAAGAAGCCATAGTGCGTTTTTCGAGGCAAAAATATATGTAAGACCAGGTCAAATTTTCGGGAAAAACGGTAGGACCTCCCAGCTCTCATTTGGTGATTGCTAAGCTGGTGTGAGTAATAATCTATACTGGCTGGTTTGGTTTTAATTATGATGCTGAAAGACAAGGTATGTTATTTAATTTAGTAAAATGTTGACATTCATACATGTTCACTTGCAAGAAGACAAGCACATACATGAAAAATGTAAGGTGGCCAACGTTAATTGATTTCATCATCGTCCTCATAGAAGTTGGTTGTTTTGTTTGCCAGGAATATGCTTTTACAGTATATAATTTCAGGATTTCAGTGAATGCATATTTTCTGTATTGTTTGGCAGTTAACGCATGACTCTAAGATAGTGTTTATTTGTAATTTTACAAAACCTGGCCTGAAGGGGAGATGATTAAAATACTGCACGTGGAATGTTTGCCTGGGACTGAGAATCGAATATAGAGAGGGCTGGTGTTTAGATGAAGTGTTGAAAAAATGTAAATATGAAAAATAATCATGACATTTTTTAATATTGAAAGAGAAATACCTTACATGCAAAGAGTTTAACATTTAATAGTCTATGTCAAGGGTTGTCAGCTATTTCCAGGGTTTAGGTGCCAGACAGACATTTATCTGCAAATATCGGTAAGCAAACAATTTTAGGAGCTGAAAAGAATAACAAAATGTTCTAGATGTACCGTATTTTTCCGTGTATAAGACAACCCTTATTTTTTTAGCCTAAAATTAAGAAATAAATATTTTAAACATCAGATAGAACAACTTTGATATTTTAGAGGTGACTTTTGGGGAGAACAACACACTTCTGATTCTCATGCCTCCCCCCTTGCCACAGTACTCTGTGAAGTTAATGGTTCTATAGTGCATACTGGGAGACTACAGCTCCCACAATACAGCAGGCGGTGTGAGTGCATGCTGGGAGACTGTAGCATGTCTCTGGAGCTCTGTTGGTGGTAAGTGCTGACGTCTGCTGCAGCTCCCACGCATATAGGGACCTCTTCCTCCTTGCCACAGCATTCAGGAGTGGATTGGCCGGAGGGAGGCCAGGTATGTGTGTGGGCCTTGGCACACAGAAATGCAGCAGGCGTCATCTTAACTTAGGCCCCGCACACAAGTGTTTTTTTTAACCCCTGCAGTGACTTTCCATGTATAAGAGGACCCCCAATTTTAGACTAAACAGTCTTATACGTGGTAAAAAAAAAAGGTACTTTTATTTATTTAGTATGACTGTCTCTCGATTAAATTAAATATTCCCAAATATGACACCCATTCACATCCTCCTACAATGACTTTAGGTGTGCTGATAACCTCTTCTACCTGCCAATGCACCAAAAGTACAATACCTTTTTAATAAAGATCTGAGGTCTAAATATAGGCAGTGAAGTACCAATGGATGACATTAAATTAGATTGGAATGAAGGCCTGGATGATCATTGGCTGTGAGCTGGCTTGAGAGAAAAGGGGATCACTGACTCACTATTTACCTTTTCTGCTTGGTGGTTAGTAGTATGATAAGGCTGGATCTGTGAAGTAAGCACATTCTTCATGAGAGACAGGGAAAGGTTTGCTTTTCGGCCACAGAAGTGTGTTGACTCCACGTCAAGTAATACTCATTTCCAGTATGAGGTTCCAGACACAGGAATTCCAGAAACAGGAGTATGATGTTCCAGAAACAGGAGTATGATGTTCCAGAAACAGGAGTATGAGGTTCCAGACACAGGAGTATGAGGTCCCAGACGCAGAAGTTCCAGAAACAGGAGTATGAGGTTCCAGAAACAGGAGTATGAGGTTCCAGAAACAGGAGTTCCAGAACCAGGGGTATGAGGTTCCAGACACAGGAGTTCCAGAAACAGGAGTATGAGGTTCCAGACACAGGAGTTCCAGAACCAGGGGTATGAGGTTCCAGACACAGGAGTTCCAGAAACAGGAGTATGAGGTTCCAGACACAGGAGTTCCAGAACCAGGGGTATGAGGTTCCAGACACAGGAGTTCCAGAACCAGGGGTATGAGGTTCCAGAAACAGGAGTCTGTTGAAATGCACAAAACACAATGTCAGGATACAAGAGGATCCTCCATAAGATATGGGTCAGCAACCTACCAACGGCACTGCAAAAACAATAGAAAGGTGTATTACTTGACCCTAGAGTGGCCAGGCTGAACGTTTAGGATAGAAATAGGAAGTATCAGAACTAATATTAACATAACTCAAGCCAGGATAAATAACACAAGAACCAGAGACAATTATTCTCTAATACAGGACATTCTAAACAAAGCTGGATCTTGAACACAGGAATCAGGATAAGAATTAAGCTCGTGTTTAGGAATGTAGCCGGATCAAAACACTGATACAGGAATAGACAAGCTCCGGGTCAAGGATGTAGCCAGGTCAGGAACAGCAGTACTACACACTGTGAGAAATCATGCAAGGGTGCTGATCCAAACACCACAGAGTTTATACAGGTCCAGGGCCTTGCGTCACTTGCACATTTGTACAGCTCAGATGAAACGTTGATACAAACATTATAAAAATGATTCAAAAGTGTGAAGGTCACACCTTGCTTCATTTTAGGTTGGAGTCAGAATGACTTAACTGTGAGCTTATACAAATGGCGCTGCGTCAATACTGCTGGGATCGTGGCTGAATGGAGCGAGATCACTGGATTGTCGCGGCTGTGTCAAAATTGGAATTGGATATAGTTAGCTACAGCTGAATTGAAGCAGATGCTTCCGAAATGTTGGGTCCTTTACACGTATGGGTATGAATTCTCCATCTGCCAGATAAGAAGTGTGTGGCTGGATTAGAATATGGTTTAAATTATTATTACATTATTTTTGAAATGTATTTATTTAATTATTTTTATGTGTGTTTTTTTTTTTTTTCGTTTTTGTTGTTTGTTATGCTTGTGTAATCTGAAAAAAAAAACTTAATAAAACTATTTAAAAAAGAATATACATGGATTAAATCATCTGAGAAGAGACGAGTCAAGTAGTAACAACTAAAGAAAGATCGTGCATAGGACAGCAGTGATATAACCAGCGAGAGGATGGCGGCAACGGTGTCACAGGGAGGACAAGGAGAGGATTGTGGCAATTGAGACATGGAAATGCAGCGAGTAGAGGGGGCTGACAGGGTGGGTGAGAATGGAAGCAGAAGTGACACAAGGAGGTGAGAAGAAGACGAGATTGTGGCATAAGGCGAGGTAGTTACATGGCGGAGAAGGGAGCTAGAGTTGTGGGGTGTCTTGTGATTTATTTATTTTTACACAGAGCTAATTTGAAGCAAGTCATGGATGGCACAGGAGTACAAACATATGGCCACCTAAGATCCACAGTGAACTGAGGGATTGAAGCATTGAAGTAAACAAAGCTGGAAGTTTTAGATTACTAGTCAGGATCGTGACAGAAATTCGCTATAGAAGGACTGATTTTTAGTTAAAACAGAGGTAGTAATTAAAGTAATGATTTTTTATTTATTTTCTGCAGGACACAGTCTGAATTCGTGCATTTTCTTATATTTTTCCCTATTGGTAAGTGGTGGCAGCATTACCCCGTAGCATAATAAGCATACATTTCAATAGACATTTCTTTTTCATGAGATAATTTAAACCATAATGCCCTAGCACAAAACGTTCATCACATGGAGCCCAAACAAACAGAATCAGGATGGTATTTCCTGAAAATATCGTGCAAAGATGATTTTTATCATACAATAGAATCTACCATCTTCTGCCGGATTAAGCCCCGCTCCAAAATGACTCAATTCAAACTGCAGACTGTGTGTTCATGGAAGAATTTAAATGGCCAGTGTTCATGTAAAAGTAGAATACTAGGGGTGCCTATATTTCAGATGTCCCTTTTCTTCAAGGTCTATCCTTTTTGGGGGATCCTAGCCCACTGTCTTTTTTTTTTCCTGCCCTTTCAGTTTTGAAATACCTCAACATATTTTTGTATACAAATGTCTCAGCGAGCTGTAAAGTAATAAATGGGCAGTAACTTGCTATGTATCAAATGATGCACTTGCACTGTCTTGGACAGTCTTCTATTGTCTTGGATGAGGGCCACCAGGGAACTAAATCGGGGGAAGCAGGACCCCAAAATCTAGTTTGTCCTGTTGAAAGTGAGACTGTTGGGAGCCCTGTATATATGATGTCAAAGCTAGGAGCAGCTCCAGGAATGGAGCACTAGGGCTAGTCCCCCCCTTCAGCCACCAGGCCATACAGGAACTTCAGAAGGTGGTGCAGGTACTTCATTATAGTTTTATCAATGTCGGTGTTCTATCAATTTCTGCTACCTATCACCGAATCATCAAATTAAGAGACCTGGAAGCAAACACACTCTGCCAGGACTCTAGTGAACGCCGGAAAAGTGCAGGGATACATCTCTATGCACATAGTTGTATATATCTCCCACACTGCAAAGTCTTCAAGTTCCCCAACCGAGATTGGGTTTTGGGTCCGCCCTTGGTCACAGCTCAGTTTTTGTCCTTTTCTCAGAAAAACACAGTTGTTCATACCACTGGGAATGACAACAAGGATTTCTGTGAGTTGTAGTTCAGCTAACATTTTTCATAAGTAAAAAGGTCACAACTGAACCAGAAACATTTGCTCTCCCGTGTTGCTCTGATGTGTACAGATTTTTTGAATAACGTTGGCACTGTGATATGTCTCATAAAAAGATATTTGCATCATCCTCAATGCAAGAATTGTTAAACCCTGCAATTTTCAATTTTAAGTATTTTTTTTCTTGTTTTTTTTTACAATTACTTTGGATTGGTTGTTTTTGCATAGTTTTAGATGACACCATCTATGTCATGCATTCAAATAGATCAATTACAGCCTAGAGCGGCCCTTTAAAGCTTTTCCAATTCAGTAAATGTACAGCTATGCAGACTAATCACACTTATCACTTGTACATCTACCCTGTGCACATACATTTGTCATTTACCACTCCAGCTGTCGTAGACTGTATTTCCCATGAATGGTACTCAGAGATATAGTTCAGCTGTGTGATTACTAAGACTTTGGGATTCCAGAATACCCACGAGAAACTCTTTTTTGTTTTTCTGGCTACTGCCCCTGGTGAAATTCTGGTTAGGAATAAGGAGTAAGGAATGTTGGCTTGCATCCTGCTACCATGTGCGGTTTGGAAGCACCATGAATTCTATGAAGATTTCCCTGGTTAAACAAGCAGTAACAATATTTATTCTGTTTTAGTATAGTATCTTATTACCTAGCCACTTAATGTTTATTTCTAAACACACCACCAGTTCAGGATACTGCAGTATTGCCACTGTGCACCTGTGTGATCTAACATTTTTCCAACCCTTCGGGAAGAGGTTGGCAACCAGCTTCAGCGCGCTTCCAAACGTTTAGGGTTATTCAGGAAAGTGTGGATTGTCAGGAATTCAAAGTGATTTTAAAACTGAATGGAGAAGCTGAAGGAAACCATTTGCTGATTTAAAAATAAATACATTAAAGGAACACTATAAGGTCAGGAACATAAACATGTATTCCTGACCTTATAGTGTTTAACCCACCATTTAAGTGGCTTCCCCCCCCTTAGCCCCGTATAATAGTTTAAAACTCACCTTATTTCCAGTGCCGCGTGGGTCCACCGGCACTGGCCAAGCCCCCTTTGTGACATAATCAAAATCCCCCCCCCCCCAAGGAAAGCTTTGGGATTCTAGTGTGCATGTGCTGCAATTGCCACACTGCACCAGTCAGCATCTCCTCATAGAGATGCATTGATTCAGAGCATCTATATGGAGATCGTTGATCCTGAAATCTTTGCAGGACTGCATCTAGTAAGTACCTCTAATGGCTAAGAGACAGCCACCACATGTGACATTATTCCAAAATGTAAACCACTGCTTTTTCTCAGCTCGTATGTTTTTTTATAAAAACTGTCAGGGGAAAGTTTCCTTGGTTGCCCTGGATGCGGGACATTCAGGGAGCTAAATAGGACAGTCAGGCAGGACCATGAAATCAAGACTGTCTCACCAAAAACGGGACTGTTGGCAGGCATGAAAGAGTGTGATTAGTGAGAGAGAGGCAATGTGAGCTGTGGGGCTTGTAAGATGTACCGATAGAGCTGAAATGAGCAATGTAAGAGAAAGATTGACAAAGGATATGCATAAGCTCAAAATGAACAATGGAAATGTCCCTCCTCTTCTAAAAGAATGGTATTTTTTGTAAAAAAAAAAACAATTACCATTATTATTTTTTTACAGATGCTTTTTGTCAATTACAGAAAAAGAAATAAAACAAGCATTATCTTAACAAAAAATACTTTACTGTACATCGATTCCCAACAGATGCTGTCAATCTTCATGCATCAGCTTAGCTTGCAGTAATGCCTCTGCAGACAACACTGACATGTCATGCAGGCCACACGCACAGCTCGGGATTAGAGAGCCGATCCATGAACCGCAAATACCAACTGGTGGATTAGGCACGGTTCACTAAACAGAGAATAGAGATATGTGTAACCTGAAGGAGGCTGTAGTATGGCTGCTCTCAGTTTGTAAAGCAGTTACGTGATGAGTAGAACTGTGCTTGCTGGGCAGGGATATCTTCCTGATTAAGCAGGGGTCTGCCTTTTTCTAATGCATTAGCAATATAATGCAAATATAAATTTTGGGGAACACTATAGTCATCAGAACCACTACAACTTAATTTAGTGGTTCTGGGATATTCAGTATGTCCCTGTAGAGACAGCATTGTAAACGTTGCCTTTTTATAGAAAAGGCAGTGTTTACACTGCTGCCTAAGTCCACCTCTAGTGGCTGTCATTC